CTAATCTGAATTATCTAAGAGCATGAGTAAAATTTTTTAATATTTATAATATAATTTAGTTATATTTTAAAATTAAAAACTAAAAAGAAAAACAAATCCAATCAAATTTTACCATGTGTGAAAGAAATCTCTAGAGAAGTTCTCATTTGAATATCGATTCTCGTTTTTCACTCCTCCTTTTCATTAATTTTTTTTTTTAATATTATTGAGAGATTTGATCAGAGACTTTCACGGTGGATACTCTAAACTCTAAAGGATCATCAATGAAAGTTCGAAACAACCCATAAAGTCAAATCTCATTTATTTAGAGGATTCACCAAAATTCGTCCTCTTTTTAGAAATCTGTCGTCAAACGGATCCGAACTTTAACAAAAGCCGTGACTTACTCATGGGGCCATAGCCATACATATATAGGGATTTTGAATCTTATCTTAATACTACGGGCCATAAGGCCCATTTAATCCAAAGCAAAAAAAAAAGTGACGTGATAATCATATTTTAGTAAATCAGCATCTTTAAAAGGATGCGGAATCTCGATTTCGTTCCAAATCTGATATGCATAAAAATAGAGGGACCTAACATAAACAAATTCGATTAGTTTAGTGAACTAATCGAAATTTAGCACATGACCAAAGAAAATTGTAAAAATTGCGAAACTGTCAAAGTCCGAATTATTAAAATTTCTATTTTGTTTTGACAATCCGAAGGATTTTTATGAAGAAAAAGAAGAGTGATAAAGAGAGTGAGAAATGTGAAGTGATCAAAGCCACCGTTTAAGACTCTGTTAAACGCATGCGTCTTAACTAAGCCAAAACAAATCTTTCTTATTACCCATTTACACACAAACCTCTTTCCTCAAAAACCCTAGATCTCTCTCCCTCTCTCTCTCTATCTCTTGTCTTTTGCCTTTTACGAAGCTTCCCTTAGTTTATACATTACTCTCAGCTCTCTTTTATTTACACAGCTTCACGTTGAAGACGAGTTTCTCTATTTGCCAGATCTGTTTGTCTTTCACTCTTCATTTCCATCATAAACCCTTCACATTTCTGGTGATTGCTCCTCTAATTTCGTTTTGGGTTTTAGTTTTTTCATCCGAAATTTACCTCATTTCACATAATTTCTTCGTGGGTTTTGTTTGAATTACGTTAATTCCCAAGATTTTGTGTGTGATCTCGTTGAATTCGAAGTAAAAATCCGATCTTTTTTTTTTTCTTGATTCTGCAGATCTGTTTGAAGGAAGCTATGATGACTTGTGTTTGTTAGAGTGAAAGAAAAAAAGGAACAGTTTTTATCTAAAGATACTTGCTTTTTTGGTTTGTTCTTGATTGTTGCCACGAAAATGGCAATGCCACCGGGAAATGTTACTACTCCGTCTGAGAAATTGCAGTTTCCTCCTCCTCCCGCTAATTGGATCCCAGACGAGCGAGATGGGTTTATCTCCTGGCTTCGTGCGGAGTTTGCTGCGGCTAACGCGATCATCGATTCGCTATGTCAACATCTACAAGCAATTGGGGATCACAACGAATACGAGTCTGTGATCGGAAGCATCCATCACCGTCGCTTAGGCTGGTCTCAAGTTCTTACTATGCAGCAGTTTTTCCCAGTTGCAGATGTTTCTTACAATCTTCAACAGATTGCTTGGAAAAGGCAACAGCAAATGCCACCTCAAAGGCATTACAATTCTGATCAGGTTGGGAAATTTGGAGGAAGGAGATCAGGGCCTGGGTTTAACAAGCATCATGGTGGTGGTTACAGAGGAGCTGATTCGATGGCGAGAAATGGGCATAACTCCTACACGAATTCGGATTTCCATAGTGTTAGCAGTGATCGTGTTGAGCATCGGGAGGAAGCTAAGCTAGCAAGTGATGTTAAGGCATTGTCTGTTGCAGAAGAGAAGAGAGGTAATCTAATAGTCTTTGTTTTGGCTTCAAGGCTTTGCTTGCTTGTAAGGAAAGAAAACTTTTTTGCTGTTAATTCCTATCTGCAATTTGGTTTTGAGATAGTGCATTGTGTATTGCTGAACATATTGATGGTGGAAGATTCGTGTTTAATCTGTGGTTTAGTCTCTAGACTCTCTCTGCTGTACAGATAATGTAAGTTTGTTTCTGTATTTGTTTGTGGGATAGAGGGTAGTGAGAAACCGAAGAGTGATAGTAAAGTCGGGAAAAAATTGGAAAAATCTGAAACTCAAGAGGAGATAGTGAACCATAAGTGTAACTCGGCTTCTAAAGGTACTTTGGAAAACCTGACTTCTCGGTTTTACACCTGATATTAGACTTTGTTGTAATGTTCCGTTTATGTGTTGCTTCTTTCTTTCAGATAACAGTCTCAGTTCTGAGCAAAAGGAGGAGGAGAAAGATAAAGAGTGTCCGGCAAGCATGGTAAAAACTTTTGTGGTCCAAGAGATGTATGACGCGAAAATGGTGAGTCGATCTTTTTCATATATCTGTTTATAGTTTACGGCTACGACACCAAATTGCTGAGTTTTGTTGAGTAGGTTAATGTTGTCGAAGGATTGAAGCTATACGACAAAATGCTTGACGCAAAGGAAGTTTCTCAACTCGTTTCTCTTGTAAACAATCTGAGACTTGCTGGAAGAAGAGATCAACTTCGAAGTAAGAATCTTGTTTGCCCTACTGTAATGATTTAACTTGTTTCTACTCAGGTCTTAAACCGTTGGTTAATGGGAAACAGGTGCATATGTGGGTTATAAACGGCCAAATAGAGGACACGGACGCGAGATGATCCAACTCGGTCTTCCCATAGCTGATACGCCGCCTGATGATGATAGTATCAAAGGCAAGTCCTTTAAAATGGTCTTTGCTGATAATTTCTGTGTATTGGTTAACATAAGATTATGGGTTTTATGCAGATAGAAGAATAGAGCCAATCCCATCAGCTCTTTCAGACATCATTGAACGTTTGGTCTCAAAGCAAATCATACCTGTGAAACCAGACGCTTGCATCATTGATTTCTTCAATGAGGTTAAACTGATTGCTAAATTCTTTAAAACCTCTAAAACTATCTGTTTCCGTTTTCTTAACAAAGTAGGAGTTTTCTTGTGTCTTCTCTGTTTGTGAACCATAGGGAGATCACTCGCAGCCTCATATGTTTGTTCCCTGGTTTGGACGACCCATCAGTGTCTTGTCCTTGTCTGAATGCGATTATACATTCGGAAGAGTCATTGTCTCTGACAATCCCGGCGACTACAAAGGCTCTCTCAAGTTGTCTCTCACTCCCGGGTAACTGATTCATATCACTTATTCTGTAAAGTCGAGATCTTTCAATCCTTTTATCATCAATTATATTCGGTATTTTGAACTTTGAACAGATCGGTTCTTTTGGTGGAAGGCAAATCCGCAAATCTTGCTAAGTATGCAATTCACTCAACCCGGAAGCAACGGATACTCATCAGCTTCATCAAATCTAAACCGAGAAACTCCATAACCGGATCTAACTGGGGACCACCGCCTAGCAGATCGCCAAATCACTTCCGTCACCCAACTGGCCCACCTATACACTACCCTGTTATCCCGTCTACTGGTGTCTTGCCCACCCCGTCTCACCGCCCACCAAACGGAGCTGCTCAGCCGATTTTCATCCCCCCTTCTCCTCCACTTGCCCCTCCATTGCCATTTCCATGTGGTGTACCAACCGGGCCAACTGTCTGGCCAATGTTGCCACCTCATCCACGACACCAGCCGCCACCACAACCTCGAATGCCCATCCCAGGCACTGGTGTGTTCCTCCCACCCGGTTCAAACCAAGAACTGGTTAAACAAGGCTCCCTAGAGAAAACCGACAACAGCAACGGAAGCAGCAACACTGCAGAAGGAAAGTTAGATGTGAAGACGAAAGAAGAAGCTCGTAATGGAATTGCTGGAGGGGAATGCGATGGCAGCAACGGGAAACAGAGCAATTAGTAGCTGGAGAAGAGAAGATAGAGCAAAGAGAGAAACTAGTTTTTGGGAGATGAAATCTGAGGTGCAGTTTATAAACTGTAAAAAGAGCGGCGAATTCGATGGAAATGTCGTTTGTTTTTGCCACTTGAGAAATTATTTTTAGGAGAGAGTCAAAAACAAGGAAAAGAGACGAGCAAAATTTACCCGTTTTCTACTCTCTAAAATCATTTATATCTCTATCCTTTCTATTAAAATTCTATGTCTCCCTCGTTACGCTTACACTTTGATCTTCATACTACGACTGAATCATATCTTTATACATATACCTTTGTTTTTAACAAAAGTGTCTCAACATTCTCAAGAAAGTTGATTTTTTTTTAATGGTTTCTTGGGATTCGAAAGCTTAAGCCATGAGCCTTCTCTCTGTTGTGATACAAGTTCCAGCTGGGTTCAGTCCCATGGTCCATGGCAATGGCCCATGACTTTATTCCCTTCTCCACTCATAAAGTCATTAAAATAACATAAAGCCTTATGAAATGTAATCATATTTCTTTTGGGAGATAATTTGGTATGAGCAAAAGAGTTCTTACGAATTCAAATATGAGATATCCTGGGCTTGTGAAATCATGTAACAAAATCTCATCCACAACATAGAGTTGTATATCATTTATCTTATCATATTATCCATTATTTACTATTTCTTATCTATATATACATGATTGAAGAGAATCTGAGCACAGGACAAAATACATGTAACAGAATCATTATCAATCTTTATGGATGAGAATCGGACCCAGTTGTGTCTGTCCCTACAACTACACAACACTACTGTAGGCACGCATGCTTCTGGAAAACTTGTTAATCAAATTGGATAAGAATAACGAAAAATTAATTATTTTAATATGGAAGCGTAATAGAGGATGATATTTACATTTTAATATGCTCAGATTCGATATGTATATATATGCATGCAGTTTTTCTAGTTATAATCACCTATCTTACAAAATTTCAATAAGATTTTCTTTGAAAATGTACTTTTTATTCAATAAAGATTTCATTGACTTGTTTTCTGATGCTGCTGATACGTTCTTGTCATATCATAAATTCATAATGTGATTCCAAAATTCAACGAAAGAATATATTCATAACTTCATATATATATATATATAGTACACCATAAATAATTATTAGAATATGGGCTTCCAACTCAAAACCAATTGGCAATGAGTGGAGTGGCCCATATCCCTTATATATTACTTAGGATCCCTTCTAACTTCCGATGTGGGACATTATGTCCTAATAATAATTACGTCCGATTAAATTGGAATCAAGAAGCGAAATAAAGCGCCTCCTTGTAAGTCTTCCAATGATGCAAAACGTGCCCAAAAACATCATAAAAGACTACACGCAGTTCAGCTTCTGAAACGTGAACCGACATAAATCCTTGTCCGTCGTAGTAAAACTTCATCTGCTCTTTTGGTTCCAAGTAGTTCACGTCACCTCCTTTCCACGCCTTGGATCCACCTCCACTCGTCATAAATTGAATGTTACTATATGCAACCAAACATGATGACATTTTTAATTTTTTTATCCTCCCGTGGACCCGTACCTTACAATAATTGATTAATAAAAAAAAGTTAACGAACAAATAAGTAAACCCTTTATTCTACCTGTCCACGCTGCTTATGTGCTCTAAACAATGATCATGCCCGTTTACGTAGAGATCCACTTCATTTGCCTAGTAGATCGAGAACAAAAAAAAAAACAAAAACCAGATTTAGATCGATATTTTCTATTTCACGTGCATTTTAGTGAAAACTTTATGAATTGAATTGTTTTGTTACTTGGAGAATAGGTAAAAGGTGCTTCTCCAACTCAATGGTGTTCCCGTGGTGCCCTGCGCTTTTAATCGTATGGTGACCAATCACTATTTTCCACTTTGCAACTGACTCTCTCAATGCCACGTCGACTTCCTATATTATTAGAGTTGCATTGGCATTAGCCTAATTGGCATATTGTTCTCCAATCATTTCGAATTACAGAATTAATTAAAAACGCGATTCCAACTGTGTGTTTAACATCCAATCATAACTTTGTAAAAAAAAATCCAATCATAACAAATGAAAGGAAAGTTTTGCATGATGGAATATTTACTTTAAAAAATTGTTACCTTTAAGAGATTGTTCAGATATGTCTGCCTAGGTAATACGCCGCTCCAGTCATAAACATGCTTATTTGGTTGGATAAAGTATTTATCGACGAATGGAGTTGTGTCCACGAACAAAAAGTCGACGATCTCTGTTCGACGAATGGAACAAAAATAAAAATAATTGGAGGATTAATAAAATGTTTCTAAAATCTTAGGAGAGATTTTTATTCGAGGAATTACCAGCATTTACAATGAAAGATCTCATGCAAACCCATCTGTTGTCCAAAGCCCTGAGCATAGGGCTAAGTTGTGCCCTGACGTCACCTCTATAATCATGATTTCCTAAAACTTTAGGTTAAAGAAAATATAATTAACACATTGGACCATATATCGTTGAGAAAATATCCAACGTTTTTTTATTTAAAGATGATTGAATAGTATACATAGTACTCATTTACCACTATACCAAGGTTTCTGCAAGCTCGGAGTGGTATAAATGTTGATAAAAGAATCTTGAAATAGAGGATCGTGCAAGCTGTTTAACCCATTGTCATAAAAATTATCTCCAGTAGAAATTACAAAATCGATGTCTAATTTGTCTCCGATTTCTCCCATCTGTTTAAATTTTGGGTGAAATAATTTAGCATAAAGATAATTAAAAACATCAGTATAAAAGAAATCATCAAACTCGATCAAAATTTTTTTTTTATCATTGGGTTCATCTGCAAAAAAAAAAAAAAAAAAAAAAAATCATAGGTAGAATATCTTCGTACACTTTACACACACTATTGAATTTGCATGATATATATATGTACAGGCGAGGAAATATATATATAGAAGTAAATAAATTGGAAGTGAAAATAAGAAGTAATTAACAAACCTGAAAAGCTACTCGGGACTGGTTATACGAGCCTCTTCTTCCCCAGTCTCCGATGACGAGAAAGCTTACTGTACCATCAGGTTTCGCCGGCTGCAGTAGCCTGCGCAGCTCCGCCGTTGAACTATGGGTGGAGAATATAATAATCAAATTATAAACGTAAAATATTAAATTTACAGGTTTATGTTTTAAGGCAGCCATTGAGAGATTAGAAAAATGAAAAGCAAAAGATGAAGAAGATAAGGAAAGGAATGGTTAATTTTGTTGTGTGTTTGTATCACTATATATGTAGGCCATTTTGGTTGAGAAATATGAATAAACATTATTAATTTGCTATAGGCCATTTTTGCTTTATATTTCACGTGTTTAATTGAACTTTTTGATTTTTCATTTCATTACAATAATTTAAATTGATACCCAATAACAAATAAAATGACAACAGAAATTTAAAACATATAAATAGTGGTTGAAAAAATATGTTAAAATGTTTAGCAATAACAAATCTAGGAGCTTTTGGGGATTTTTTTTTTTTGGGGATTAATATATCATAAATTAATGCATATTGTACAAAAATAAAATACTCATCGTTCATTTTCAAAAGTACGACTAATTAAATGTTTTATTGTACCATCAAGGGAGCGCATTGAGAGGTTGGAAAATAAAAGCTAAAGCGGAAGACGATAATGTATATATGGTTGATTTTGTTGTGTTTTTAGCTCTATATATGTAGACACTAGACAGTAGACACAGTAGTCTCGAATGTATATTCTAATCACATAAATTTATTTTTTAAATAGCATTTTAATAACGAAATCTACTCGAAAAACGATTTTGAAAAGAAATTCACGAAGCTCGTATCCTTTTATGTGTTGTCATACAAGAAGACATCATAAACGCCCATGCCACAAATTTGTCGGAAATTGCAATTATTAGCTTTGAGTCACACATTATTGATGTGAGTCTGCGAAAACTTCCAAATTTCTCAATTATTGTTGACCGTTAGTCACATTATTTTACAGTATTGTTCTGAAAATAAAATAATGTGAATACAAGTTTACTAAATTCGTTCAACATATCAAAGAAATGATAACAGAAGAAACTCCCATTATACAGAAATTTGAAAGTATATCCTTACTGGATATGAAAATAAATGTAAATGGGTTGGCCTATGTTATTGGGCCGATACCCAGTTCTCTAATGAAAAGAAAGATCTAAAAAAAAAAAACTTCTGCTTCTCGATTAGGACATTATATTAATTCTGATCGAATACTTTTATCGTCTCAAATCATTCTAGAAAAACTTCAATCTCTCTTATAGACTTGATACTTGTAGATTCGGTGTCATTGTTTGTTCTTTGGAGGTTTCATTTTTCAGCAATGTATGTAACTGTTTAACGCACCAATTGACAGTTCACTGTAGACTTTGTTGTTTTAAAAAAACTATAATGAAAACTTCACCAGATCACTGAGTATGAGGCATCATGTAATGTTGTAGTTTCTTGTCTTGGATATCTTGGCCAAAACTTTTCATTTAATTTTTTTTTTTTGATGAGTTAAAACTTAAAAGAAACAAGCTTTATGTTGTATAAATATTCCTTACAATTAGAGGTTGTCAAAGAAAAAAAAAGTTCCTTAGAATTAGAGTTCCTATTAGTAAGATGAAGTCAGCAAGATTGACTTATAATGATGATCACAACAGAATCTCCAATGAATATCTCTGGTGGTCCTAGACTATTGTATCTTTAGTTTGGTTAGCTAAGTCTGGTACGACCGTGTTGATAGAGAAATGTCAAATGTGTTTGTTTGTGTATCCTTTTTTTCTACAGAAGTTAATTGATTGGTCTATTCGTCAGCAATTTCCTTAGAGTCAAAATTTTTGACCAACCAGCTTCTTTGTGAAACTCTCTAGCTGTATTCACACATAGACACACCTAACACAATCATTGAAACAGTGGGTTTGATGTAAATCATTCAACCACCTCTTTTCCCCCTTCTATGCAATTAGATCGTGTGGTTCTTTACGTTTGAAGCTTGATAAATAGAACAAAAATATGCCTTTTTTAGGTTAACACGTTTGTGTAGAAATGATGCAAATGCTTCTAAAATGAAACTGAATAATGTCGTCAGCTGCCTACTCATCTGTTGTTAGTGGATTGGCTAGTAGACTTAGATATCTATCATATAGACCATATGATATGTTTAGCCTAAACAATGGTTTTAGACATTATTGATTCATGTTCTTCTTATATATTTTTGCTTGATCATCACTTTTTTTTTATGCATGTGTGTCTAATTAATTATTGAGATGATCTATTGCATTTTTCTCAGGATGCAATATTGATCTTTTAGCAATTGTGTGAATTGAAAAACCGCTGAAAATAGAGACAAGTAGCAAAAGAGGAAATGGAGGAGCCTCTGAAAATAATATTCCTTAAATTCTGTCATTTCTACATCAATTTTCTTCAAATCCTCTTTGCGATGATCACATGTATCTCACTAATCTCTCTTTTTCAGTAGACTCATTACATCTTTAATTCCTTTAAGTAGCAATGAGTACACGGACATCGGGACATGTAGGGTCTACCACACGCCCTTCAGTTCAACTTATGTAATTCTAATTCAGAATAAAATAAATAAATTAGAGACTTTAAATTTTGTAAATCTATACATTTTTCTTATATATGTGTTTTAGCAATCCATCATAAAAAAATGCAAAACATTTACACATGTATGTGAGTTGTGAGTTCAAATAATATTAGTCAATACTCATTAGTCACTATAAGTGATATTTTGAATGGCTTATCCTATGAAAATTTAGTAATTTTTTTTCTGTTAGTACATTCATAGAGAAAAAATAATGTTAATTAATCTAAAGACGACAGTTTAGATTTTAACAGTCGCACCAGAACTAGTACCAGGAAACATAAGATAATATATATAGGACTAGGACTAGGACTAGCTACTCCATTATGTTTACGTAGTTTATGACAAAGATTAACTCTGTATAATCTGCATCTGACTTCTTTATTTATGTATGAAATGGTTAGAACTAAACTTGTCGGCTAATAATTCAAGCAACCCAACACAATGTTTGGGATTATCCAGTTTCTTTCTTCTTCTAAAATCCCAAAAGTAAGGCTGCAATTCTTCTGTCAGTTCGTGTGGGATATTACCATAGTTATATAAAAATCAGAATTTAAATAGTATATAATGTCATAATAATTGCATAGTTGATTAGTAGTTGTGGCAAGCAATAATGAAAAGTTTGGATAATGATACTAACTTTTTTTGCTGATTAATTATATAAATAAGATTTTCAACTTATTCTTAATGAAATTAGTGGAGTGGAGTGACATTGGCCACCACCACTACCTTGTTTTTGAATTTTTGATTAGACCAATTTGGCATATTTTTTCTTATACAATAGACATCTTTAATTAATTTTAGCTTCATTCACCAAACATAAATTATTTTTGGCATATTTCATTATTCCAAAGTGATTTTACCTCTTTATTCTCATGATTAAAGGTTCATTGCAACGTCGACAGTAGAATTTAAATTACAATGTTTTCTTTATTAAAATAACCAACTACTTAAATCATTTGATGCATAATACTAAGTTAAAATATTTTGGTTGGTCCATGGGGTATTCATGCAACTTACAAATACGATACTAAACAAGTGAGGGTACTCTAGAAATACTTTTATACATCTCATCAAATAAGACAAACCTTATTCTCTTTCTTCTAGTTGGGACGTGTTACGTACGCGCCGCCGAGAATCCGTCACTCTTTTTAACTTTATTTGATCGTATTTTCATGAAAACGAATAAATACTACTACTAATCTACTATACTCTTTTTTGTTGGTGAATAATACTACTACTATAGTACTATTCTATTAGAGAATAAGAAGATAAGTAGACGACAAAAGAAAAGAAAAAAAGAGAGAATAACAAGATAATAAATAACATTAATGTAGTATAAATTTGATTTAATAATGTAATATGACAAAAAGAAGCTCAGTTTTATTTAAACTTTTTCTTTCAACATTCTTCTTTTTTTCCAACTTAGCCCTCTCTTTTCTTGCAACTTTTGCTCGGAATTCTATGCTTTGCTGAACCATTGTTTTCTCTCTGCGAAAGTAATGAGTAGCTTTTTGCTATGTTAAGCTTTAGATCTGTTATATGTTTATGTGAGTCTTCTATATCTTTTGTGGTTTCTTTGAGAGCTTAAGCAGCCATTGCCACAAGCTGAGCTTTTTTTCTCTAGTTCAAGATTCTAACTTTGGAGCTAGTAAGTGAGAGAGAGAGAGAGGAAAAAATTCGTTAAAATGCTGGAGATTGAAAGCCCTACGAGTCTCTGTTTCCGTGCAAACACTACTTGTAATGCTCTGCTTCGAGAGCTTCAGGTTTTTCTTTGACCCTCTTCTTCTCTGTTTCTTGGAAATTTAGGGTTTCTTGATAATGGTGTTTTAAGGACAAAGTCTGTGTTTTTTTGTTCTTTATAGATAAAAGTCTTCTCCTTTTTTTCCCGTCAACTATAGGTTTAAGGGTCACTGTGAATTTTGGTACCTCGACTTCTTTTGAACTGTTCTTCTACAAGTATCTGTAAGATATCTGATTTTGATGTATGGTTTAATGGGAAAATTTTATTTGGTATGGGGCAGAAAATATGGGTTGATATTGGTGAGAGTGATGCTGAGAAAGACCGGATGCTAATGGAATTGGAGAAGGAATGTCTCGAAATTTACAGGAGAAAAGTGGATGAGGCTGCAAACTCTAAGGCACAGCTTCATCAATCATTGGTATCAATTGAAGCTGAGATTGCTTCTTTAGTGGCTGCTCTTGGAGTGTTAAACATCCACTCACCGGTATGAGCTAGTCTACTTGGTTTCTTTATATTCGTAATGAAAGGAAAGTTTCCATCTTTTTTGTTTTGAAAATGTGTGTTTTATGGTTACAGATCAAAGCAAAGGAAGGTTCAAAATCATTGAAAGAAAAACTTGCTGCTGTGAGGCCAATGCTTGAAGACTTAAGATTGCTAAAAGATGAAAGAATGAAGCAATTTGTGGATATAAAAGCGCAAATTGAGAAGATGAGTGGTGAAATCTCTGGATACAGTGACCAACTCAACAAAGCGATGCTTGGTTCTTTGGCTCTTGATGAACAAGACTTGACTCTTCGGAAGCTTAACGAGTATCAAACACATCTCCGCTCGCTCCAGAAAGAGAAGGTGAGGAATTTTTGTGAATACAATAAGAAGATGAACCAAGATTTTACTTTGTTAAGTTAAGCTGCTTGCTTACTCATTTGTTCTTGTTTTTTTTTTTGCAGTCGGATCGTCTGAACAAGGTTTTGGATTATGTGAATGAGGTGCACACTCTATGCGGTGTTCTTGGAGTCGACTTTGGTCAAACTGTTAGCGAGGTTCATCCGAGCTTACATAGGACTGACCATGAGCAGTCTACAAACATTTCTGATGATACATTGGATGGTCTACAACACATGATTGATAAGCTGAAAACCGAAAAGAGAGTCCGGTTTCAAAAGGTAGATAAACTTGCCCGCAATGCTATTCTTCTGTTTGTAACTGATTATCATTTTGAAGGCTTAGCGTTTTCGCCTTTCGGTGTGCAGTTAAAGGATGTAGCAGGTTCACTTTTCGAGCTATGGAATCTAATGGACACATCTCAAGAAGAAAGAACAAAATTTGCAAGAGTCAGTTATGTTGTAAGATCATCTGAATCTGATATCACTGAGCCAAATATCCTTTCTACTGAAACAATTGAACAGGTTACGAAAAATCCCGTTTCTTTTCCTGATTTTTATTGCCAATAATCTTTTCCAGGATCTCTGAGTTCTTGTTTTCCCTTCTACATTAGGTGTCTGCAGAAGTAGACTCTTTTAATAAGCTGAAAGCTAGCAGAATGAAGGAACTTGTGATGAAAAGAAGGTCTGAGTTAGAGAATCTTTGCAGATTGGCTCACATTGAGGCTAACACAAGCACATCTCTTGAAAAATCAACTGCTTTGATTGATTCTGGTAATAAAAGTGATAAAGCTTATCTTTTTCTCAGAAATATGAGTAGCTTATTTTCTTGCTGAAACCCGTTTGTATTTAAGAAATATTTCCTCATGTTTCTTCAGGATTAGTGGACCCTTCAGAGCTTCTTACAAATATTGAATTGCATATAAACAAAATCAAAGAAGAAGCACATAGCCGGAAAGAAATAATCGATAGGATTGACCGCTGGTTATCTGCCTGTGAAGAGGAAAACTGGCTAGAAGAATACAATCAGGTAAATAATCCTTGTAAAGTTGGCAAATGGGTTTGTTGAAGGATGTAACTGAGAAATTCTTTCCTTGGTTTCAGGATGAAACCCGGTATAGCGCTGGAAGAGGTGGACATGTAAACCTCAAGCATGCAGAACGAGCCCGGATCACAGTAAACAAGATCCCATGTACGTTCTTGTATGTTTTCACTAAAGATTCTTGTGATATCTTTAGCTTATTGTTTATTGTTTTCTGTAGCAATGGTTGACAATCTCATCAAGAAAACGCTTCTATGGGAGGACGAAACACGGAAATCATTTCTATATGATGGTGTAAGTTAAAGTAACTTTATAGTAAACACAGCCATAAGGCCTATCCTTTGATTATGGTTACTGGTTTCCTCCAGGTTCGATTGGTATCCATACTTGAAGATTATAAATTGACAAGGAAACAACAGGAAGAGGAAAAGAAACGATACCGGGTTTGTCAAAAGACTCTCTGTAATATGACCCTTGAGATTTGTAAATACCGCTTGCCTGTTAATACGATTTTTTTCATTTCCTCTGCAGGATCAAAAGAAGATGCAGGATCTCTTAGTAAAGCGGAGGGAGTCAATTTATGGATCAAAACCGAGTCCAAGAAGAAGCAACAGTGTAAAAAAGCCCAACGGATACAATGGGGATGCATCTGTGCCTCCTACGCCTCGCAGAAACTCAGCTGGAGCAACAAATACCGACATTATGACCCCAAGATCTTACTCGAGCCATCGCCAAAACGGATATTTCAAGGAAGTAAGGAGACTCTCAACAGCTCCTTTGAACTATGTGGCCGTACCAAAGGAAGACTCTGTCTCTACGTACACTTCGGTTTACGGCTCTGAACCAGATTCACCGTTATATAACTAAGTCTCATTAGGCAGCGCAGTTGGTTCAATCACAAGAAGTGGAGATGTAGTAGGAGTTGGGAGTTAGATGAATGTAATCAAAAGGAAGAGTTACTGATACAGATCAAGTACAAGTAGTGGTCGTATGTGTGTGACTTTGAGTTGACTTGTGACTGACTTTAGAGTAATAGAAGAGTAGAAAATGGATGTTATGTTCTTATTATATAGTAGCTTCAAAATTCTCTTTGGTGTGTTGTTTAATTGCTGTGGATGTGTGTATATTATTATACAGATTACACTTCCTCTCCTATCGGTTTTTCTTTTTGGTTCTGTTCGGTTTAGGTTTTCGTGTTTTTGGGTATAACCGTCTAACACAATTAAACCGAACTAAAATATGATTCGGTTTGGTTCAAATCGAAATCGTTTAAACCGGATTAACACGAAATTGATTTCGCGAAACACGTTTTCGTTATTTGGTCGCTGCTGCCAAAAAAGAGACACTTTTATTTTGCTCGGGAGTTTGAGAGAGACTAGGGTTTAAGCAATTGATCCCTGTTGGCGTTGATCTTTCTCCTGGGTTCCGAATCTTTGACAGTACGTCTCTGGTTTCCTTTGTTTTGTAATCCACTGTTGTTGTTGTTGTTGTTGTTGTTGTAAAAATAGTTGCTTTTTGTTCTGAACTAGCAAAAATTTAAGATGGTTGGAGGATTTGCTCTATGTGTTTCATGTGGTGCCACTGCCACAGCATGTCATCTCTGGGGCCATAGAATTAAAGGGTTTAGTGTCATTCCTAATTCTTTTGCATATTTGAATGTTTTTATCAATCAATCAAAATATGTTTTCTTTTGCGATGGTGCAGGAAATTTGAACATTTTAACAGTATTACCCGTGTTATCGACTTTAAAAAAAGTTAGGTAAATAGAACATTTTTCATTCTGTTTTGGTTTCAGATTACAAATGGGAACCAGTCCTTGTATTTTATTTTGTTTTCAGATGATTTGCTTAAAGAGATGATGGTCCTTTGGGTGTTGTTTTTGAGGATACGGTAAGATTGTTTTTTTTAGTAAAGTTGGCATCATGTGTGCTTCAAATTCTCTGGTTTGGTGGTGTCTGTCATAACTCATAACACATATACTGTTTTCAGGTCCAAGTGGGTTATGAGACCAAGTTGGAAGATGGTGGTTTGATAAACAACAAGTCTGTAATTTCTCTTACAACGAAAGGAGGCTCCTTGGTATCTGGTAAGATACAATTCATTTGCTATTTCTTGCCCCCCCTCCTCCCATAACTTAAGCCTGGCTTCTTGATTTGTTGTCTCTCTCTCTCTCTCCGTCTCATACAATTAGGAAGACAGTACGGGTCGGGTGAATGTAGTGAGAGCTCAAGATGCTCTAGGATTTGATAAAACTCTAAAAGTGTATGGAGAAAAGTCACTTGGTGAATTCTTCGAAAGAAGAAGGCTCTTAGGTTCTTTCTTTATTTTCTCCTTCTCTGCTTTGTTCCCTAGAACACCTTTAATTCCTTGTGTTGAAACCAACAATGTGATGTTTTTTTCTAGGTGCTCTATGGGCAGGCTCTTAATATTGGTACCTCCATGACTGTTGTTGGTGAGGTAAAGGAAGCCCCATGTGTTCCTTTTTACTTCTTCTTTATGCAGGAAATGTGGATCCTGTAAGAGTGGCGTTTTAGCGGTTCAGTTACATTTCCTTCTTCTGTTGTACTGTTGTATAGGCTGTTAGAGACAAAGCTGGTAATCTCATGATTCAAAAATCCAAAGAACAGTCTTTAATGGTGTTCTGTGGAGAGAACTCCTTTGATAAAATGGTTGGAAACATGAAGTCAAATTCAGAGTAAGGACAGACTCATGTTTCTGTTGTGTTATTTTTATTTTGGGAGGTGAGGTGATGAATCATATCTTGTTGAGAGACGTTGAATGTTGTGTTATGTTTTGCAGGTTTTACATTTTCTACTCCAAGATCTTCGGAACTGTTGCTGTGGCTGTGGCCGTCGTGTACGGTGTGGATTTTGTAAGAAAGGTTTTGTTACCATTCGTGTGGAAGAAAAAGGACTTAGGTAACAACAACAGATCAGAGAATGATAACTCAGACAGCGAAGATACACATCAGTGATTTCTAGGACTCTGGCTAACGTCTCTCACTCAGGGAGAAGAATTAGGCAACGAATTGATTTCGCGAGACACTTCTAATTTATGTTTAGGCAAATCTTAACGTGTATTTAAATCTAATCATGTCTACAATTGTTTGGTTATGTTTGGTGAAACTTTTTCTACATTTTTATTACGTCAAACATTAGTAGCTTGGATCAGATCGAGCCGGGCAAGACCGTCTCAAGTTTGGGTTAACCTGGTCCTAAATTCTAATCATTTTCTAAATCAATAGGTGACAAACAATAATCCGATTTTTCTATATGTTTAAAATATTAGTGTAGGATTCTGTCTGAAATTATTCTTGTAACATTATGGAATATCTAAATAAAACTGGACATATATAAGTGTCACAAAGAATGGATCTTATGAGCTTTCTCAAAGAAGTTTTTATTAGGCTTGAAATGCCAACAAAAACATATATCCATCCCTTTGTGGCCCATATATGAGTAGAGAGAAGTTCATCTTCTGTAGATTTTATTTATTTTCAGTCAACTAGTTGCATTTTCGTGTGATGCTGCTTTGGTATTTATCCTTTTCTTATCAAGTTACGATATGGAGAGTATATGCATCTATTATATATTCACAATTTTATTGGGATGTAACTTTAAGTATATTGTTTTACGACTTTATAGAAAAGCAGAAAGTAATCATTTGTTTTGAAAATGATTATTTTCTACAAAAAAAAAGCATAACAGCTTTTATTGACTTTCATGATGTCATTATAATTTTAAGTGACAAATCTCGAAATCATTCGAAAAATAGAATGTTGTGTTATTTCCATAACTAATTGTCTTTTCATTACGTGAAAAATGTATTTTCCTTAATTAATTACAATAGTTTTAAATTAGATATGTTTTATCAATTTTTTTTTTTTTTTTTTTTTTTTGTCATTTTAACATCCTTGCCATAATAATTTAGTACTACTATTCAACCACTTCAATATTATTTTCGTATATTCTGATTGGCGAACAGTAATGACCATAAATAAATCGTCAGCTAGTTGTCTTGTCAAAACTCAAATCCCACCGACGTAAAAAGAAGAATCATAAAGAGCTAGTTGCATGGAATCGGAAGCGGGTACGCGGAAACGAAGCATTTCGAAACGTAGAAGCGATTTTTATAGAAATTATAGAAAGTGGATACGTGTTAGAAGCGTATATAAAAATTAATATATAAACATTATATCATATAAAAAATTATAATTAACATACAAATCCAATACATAAATTCTAAATATCTCTCTATATTTAAAAATCAAATAGTGTACGTTTACAATAGAGAAAAGTCAAATAGTTCAAAGTCAAAAATTTAAGATCATTCTTCATTCTCATTTTACTAATTCCATCAAATAAAATTGTTTTAAATTTTTTTTTACCAATAAAAACATCATCAAACTCAAATTTCTCTAAATTAATTTAATTCAATTAATCATTTCAACATTTCCCTAATAAATGATCCATGCTGCTATCATTTTTTTAACTATGATAATTTAAAAAATAAAATACAAAATTAGTATGCAAAATTAGTTTTGGTTTTTCTTTTGTTGTATAAAAAACTATCAAAAATAATTTCTTATTTCTTATTTATTTTGTGACATCAAATTTTTTAAGGGAGACTCACAAAAATGCCCCTTTTTCAATACCCCTTTTCAAAAATGCCCCCTTTGGCTGTCCATTTTTAAAAATACCCTTTTTTATGTACAAAATGACTAAATTACCCTTCTTTTAATAAAAGATATTACAAATATATAAGGAAATATAACAAAATTAGGTTCACAAAATACAAAATATTTTTGGCGGGAAAAGTGATCCCACAATTTTTCCCGCCAAAAACACTTGTAAAAACTTGTAAAAACCTTTAAAATACCTTGTAAAATTTTCCCGTAAAATTTTTTCCCGCCAAAAAATTTTCCCGCCAAAAATTTTTTTTTGCGGGAAAAGTGATTCCGCAATTTTTTTGGCGTTAAATTTTTGGCGGGAAAATTTTTGGCGGGAAAAATTTACAAGGTATTTTAAAGGTTTTTTACAAGGTATTTATAAGGTTTTACAATGTATTTTAAAAGGTTTTACAACGTATTTATAAGGTATTTATAAGATATTATAAGATTTTACAAGCTATTTTATAAGGTTTTACAAGTTATAAGATTTTACAAGTTTTTTATAAGGTTTTACAAGTTGTAAATACTTTATAAAACCTTATAAGTACCTTGTAAAACCTTTTAAAATACATTGTAAAACTTTACAAAACACTTGTAAATACTCTGTAAAACCTTTAAAATACCTTGTAAATTTTTCCCGCCAAAAATTTTCCCGCCAAAAAAATTTCGCCAAAAAAATTGCGGAATAACTTTTCCCGCAAAAAAAAATTTTTGGCGGGAAAATTTTTTGGCGGGAAAAATTTTTACCAAAAAATTTTACAAGGTATTTTAAAGGTTTTTACAAGTGTTTTGGCGGGAAAATTGGGGGATCACTTTTCCCGCCAAAAAATATTTTGTATTTTGTGGACCTAATTTTGTTTCAAATAAGGGTAAAATGGTCATTAAAAATTAAAAGAGGGCAAACTTAAAAATGGACTCTTAAATGGGGCATTTTTGAAAAGGGGTATTGAAAAAGGGACATTTTTAACAATTTCTCATTTTTTAAATGGAATCGCAACCTTCCAAAATAGATTCGTAAGCTTCCAAAATGAATTTTTTAGAAGCGTTATAGAAGCGAGATTCCGAAAGCTTCCGAGAACTTCCGATTCCGACTAAAATTCCGAAGCGAGAAGCGGACGTCCGACGAAGCTTCCGTGCTTCCTTATTAAAGACCAATCAAAGAGTGAAGCCAGTTACTATAGTAATTAAGGACATGTTTAAATCAAACTCATTAAAAATTTAAAACACTAATGATAATAAGCGATTAAGGAGGAGAAATTAACACAAAAGATGTGAAAGTGAAATGGAACTAAATTATAGTACTATCTCAATTAAGGAAATTAATTAATACTAAGTTAGTGATAAAACTTTTTATTATTGTTAACCCAAGTTTTAAAAAGATAACGAGAAACACCAATCCCTTCGCAGAAGACTCTTATCTCTTCTCTAAGCGCTCTCTTATCCTTCAACGTCCATCCCAACTTCGCCGCGTATTCTTTCATCGCCTCTCTTTGCTCCGCCGTGAACTTTGACTTCCTCCGTCGCTGCACCGTCATCTTCTCTTCCGCCGAAGTCTCCTCTGTGTCCTCCTCCTCCTCCTCATTTCTTTCCTCAGCTGTTTTCCATTTCAGCCTCGCCAGCTGCTTCACGCGCCTCAAGCTCGTGAACGGGAAGCGCGTGTGTGTGACTTGAGCAGAAGATATGACGTCGATGCGACGGTGGTAGCTGCGGTGGCAACCACAGGCGACGCAGAGATCGCCGGTGGCTGATTGAGAGAATTCACGGCAGCCATCAATAGCGTAGGAGCCGAGCTTCGCGGCGTGGTTGCGCATGCATTCTCTGTAGACACAAGAACTCTGCATCTTCTTGGCTCTCTAATTAGAAGAGAGAGAGATTTTGATTTTTGAGTTTAGGGTTTGTTTTGGAAGAGTTTGGTTTTGAGTTACTTAAGTTATGATATGATGTGTTTTTTTGTGTCAGAAAGAGTTGGGAGTTACAAAAAAAGTAAAAATTATTGTTACTTACTTGCTTTAAGATTTTGTACTTATGTGTGTATTAGTTGTCATAATAAATGTGAAAAACCCACTTTTTGAACTGTTTCACTGGCTTTGCTTTTATACACATCTATAATTTCGTATCCTCTCAGCTCATAAAGTTGTCATCTCTACCCATAGGCCATAGTTAACTCTTTTAATCCATTGGGTTAAGTAGTAACAATAATGAGAATTGAGAAATACAGTAAGAAAACTAAAACCCTTTTTGTAAAAGTATGGCGGCTAATTAAGTAGAAGTATTTTGATTTATAAAAGTACGATTAAAGAAACTAATTTTTGAAAAATTAAGAAAAATCAAGAATTTAAAGTAACTAAATGACTCTAGTAGCAATTAAGAAGAAAAAATCAAAAGGTTTCAAAGAATCTGATTTTATTTTAAAAAGAAGTCTGAACTCGAAACGCTTTCTTTTTAAGATGTTTAGCAAAAAAAGCGATTGTGTGACCCACGCGAGTTGACTATTCACTATCGTATATGTTCAATTTGCCTACTTTATGTTACTAAACGATTGTTTTACGGCTTAGTGATACCAATGTGGAACATTCCTTAAGCGGACTCGGATGAGTTTTAGTAAGACAAGATAAAGTCTGTCACCTAGGGTTAAGAAGTGTTCGAAGAAACTTATCACCGTTCCATGCAAAAGTCGACTCTCTATTATGGGCAATGGAATGTATAATCTCGATTGGCAACTCCTCTAGCGCTTTTGTCTCTGATTGTTCCGACCTGATTTCCCTCCTTAATAACCAAAATGATTGGCAAACTTTTGCAGCGGAGTTGGTCTCTTTTCGATCCCTTATTTGTTTTTTTCCTCGTTTAGTATAAGATTTATTTCTCGCAAGTTCAATAGTCGGGCTGATTGTTTAGCCAAAAAAGCTCTGGTTCGAAACCATTTTATACCCTTGTAAGCGCGTCGGTTCCTGATTGGCTCTCTCTATCGGAGAGTCTCTTTCCAATAATTTAATATAAATGGTGTTTGAGGAAAAAAAAAAATTGTTACCAATTACACCAATAATAGTAGTTAAGAAATCTATATCATTTTTTTGGTAAATCAAAAAATGTATATCATAATGTACAAACAAAGTAATAAATTGACTTGCTCAAACCACACACATTAGTCATTAGATACGATTACAAGTTACAACACTACTGCACTATAAAATTGCATCAAAACAAAATTATACAAACATATAGAGAAACCAACCAAACAACCCTTCTTATCTAATGAACTTATTACGTAATCTATCGGATTAAACTGAAAAATGGAAGATAATAATTTAGTAACGACATCATATATATATATATATATATATATATTTTTTATTTTGATCAAAACTGAGATTTCTTAAATTTAGCTTATCCTTATCTAATTCGTTATAAACCAGCAAATATTTGACATGGAAGATAAACAACACACGGTTTAAAGAAAATTATAAAGCGCGAAATAGAAAATAACAATTTGAAACCACCAAATCGGAGATGAAGCTATGGAATCGCGCCGCCGTAGCTCTCAAAGACGGACCTAGTCTCATCGCTGCGGATGACATTCTCACAGCAGCCGTCGTGAAAGCTACAAGCCACGACGAGCTCTCAATCGATACAGAGAGCGCTCAATTCATCTACCGTCACGTTCTCTCTAGCCCGTCGAGCCTCAAGCATCTCGTAAGCTTAATCTCTTCTCGCGTGAAACGCACGCGAAGCTGGGCGGTTGCGTTAAAAGGCTTAATGCTAATGCACGGCTTCTTCCTCTGTAAAACAACCGTCGCCGAATCGATCGGACGGTTACCGTTCGATCTTTCGAGTTTCGGCGAAGGTAGTTCACGGATTATGAGCAAATCCGGTGGGTTTAATCTCTTCGTACGCGCTTATTTCGCGTTTCTTGATCGAAGATCGATTCTATTTCACGACGGGAATCGTCATCGGTACAATGAAGAATCATCGGTTCTGATTAGACTTGTGATTATACGTAAGATGCAGATTATTGTGGATTCTTTGATTAGGATTAAGCCGATTGGTGAAACCATGAATATACCTTTGATTAATGAAGCAATGGAGAATGTGATTAGTGAGATCATGGAGATTTACGGTTGGACTTGTCGTCGGATTGCTGAAGTTTTACCTAACGTGCATTCCAAGATTGGGAAAACAGAAGCAGACTTGGCGTTGAAGATTGTTTCTAAATCTACGAAGCAAGGAAGAGAACTCAAAAAGTATTTTGAGTTTTGTAAAGATTTGGGAGTTTCTAATGCTCAAGAGATTCCTAATTTCGTGCGGATTCCTGAAGCGGATGTGATTCATCTCGATGAACTCGTAAGGACTTCGGAGATTGATTCGTGTGAGGAAGGTGTGGAGAGAACGGAGATTGTTGTTGAAGAAGAAGAAGAAGAGATAGAGACGAGGCCTGAGTTGGTTTCTGATTTGATAACACTTGATCATGATGAGGAAGCTCCTGCTTCTCCTACGAGAGTAGTTGTTGTTGATATTCCAGATTTAATTAGCTTTTAATTATGTTTATGTTCTGTATTAATTTGGATTGTTGTTATTGTTCATATGGTACACATTCAAATTAATTTCGCGCTAATTTCATTTTACTTGGGACAAATCTTTACTTGGTCTTAGTTGAGGATTACATGTTTTTTTCAACTATGCAAGTACAAATAGAGGTAAATCTGAAAAACAAAAACATTTTTAATTAAAAGAATATCTGTTACAAGTCAGTAAAATGTTTAGAAGGAAGAAAAAAAAAAGTACAAAAAAAATAAATTTCCCTGCAGATTTTTCTCAGACACTTTCTTCCTCAGACACAGATAGACAAACAAACAAAAAACAAAGCAACGTATGATAAAAAGTGGTAAGAAAAACAGAGAACTCTGTTTCCAAACCCTACAACGAAGATGGTTTTACCTGAAAACAGAATCGAACTCAGATTGCAGAGAGAATTTTGAAAAAGGTCACAGAAGATTTGTTGTATATATACATAAACCATCATTGAGAGATTCCATCCCGGAAGAGATCGAAAAAACCGCCGGAAACACTCACTTCTTCTTCTTCATCTTTTTTTACTAATCAAGCAACTAATCATCTGATTGTGACGAACTTGTTAGTTCCATGCCTTGCCCAATGGCTCTTAAGATCAATCGGATTTCCAAAGTTAAACCCATCAGAAGCGAGTTTCTCAAGAACCTTCTTAAATGCGCCCTGACTCATCTTCCTTCCCGAGATCCTTGCTCCACGGCGTTTAGTACTCATCGGTAATGGATGCATCGAGATGTTTGTGGTACAACAAGCAGACTGCCAACCTCCACATCCCCAACGGTAGCATTGCTGGGGAGCTCCAGTGCAAGTGCAGATCGGGACAGGAAGACCCGAAATGTCCATACTCACTCCGTTAATCACCAAATCGACACTTTTCTTAACCGGTTTAACTCGAGAAACATTCGTGTTGTTGTTGTTGCTGTTGCTGTTCTCATCCTTTGGTTTCCTTGGCTTCTTAGCCTTTGCTGTGGAGCCAGCTTTTGCATTGGTCTTTCTCTTCTTAGTCTGAACAACAATCTCTTCTTCCAATTTAACCGGGGTCTCCTCGGTTTGATGATGATGATGGAGATTCATCTGCATCGACGGGGCAGACGAAGTTTCGGGAAGGACATTACCGTAATTAGGAGCGGTTGTAACAGGCAACATATTGAAGAACTTATCCTTCTGTTGGTTAATCCAATTGTAGCTCATGTGGATAGGAGGCTCTTGGTGGTGATATGACCCATTAGGCCCGATCATTAGATTCGGGTCACGGCCAGGTAAAAACGGTTTAGTGTTCCGATCAATGGTAGACATTAGCTGCAAACCGAGATTACCTTTAAACGTAGCAGCCGCTGGTTCATAGTAACCCCAATTGCGAAACCCATCGTCATCCATTTCAAAGATCTACAAAAAATACGTCATTACAAAACAAATTTCAACAAGACAAAACAATCAGAGATTCAGATCCAAATTCAGACAGAACAAAACAATGCAATAAAATCAAACATTTCTATATCTGACTTAAGCTAAACCTCTAAACATTTATAATATCCAGCAACAAACAATGTAAAATCATTAAAAAGATTAGATCTCAGAAACAAAATTAAGGTGGAATGGATATAAACATGAACTCCCAACAACATTAGACATTTAATCCCAAAACCCACATGCAGATCCATAGATCTGGGAAATCCAGAGCAAGATCTAATGAAACAGGACATGAATCAATGGTTAACAAAGCCCAATTCTAAGATATGAAGAAAAGCGGGTACAGTACACACAAAAAGGACCCATCGTATTATAGAAATTGGAGAAAGAAAGAGAGAGGGAGGGAGAGAGAGATGATGTTAGTTAAGATGGAAATGGATTAGGAGAGAGAAAACTTACATGAGAAGAGGGGTTAAACAAAAACGGGGGACTCTTTAAGGGAATTTTTTTGCCCTTCTGGTGAGAGAGGAAAGAGAAACCTGAGAGAGATTGGGGAAAGAGAAGAGGAGGGGAAGAGAGAGGAGAGAGAATTATTATGAGAGAAGATAAGAAAAAAAAGAAGAGAGAGATCTCAAAGAAAGGGAAAGACAGCGTTTTTATTTTAGTCCGACGGAAGAGACAGACAACCCTAAAAATTGTCTCATTTTCTATTTAAGTGTAGGAATACCAAAATGATTAAGAAAGCCATTTGAGAAGAAGACAAAACCAAAGCCCACTCTTTTTAGAAGACATTTTTTGTAAAGCCGAAAGAGATTTGTTGAAAACAAAGAAGATGATGAAGAAGCAATTAGAGAGACTTATTGGACAAATAAAATCATTTCTTTCCTTCCATTTAACGGAACAAGAATCAATTCTTCTCTTTAGAAAAAGTTTAGCAAAACAGATGGCCACATTGGTTAGCCAAATCTATTATACTAGTGGTGTAGAGGTAGACCATTATGCAAATGTATAATTTTAAAATTCAGTGTTTCCAATGTGAGAGATAATGCTCTTAGTCACATACTATATTTTATACATACTGCATTGTGGATAGTCAGAGCTTGTCCCTCACAAACATTCCATTACTTTGGACAATCTCAACAATAACCAGAATTGCTCACTCACTGATATTCATAATTACCATGACAGATTCAAACAAAACCAATCATCAGCACCTTGAATATAAGTTTGGATCTACAATTTCATCAATCAAGAAATTCTTGGCTGCTCAATTCAATCCTCTTCTCGATCGGGCTACTCATCAACTTGAGACTCTTTCTCTTGATGAACTTGTTAGATCCATGGCTTCTCTCTGCACAACATTGCCTCAACAACTTGCGATTTTCTCTATCCAGCTCTCTGTTTTGCTCGCTCACAAGTTCTACCTCTTGCTCTGCTTTAGCAAGATTCAAGATGAGACATTCTTTCTCCTTCTCAATTCTCTTCACCATTGACACTAAAGACACAACCTTTTGCGTTGTTGGCTTTAACTGATCCCATTTTCTCAACAATGTTTGACAACACTTGTCTTCAACGTTAGCCTCCAAGAAGATACGCCCCAATGATTTACTCTCATCTTTGCTAACGAACGATGTCAAAATTGAATCAACCAAACACTCCTCTTCAGATTCGATTCGATTCTTGATTTCATCAGACATTTTTCTAACTTCTTCCTCCAATTCACGAACCCTAGATTCTGCTTCTCTAGCCCTCTCGTCAGTTTCGTTTCCAAATTCCATCAGTGATTCACGATCTTGATGATAAAGAATACATTCTCTTTCCCACTTCTTACACTGATTCACCAAATCCTCGCACTCACTTGCCAATTTCTGATTCTCTTCGACGAATTTCTTCAACGACTGAGCATTCATACTCGCTTCGGATCTCACGAGATCGATTACTTTGTCTTTCTCTTTCAATCTCGAAACGAGAGATAGATATTGTTCACGGAGACGACGCTGAGATTCTTCCGCCGTGTAGAGCTTTTTCTTGAGAGCATCCATGGAGATCGGAAGCCCTAAGGAGTGATCGATTGTCTCTTTGATAAAGTCATCGACTTCTCGCGAGAGATCCATTTTTTTCACGAAACTCAGAATCAACAAGAAATCGCAGACAGAGTTCGCTCGCTGAAGAACTCTTAGGGTTTCTGAAATTCAATAGGAGGAGGATTCGACTTTCAAAATTGAAATCAAAGGCATTAATTAATTATTTGGTCGATGAAACAATTTATAGTTGGGCCGAAATTTTGGCCCATGAAAGTGTACGAAATTGTGTAGGTAATTAAATTTTCATTCTTTCAATTTATTTTTCCATGAACCAATACAAAATCTAACTTTTTGAATCTTTTAATTGGTTCCAAACAAGTACAAAAATAGTAAAATATGCAAAATACATACTATTGGAAATTTCCAATATTTATTTCTTTACATCTTCAAATTATATTTCAGGATATATATGAAAAACAGTTTGGTAAGGAGAAAATATGTGTTTTTGAAATTTATTAGATACAAAGAAACTCGAATTCAAAGGTATTGATAGTCTATTATAATACGTAAAATATATAGAAAAGGATACAAGTAATTTAATTTCTGTAGCCCAAAATAAAGAGAAGAAGAGAGACTCTCCGCTAAAAACCTCTAATGAGAAGAGATGTTTTTAAGAAAATAATCAGACATTGTCTTGTGTCTCTCTTCTTTCTAACAACCTATCTCTTTATCTTCTTTGTTCTAGCAAAATTCGTAAGGAGCCAGAAGCAGAAGAAAACCAACGTGAAAAGATTGGTGTACAGACCTTCTTACTCGCATTTGATCGACCGATAAATGTGACGGACGAAGAGGAGGGCTCCACAGAAGCCGACTGTTCCCAGCATTAAGAAGAGTCCGTAGCAAATGCAAGCCTTGTATCCGAAGAAAAAACGAGGTTTGCATAAAACCCGACATGTCTGATCGTGCATAGTAATAGTATAAGCAGTATGCGTATATAAACAAACCGGTCGATCCACCACAAATGAATGATCTGCAAAATTTGTAGAATCAGACTCAAGGTTTATTGATCAGAGAGAAAAGAATAGAGACGATGAGCTGAGTTTAACGAACCTCCACCACCATTGGTGATCTTCAGCAGCGAGTTGGAAGTAAGTCAAGGCAACGGTTATAAAAGCAGTGACTATGATGAGAATGATGAAGACGATGAAGAGGATGATGTAGATGGTGTAGATCCGGTGACCCCAGACACTAGCGAAAATGTAGTAAAGCTCGATATAGATGGCACTGAAAGGAAGAAAACCAGCCATGGCCATCTGAGGAATAGCACTTCTGTACCAAGGGAGTGGTGGAATCTCACGGGGATATTTGGTTGTACGGCATGGTGCTTGGAACTCCGCTTTGCTGTTTTTACCCGCAATACCACCCAAGACGAGTAAAGGCGATGTGACTAGAGTCCATATAAGGACGATCACCACAATGGTTCCAAAGGGTAATGCAGCAGTTGCAGTGTAGGTGATGGCTACGGTGTTAAGGAAGCAAAAGGTTAGGAATAATGGGCCACAGAAGAGACATCCTGTGAGTAACAAGTTCCTCACCTGCAATAATGTAAGAAAAATGAGAAGTTGGTTTACTTTTGGTTGAAAATGATATTTGAGATAAAGGGATGATTCTCATTATGTGTAAATATTTACCCAGCTTTTTTCTTCAAGTTGGCAGTAGAAAGAGGCGGATGTGTATCCGGCAATTCCAGAAGTGAGAGCGTAAATGACCACCAAAGCGGTAAAGAGTGCTCCTCGGTTGTATGGGTAGAACACTCCAACAAGAGCAAGCATGAAAATAAATATGGTGCTGATGGCATGGAGTAAAAGGAAAAGCTACAGTTAGTTATAGTAAGAAGAAATGCAAATATGGATGAAAGTGTATCCGGATGGAAAAATACTGGAGTTATGTGAGACTTACAGCGTGAACAATTGAGTGCCACTACCGAGGGATGCGGCGAATAAAGAATTGTGAGTAGGGAACCGAAACACATCGCTATGAATGTACTTCCATCCAGTTTCCTCTTGATCATCAGCAGCTTCCTCATCTTGAGCATACCTTTTAATCATTGGAATAAGGTCAGATGAGATAGAAAAATCTAAAATAGTCGACTGTTAGGTATCACAAGTAACTTAAAACTTACTTCATGAAATCATTCTTGAGGACTCGCATTAAGATAGTTGCAAGGAATCCAGCCAAAAGAAGGACAGTGACACATGAGTTAATAATGGAGAACCAGTGGATTTCCAAGTGATGTGGAAGAGAAGAAGACATAGAGTACTTCTCCATTCTTTTCTCAAAAGGAGTCTCGGTTTCCTTCCACTTCACATTGTACATAAACTCTGCATCAACTTCCTTGTCCTCAGTGAGATCCACAAGCGAATGAGGATCCATCCTGGCACTGATCTCAATCACACGGTCCTTGTTGTATAGAATCTCAAACTATAAAGCAAAATCGATTGGATCATATCAAAAACATAGGAATCATTCAATGTAAGATCAAAATGACACCAAATCAGGAGATGTCACTTGACTGATAAATGTAAAAGGTCAAAAATTTAAGCTAATTCAGTTGTAGCCAAGTCCAATTTATCATTAAACAAATGAAATGTGTGATTAATCTAGTAAGATATATGCATACCTGGGATACAGAAGGGAAGATCAAAATACCGATACGTCTCACTGGAATCAACATCGAACAAAACCAAAATCAGTCATATATAGTATTCAAATCTAAGACAGATCCATCACAAAACGAAAGCATTCCAAATGTAGTTTCCTCTTTCACTCTATGGATTTTTTTACATAACACATTTTGTATTGTACTCAAAATATTCAATGTCTCATTACTCAATTCAACAGCAACAGATTCAATAAATCAAATCGTATGTGTAATCAACGATCACAATCTCAGATCTGAAGCTAAAATCTGGGATAAAAGTTACCTTGGATTGTGAAATGGGCCGACCTTGTTGGCGTAGAGAGGAACGGTGTCTCCTTCCTTGTAACGGTGGTCGGAGGCGTCAGATCTGACATGGCCGGCGCCGGAGAAGAGGATAGCTCCGACAAGAAGGAGAAGCGTCGTCGGTGTCCTCATTGCGTTTTCTGCTCAAATCGTGAGATCTGAGTTAATTTTTTTTTTGATTTGAGAGGAGAAAGAAAAATGGAGGAAATAACGACAATATTTATATACCAACAAGACTTCAATCAAACTCGAGTCAGCTTCACTTTTTTTTTCCTAAAAAAAATACATAAAATTATACCATCTCCAACCATAAAAATAAATTTCAATAATTCATAAATTATTATGTGTACATTCAAATTGTATAAAAACAATTGATATGACTTTTGAAACCAGGAGTACTTACTTTATAACAATTGTGTCATTTCACAATATATAAATCATTCATCTAAATTAATTTCGGATATATGGCAAGTGGCAACAATATACAATGCGTTTTTATCATGTTGAGAGATGAAACTTGAAACGTTATATATATATAATTAATTTTTTTTTTTTCTGATAACTCAGGATAGATCCTAGACTTATGGCGGGGCCCAGATTAATTTCTGGGGGAAGTGCAGCCCATGGATAGACCTTCTCTCCGGATATTCAAATGGGCCGAAAGCAAGGGTCCATATCCATGTGGGTGTCCAGAAACAATGTGTTGGAGTTTCACGCAGTAGGTGGATCGAACTTGAGACGTGTTGGCGTATCAAGCCCGTCTCCTTACCACTTGACCACAAGATCCTAGACATATATAATTAATTACATGCACTACATTAGCAAATCATTTTTCCATATGTAGGCAGGGTCGAATTCATTGTTCTGCCAAACCTATTTATCTTTTTGTGTTTTTTCCTCGGTCGATAATCTTACCGCCTGGTGTACATTAACATTAATATATCTAAACTATTTTTTTGGAGATGTGCTTTTAGTCAAGTGGTTAAGTCCATTTGACTCCGCCTTCCCCACCGGAATTCGACTCCACTAAGTCGCGTTACCCCGCGTAATAGGGATTGGCTATGGATCGGGCCTTGTCGATCTAAAGATGTCAAAAAAAAAAAAAAAATCTAAACTATTTTCAAATTATTACTTTGTATTAGTGTTAGATGTCGACATTGATGTTATATTATACATGATATTAGTTTTTGTTGTAGTTGACAAATACTATACAATCAAATTCCTTATTTTGTTTTAGTTGACAAATACTATACAATCAAAATCCTTTTTTAAAATATGGTACGTGCGCTATCGTACGTAATTGCTTTGCATGATCTAACGTCATGATAGAATCATATAAACTATCTATTAAACAATTTAAAACATTCATTATAACGTGCATCGTTTGATGGCATGGATGACTTAAGGTTTTCAATTTTATAAGAGAACTAGCAAGAAAACAATGTAGCCACTTACACACACACAAAAAAAAAAAAAAAGACTAGCGTGGAACATAGTAACAAACAATTTTAAAAAAAAACAAAAAAAAAAACAAAGCAAGTAAGCAACAAACAAAAATGAAAAACCTAGATTGAACCGAAAATAAAAGCTGTAAACCCAATCTTGGTTCACTCTTAAACGAACCAAATACGGTCCGGTCTCGCTCACGGTCGGTGTTTTTGGTTCAGTAAAAAAATTTCCATTGACAAATAAATGCATCATTGACCGTAATTAACGATAATCGTTTGCTTCTTTCTAACGGAGATGACGAGTATAATCGGCGCGACGTTACCGTACAAGTCACCGGAGAAAGCAATTGCATCTTCTTCGTATTCAGCCGAGAACGATTCGAGTCCTGTTGATGCCGTTATTTTCGCGGGAACTTCGCTGGTTCTCGGCACCGCCTGTAGACATTTGTTTAACGGCACTAGAGTTCCGTACACCGTCGTTCTTCTCGTCATCGGCATTGTTCTCGGATCTCTAGGTCTGCTTTATTTGCTCATTCCTTCATGAGTGGGATTTTGATTTGACAAGTGTCTTCAATTTCGTAGAAGATTTAGAAAGATGAAAGTAGTTAAATTTTGGATTTTGATTCTGCAGAATATGGAACTAATCATAATCTTGGGAAGCTCGGCCATGGAATCCGTATCTGTAAGCTACTGTATTTTCTCTTCTCTAAACTGTTAGATTTCGAGCTCTAAAAAATGGCAATTTTACAGGGAATGATATAAACCCTGACCTACTTTTGGCTGTTTTTCTCCCTGCTCTTCTTTTCGAGAGCTCGTTCTCCATGGATGTGCACCAGATCAAGGTTTTTACTTTCATAGAGTTTGTGGATTTTGAGCTACTTCTTCGTCTGTTTTGGTTCCTGGTATTGATTGTTTACTTCATTGGTAGAGGTGTATGGTGCAAATGGTTCTGCTTGCTGGCCCTGGAGTTCTGATTTCTACCTTTTGTCTTGGAGCTCTTATAAAGGTACTAACTTGCTTCAACATTTTGGACTGTGAATAAATGAAATTCCATTGAAGTTACAATTTTTCGAGTTATGCTCTTGTAGCTCACTTTTCCATATAACTGGGACTGGAAAACATCATTGTTGCTTGGAGGACTTTTAGGAGCTACCGACCCCGTGGCTGTTGTTGCTCTGCTAAAGGAGCTTGGTGCTAGTAAGAAGATGACCACTTTAATTGACGGGGAATCTCTGATGAATGACGGGTAATCATGTCAAACTCTTATGTTTAGCATCAAGGTGATGTTATGTCGTTTATGCTCAAGCTTAGTTGTTTTGAAAAATTCAGGGTATCAGTTGTGGTTTTCCAGTTATTCTTCAAGATGGTGATGGGGCATAACTCTGATTGGGGTTCCATAATCAAATTTCTTGTCCAGAACTCATTTGGAGCGTATGGATTATTTTCCTTTGTTAGTGGTATTGTATGTCAGTGTTTTTTCTCCGCTTATGTTGTTCTGGTTTTTTTAGTGTAGGCATTGGTATAGCTTTTGGAATTGCATCAGTTTTTTGGCTTAAATTTATATACAATGACACGGTGGTGCAGATCACTGTAACACTTTCAGCGAGCTATTTCGCTTATTACACTGTATGTCTGTATGCTCTTCTCCAAAACTTAATCTCCAATGCGAGAATCTTAAATCTCTAGAAAACCTAAGAATTTTCTACCATGTACAGGCGCAAGAGTGGGCTGGGGTTTCTGGAATTTTGACTGTGATGATTTTGGGGATGTAAGTCGTGGTGAATTATCCATTCTTTATGTTGTTATCGTGTTAAAAACCCATTGTTCATAAAATAATTGTGATAGGTTTTTCGCTGCATTTGCAAGGACATCATTTAAAGGTGACAGTCACCAGAGTCTGCATCACTTCTGGTATTTCACAACTCAGTGTTCTTTTTTCGTCAAATCAAAGGAAGATATTGACATGTATATATTATAAGTCTATGACTGCCCTTTAACTTCTGTAGGGAAATGGCCGCTTATATTGCAAATACGTTGGTTTTTATACTCAGGTACGAAGTGTCTGGCAAGATTCAAAAACAGAAAGTTACTTGGTTATTATACAAACAAAATACTGCAGTCAATGTTTTATAGCCGATTGATACAAGATCATTGCATATGTTTCTCTTGTGAATTGCAGTGGAGTTATTATTGCTGAAGGCATTCTTAGCGGTCGGACAATATCTTACAAAGGTGCCTCGTCACATTTTTAAGTTCTGAATTTTTTTTTTTATTTTGTTTCTTGGAAGATGTAAACAGATGTTTTCTCCTAGAGTTCATCATGATACATCACTAGTTCCTGATACCATTACCGCAGTAGCTTTCTTTTTGACATATGTTGGGGTTAAGAGGAATATTCATGACTTGTAAGATTCTTCTCAGGAAACTCGTGGGGCTTCCTTTTCCTCTTATACTTGTATGTCCAACTTTCCCGCTGTGTTGTGGTTGGAGTTCTGTACCCATTGCTATGCCGTTTTGGCTATGGCTTGGATTGGAAGGAATCCATCATACTCACGTGGTCTGGATTAAGGGGTGCTGTTTCGCTGTCGCTCGCTCTATCTGTAAAAGTGAGTTCTTAAGAAATGGCATTTCATTCATGCAAGTGCAATATCTACTACTTATATGTTATCTGTTTAAAATATTTTATATTCATGTTCCCATTTCCTTTTCCCTGACATACTCTAGCTCTCGGTCATATGATTCAGCAATCAAGTGGAAATTCATATCTCAGTTCGGATACGGGAACAAGGGTGAGTTCTGAAACACAGTATGAACTACTTTTGAATTTCTTTCTGGAGGCTCTTTTTGTTATCTTAATGTGTTTCAGCTGTTTTGCAGTTTCTATTCCTCACAGGTGGAATTGTTTTCCTAACTTTGGTTGTTAATGGATCCACTACCCAATTCCTCTTGCACCTTCTTCGCATGGACACTTTAACGGCCACTAAGGTCAGGATGTTAGTCCTATATCCTCTTGTGCTGCTACTTTTCAAATCTAAAAAGCAAAGACTTTGGTAGATAATGGAACCTCTGATCATCCATCTTTATGTTCATACATGCAATAGCTTAGGTTTGTGCGTTTTACAAACCGATAATAGGTAGTTAGAGATTGGAATCAACCTGATTCAGAACCTGTCACTGATCCTTCAAATGTACATACAATGTTTGCAACTACTGCTACAGAAATATAATGATTATGCTCCTCTGGTTTGTGTTTTCTATTGACAGAAACGAATATTGGAGTATACAAAGATTGAAATGATGAAGACCGCTTTAAAAGCTTTTGAAAATCTAGGAGATGACAAGGAGCTTGGATCTACTGACTGGCCGACAGTTATAAGACATATTTCAAGCTTGAAAGATTTAGAAGGGAGACAAATTAATCCTCACAATGGGTACGAAGCTGGAAGTCTTGACCCTACTAATATAATGGACATACGTATACGCCTCTTAAATGGTATTTCACAATGCGTAGTAAATTCTTCTCACTGCCAAACTATTGTCGTTCCACAAGTAGCTATTGATTCGAGACTCTAGCATGTATCAGGTGTCCAGGCAGCTTACTGGGAGATGCTTGATGATAGGAGAATAACACAATGTACTGCCAATGTTTTGATGCAATCAGTAGATGAGGCACTTGACCTTGTTTCTACCAGTTCTTTAAGCGACTGGAGGGGTTTAGAACCACATGTTCATTTCCCAAATTACTACAAGTTTCTTCAATCAAAAATGATCCCCCGCAAGTTGGTCACGCATTTGATCGTTGAAAGACTGGAATCTGCTTGTTGCATTTCCTTTGCATTTCTATGTGCCCATAGGATTGCGCGACAGCAATTGCATGAATTCCTAGGTATGCATCACTCTGTTCTGTTATAACTTATAATATCTCTATGTTAAATTCGTTAAGACTCTGCATATTATCTCACAAATAAAGACTAAAATACTGTTATCTATTTCTATCTGATCTGAGCCTCAAATGAAAACCTTTGGTCCATCATTAACCTGAGAATGAGCTTTCTTCTTTATCGCTGCTCCCAGCCTCATCTGTCTCTCTTACTTATAATGTTTTCTTTACACAGGTAACAGTAACATTGCTTCTACTGTAATCAATGAAAGTGAGGGGGAAGGAGATGAAGCAAAACAGTTCTTGGAAGATGTCCGTAATTCATTTCCCCAGGTTTGGAACCATAATACTTTTCTTGAACCCATAAATTTCGTCAGCAATTTAGTAATATGCTGATATTGGCCAAAACATTTGTCAGGTTTTGAGTGTTTTGAAAACAAGACAAGTAACACAGTATGTGCTGAATCATCTAAATGGTTATATCAAAAACCTTGAGAAGGTTGGGCTGTTAGAAGGGAAAGAAGTTTCTCATCTTCAAGATGTTGTTCAGGTACCAATTTGTAGATTCTTTGTCCTCCATGTTTTAGCTACATGATTGAGCTTATCTCTCACACTCTCAGTCTCACTCTCACTCTTCAGTCTGACTTGAGGAAGCTCTTGAGAAATCCTCCTTTACTAAAACTTCCAAATATAGACGATCTAATCACCAGCAATCCTTTATCGAAAGATCGCTCAAGCTTCAGGAGTTTGGCCATTGGCGAGACAGATGCATGAACTGAGACTTTAGGTATCCTTGTCAGAATCAAGTAGAGGAGTAAACCCAGGTTTCAGGACCGAGTCATGAACTCGTTTGTATGCTTATACTCTTCTTCTTCTTTTTATGACCAAAAACAAAAACAGTCCTTCCGTATATTTTTACTTGTTGGTATAGTTTTACTTGTAGATTGTGGATTTGTGAACAAAAAAGTTCGCATTATTTTCATTTTAAACGCATATACACTAAATAATTACGCTTATCAAAGCAAAAAGTATCTCATTATTGCCTCATTCATGGGTTATCCAAAGATTATTTTAGTTATTAATCACACATATAGAGTATAATACAAAAATATGAAAAGTATCCTTAGAAAATAAAATGATTATGGTTACAATCCGAAAAGGAAAAAAACATTAACGAGGAAACAAATCCCGGTCGCTCTTTAAGCCAAAAACGCGTTAACTTGGAACCAAAGAAAGAAAGAAAGTCTACGACCACTTCAAACTCTGAACAGTGTACTTTAAACTAAACCTATAGTAATCACTTATATGCAAAACATATATAGATCCCAGAAATATTTAAATTCCCAAATTATAAATGAATTTGCAATAAGAAGAAAAATAAGAACGGGCCAACGCGTCTTGAGAATTTTCACGCGGTTCTTTTAACTCTCCCAACTCTTCTTCACTATAAACTCACGTCGGCAGTTCCAGCTTGCAGAGACACATCATCATCTCTATTACTAAACCAAACCGAAATAAACCGGGCAGAGAGAGAGGGAGAGAGAGAGAGAAATGGGTGAAAGAGAAGCTTGTCTAGTCCCGAAGAGAGGACAAGTTCTTAAAAGAGTTATGAGAGTTGTCTTCTTTTCTTGTCTTTGTTTCCCTTCCCGGAGAAGTATACAATCATGTCTCCGATCATCTTCCTCTTCTTCTTATGTCACACCTTCTCTTGAAACCATCAAGCCTTAGGACATTTATAGGACCAAACCAAACTCTTAGGATGATATTAATTTCAAAACCCAATTCTCTTTTTTTTTTATTCAACTTGTTTTGTACCAATAAGTCAAAGACCATAAGCTCTCAATGCATGGTCTCTGAATCACCAAGATGGGTATGGGTCATTTCAGAATGTTGTAATAGTTCATGTATAAGCTACTTTGCTTTTGTAACTTTACTTTTCTTTAGTAATTCTGAATTTTCAAAACACAAACTCGAAGTCTTTTTCAGTTTTTCTAATTTTCTCATATCATTTCAAGCTTACCAATCTTATGTAGCCTTGTTCAATACTACAAGCATTATGGACGATATTATTTATAATCCTCTTCTCATACTCTACTCTAAGCCGTGTTTGGAAACAAACTTAGCCGAGACAAAGAGTTCTGGTCTCTGGAGGTGACAGCATCAGAGTAGAACCAAACATTTTCTACAAGCAGAGGAGATAACCTATGTTTAAAGCCTACAAGGTTCTCAATGTTTCAACTAACATCTTAACTGTTCTAATTGCGTGTGTACCTTCGACAGTGATGAGCCTTTCCACGCAAAGCTGCATCCTCGTATCGTACCTACAAAGAAGAGAAGCAAAACTTCACTAAAAATGCAGAACAACAGTAAAAACGCACAAAACTAAGTATCAAATATGTTCTTTTAAGATTACAGAGCAAAACGTTGCCCCAAAACTAGCTGCACAACCAAAACACACCTAAGTCAGTAATAGTAGAGATATAATGAGCCAAGAATAAAGAGGTGTGCATAAGAGAGCAGTACATATAGCTTTGGACACCAATAAAACCATCTATTAAAGAAGAAGAATTAAGAGATTAAAAAGCATTTCCCTGTGTCCACCAACGGTCTCTATCTCTTTCTCCCACCACGTTCTCTCAAAGACAGTGTAACGATTTCTCCTGCTCCCACATTGTAATGTGCAAGTGACATGTTGTCCTTTAAGAATCCAGTTTTTCCACTTAACTTCTGTTTGTTTGCTGGAATTTGCATCTCCCCAGCTATTTTCTCCTTCAAACTTCCCACGTTTTCAGATAACGACTGCACTGTGATCTCCATGACTTGTCCATCATTCTCGTTTGGCTTAGAAACCCTGATTGTAGCCGGACCCTGAAAATATGTAAAACAGGTAAGATACAACTCAGACGAAGGAAGAAAGAAAATATTACCGGATGCTGAGCAAGAAACTGGTCTTCTGGAACAAGGGCTGACTCATCGAACTTTTGTCTCTTTGTCTCTGGCTCCTCAGGAAGAGGCGGTGGTGCCTCCCCGGGTGGTGGTGGAAGAGGCATTTCAGGCATAGGTGGTGGGTGCACGTGCATCATCCCCATCGAATGCGGTGGAAGCTGACCATAAGGTTGAGCAAACTGAGATCCCGGTGGAGACGGCACATGCATAACAGGCTGCATTTGTGGTGGTCGATTCATCATCATCGAAGGGTGTCCATGTGGCCCAGTCATAGAGAGGTGGTGTTGTTGATACATGGGCTGCATCATTGGAACACCTAATGGCCTTGGTGCACCAAGGTACTGAACAGAAGGAGAAGGACGAGGGAGGTTCAAGGCGAGATTAAGAGGTGGTGGCAATGGCCGGACTGTTGGGACACCTGGTCGAGTAGGAGGAAGAGCGGCTGGACCAGGGAAGCTATTGGGATCACCATAAACTCCATCGCCTTGCTCTCCGTTAGAGTTCTGAGTCAAGGCTTGGTTTGCTGTGCGACCAATACTTCCAGTGTGACCATCCCATATTAATTGTTTTGGTTGCTCATCTTTCTTCTCAATCTCTGCTTTTACAGCATTTGAGACTTCTTCTTCTGTTGTTCCAAAGATATCAGGACGCAGGCGGGCCAACCCAACTATGTTTTTAGCAATCTCATCATCTTGTGCAAGTGTGGTCTCACGAATCTTAGCAAACATCCGATCTTTCTGCTCTTTGAACTTAGGATCGATAAGTGAAATCCTCATGTGCTCAGACATCTCGGTAATGGGAATGAGCTCACCAGTAATTGGTGATATAACAACTTTACTCGAATCTCTCTCTGTCAAAAACCTATCTTCTGGCCTCTTCCAGTTCTTAACAATTCTCATTGGTGCTTCTTCACAGTGTACATTTTCAATCTCCACAGAGCCAACATACTCTTCTAGGTTCGCTGCTCTCATTCTTTCTGCAACAAGCTTAACTTCTTCTTCATCCATTTCCATTTCAACCGCCTTTCCAGGCTCAACAATTTCATCTTCTTCCATGGCAGAAACTTTGCTCCTCCTTATAACCTCCTCAAGTGTCATAGGCACTGGCAACTCTTCATCTTCCTCGTATACAAATTCTATCGACTCAACAACTGCAAAATCATGCCAATCTATCAAAACCATCTGCACTCTCTCCTTCTCTTTCTCATCCTCTTCTTTCTTCCTCTCCTCCTCCTGAGAACGATCCCATTCAAGCCGATTCAAACAACGCTCAAGAATAATCGTCAAATCAGCGACACTCTTTCTCAGCTTTTCTTTCAAGTCTCTGGGAGGCATCAATACTTCTGAATACGCATCAACCAGAGAAGTGAAAAAAGTGAACATACTATGTGTTGGTTTCATAAACTGAAACTGAGAATTGTTCATCTCTCTACTCATCAGTCCCCTTAAAAATGATTCCCCATTCCGCGCCACAAACTGCGCTGTATGCTTAATAATATCAAGCTCCTCCTCCATGATCCCTATAGGAAGTCTAACTGTATACTTGTCAGGTTCAGGAGCTTCTAAAGTCTTACGAGGAACCCTAAATTGATCCTGAAGGTCAGGTTTTGCATGAGACTCATCAGCAGAAGCAGCAGGATCAAGTTGGGGATCTTCTGTATCATCAAAATCAGTACCTTGAGCTCCGTCTCGAATCTGAGCACAGTACTCAGCGATCTTGTGCTGGTAAAAGGCATGATAAGGATTATCACTTTTCAAAAAGTTGAAATTAGGGTTATTGGCTTTCTCTGTTTTAACTTTGTTTTCAAACTTTAAACCGTTTTGCGAAACAAAATGAGCCGTTGTCTCGACGATTTTTCTGATATCAGGAGGTGGATAAATGATTCCGATCGTCTTTGTATGAGTAGCCACAGCTATGGGAGCTTGAATTGAATTGTTTTGCTCTGTTTGCAACTCTTTCTCTTTGATTTCTTCATCCGTTAATTGCGACGGAGGAAGTGGACCTAGGTTACCGTCAGCAGGAGGAGCCTCTAGTGGCAGTATCTGCATCGAATTGAACATTTTTCTGCAACCAGCAAAAGGAAACACATTAGCATCAAATTCTGAAGAAAAAAGGAAATTAATATCAGAGTTGAGTATACTTGACCTAATTCATAGGTTTAAATCTGCCCTAGAAACTATCTAATCATCTGAAATAGGTTGATTAAGCGGGAAAAAAAAATCGTAAGAACCATAATTTATTTCGGTTGGAAGAAGGCAGAATCCTGAAAACCAAGATACGAGACTAGGCTTAGGAGAGAGATAAGAAACATACCGTATACCTCAACAGGTAAGGAACAGAACCGCCGCGAGAATCGCCGTGACGTGGAGGAGAAGCGTAGGACGGAGCAAATTCGTGATCTAATTCGATGGATGTCGATCTTCGAGGAAAGAGAGAAAGGGCGTCTTAGAATTTTATATGTATCGTATTATATTTGTTGTTCGGCTTTTACTTTTTGACTTGGGCTTACAATTTGGTCCATATTTAATTATTAGACCGACTTAATCATGCAAGGCTTCATGTAGTAAATGATTTTTTTTTTTTTACGAGGCATCATTTACATTATTAAAAATTTTAAACATTTACCAAATTTCGATCTATTTGTTGTAACAAAATTTCAAATTTTAAAAACAAAAATTATTATAAAAAAAAATATTGAGGAAAGATGATGATGATTCAAAAAATATTATTGTTTATTAATTTTAACCATGGTCTACCGACATGGACCCAACTTACCCACTAAGGTCTAAGGTCAAAAAGCTAGGTTGGTCTTGCTCCTTTGGAAAGGAAAAATAATGGTAAAGACCGGTAAATTAGTAGTTAAATGTCCCATTTAAATTCAAGAAATCTAACAAAGAGACAGCATTAACAATTGTTAATTATTAACCAATCCACGTCAGTAACCACCTAAAAATGTGTTTTGTTTTTCCCACATGCTAAACACTTAAAAGCATTACTAGTACTGACTACAGTACAGTACGAGTGCTTGCTTTTCTTTGTCCCGTACATAAAATGCCGACAAACGTCACATTACATAAACAGAACGTCATGTATCTGACTGTGCAAATCGAGCTGCGTCTACGACGTTTCAGGCCCATAATATTAAACTAATTATATTTTTTTGGTATCAATGTTAAGTTAAACTAATTATATTTTGATGGTTTAGTATAAAACAAAATTTGAAGTAAAACGTTGTTCTAATTTGAAATTCAAATTTTCTTAAACAAATGATTGATTGTACATGTTGTAGTTCAGAAAAATGTAGTAGACGCTTGACAAACTAGATGCATTTTTATTGATGAAAAAAACGATTTTTCTTTCCTTGTTGTACTTATTATTACTCATTCCGTTTCGTTTTAGTTGTCGTTTAAGTTTTTTTTACACAAATTAAGAAAAACATTAAATTTTCTGTTTTACCCTTTATTAATATATTTTATAAAAAAATTTCATTGGCCAAAACATTAAAACAGTAGAGATAAAACTGGAATTTTCACCTAACATTTGCATTGAAAACCTAAAACGACAACTATTATGAAACAAAATTTAAATCCTAAAACGACAACTAAGGGTCTGACTCGTTAAAAAACCAGAAGAAATGAGAAGAAAAAATAGAGGAAAAGAAAAGTCCCATCAAGAAGAAAAAAGAGTTCTAGTTGTTTACGAGATGAAAGAATTCTTTTGTTGTAGTTACTTTTTGACAATTTTAGAAGAAAAAGTTTTCTTCTAATTTTTTTTTTAACTGGTATATAACTGAAAAATTTTTACTTCTACGTTTTTTTTTTTCTTCTATTGTAATTAACCAGTCATACTTTAAATTGAAACGGAGAGAGTACGTAATAATCAATAATCATCAAGTAGTTTGAACACACAGGTCAGAAAGTAATGATTTGTTGCGTAACATCATATAACCCATCTTCGAGAATTTCATGATAAGGTACTAAATACTCTCTCTTTTTTGTTTGTATTTGCTTTTCAACAAATTCTTTTCTTTTGCTTTCATTTCTTTACTATTTATTCTTCTTCACGCTTCGTCTTATTTATGTGGTGTCTACTGAATATTTATTTTACTAAAGAACAAAAGGGTTTGCTAGGGGGAAAAAGGGTAAAGAACAAAAAGCACGAACATGCAAAAAAAAATAATAAATCAAAAGGAAAAGAAAAAAAAGAGTATTCAATAACATACAAAATCTTGATTTTTTTTTTTTTTGGTTTAGTAGAGTTTCTAAGATAATCTTGATATTCTTTTTCTTTCTTTTTTTTAGTGATAATCTTGATATTTTTTTTGAAGAGGTTTCAAAATAATTAAAAGGAAGGATTTTTTTTTTAAATGGAAAAACATATATAACAACCTTTCTCATTATATACAACAATAGGTTTGAACATGTCAACCAATGATTAGTCATTTTGCAACATCTCCAATATCTCGTGACATATATCATCCCATAGTTCTTATAATAGTAAATGTGCCCCTCTAATTACCAATATTACATATATCATCCCTTAGTTCTTATAATAGTAATTGTGCCCCTCCCTAATGTTTGTATTTTCGTGAAAGCAACCACGGCTTTGCCTGATAGACCCGGTCCATCTGCAGAGACACACGGACGGCATGCAAAATCTCCAACCGGATGTCGAACCGGCCGAGCCGGTGGCATTAGAATCCTCTTATTAATGTCATTTAGGGTTACGTCTTCTTCTCGACCACCTGGTTTCACCACTCCAAATGGATACACTACCCTCTTCTTTTCGTCATAGTCATTCTTCTCTGTAATGCGCAAGTGTTACATTAGTGTTTATATAGACCGGAATTTATTTATTTATTTTTATTAACGCGATATATTAGTGTGACAATTACGCATAAACATAAATCCACAACGAAAAAATGGATATGATCCCATATAGTACACTTCTTTGGAAGATAATATAGAATGCTTACTTGACATGGACGAGGATGGTTCGAAAGAGTTTTTTGCACAAATTGAAGATTTTCCTTCTGAATATATATCGATGGAAGAATTTGGAGATTCATCTGTTTAAGTATATGAAAATTATGTTAAAAAATTATTCATCAAGATTATCCAATTAGCTTACTATTATATTAAAACTGCACTGATATATTGATTTATATGATAATAATAATAATAAATACTACTAATATTTATGCTCCAAAGACATATGGGTGATAATAATAAAGAAGTAGGTCTCACCTGCAAACTGACTACTCGTGCAACTATAATTCTCAGACAGGCCCCAATGATTCTGCATTATTATATTCCACGATCAACAAAATCAGTTTCATAAGAAATAAAAAATAGTAAAGATATAATTACGTAAATGACGAAAGAAAAAACAGAGTAGTAATTTAAAAAAAACCTGAGAATGGTCTATATCATAATTTGGTTTGTCCTCGGCGCCGTTGAAGGAAAGACGTCTCCGTTTGCCTCTCCCACTGAATTCGATGAGTGCGTCTTCAAGGTATCCCGTGGAAACGTCCCCGATTTCCATCTCCGGCGAACAGAATATATTCTCCGGCGATTCATCAATGATCCCCCATGCATCTACAAGTACATTGCATGGCCAAATTCATCCCGTTATGTGTGTGTGTGTATATAGAAATATATATTTTAATTGAATTTGTTTTAAATTACTAGCACAAATACTTTCATCTTTCAACGAAGGAATACATTAATTTGTTTGCAAGAAGCCACCAACAAACTTAACATAAATCATATCTATAAACATACATAATTAAAAGAACGGTAATACAAATATGTTGTTGTCCGTACCTAGATTGAAGTTTTGGTTGAAGAGTGATCCAAGGTTATGGAGATCCCAAGAGGGGAGAGAGTAGGAAAGCTCACTCATTTTTTTAGTGATTTGTGGATTGACTGTGAATGTGTTGAATTAAGGGGAGACCATGTGCCTGCCTATTTATCTTGGTGGGTTGTGAGTAAAAAGTTAAATAAATTTAAATAATTCAAATAAAGAATAAAATGAGAAACAAACGAGAGAGGAAAAAACAAGCTAAAGCAGTGGAGAGAATTTAGTACTTAACACAGTCAACTGTAAAGAAAAGATAAGAACAATAATGGTTGGATAGTGTGTGCCCATCAGGATCTATTTCATACAAAATAATATAAATTTTTAGTGATTATTTGTGAGATGTTGATAATGAACATTTTTAACCGCATTTTTTACAAAAATATAATTTTAGTTTTTAAATATGATTTGTGACTAATTAGAGTTAAACAGAAAAATCCTTGTTTAAAAAATCGTTAGGCGCTAGTCGGGCGTTAGGTATGGGTCTAGCGATTAATCGGAAAATCGGATTAAAATCGGAGATTAATCGGGGATTAGTTTTAGGATTATTTTAATATTTTAAAAATATATTAATCAAATATTGTTTTCAAAATTGCAGTAAACACATAAAACTGTATTTTTGAGATTAATTTTTATGAATTTTATTATAAATTTATGATTTTTATTAAAATTTGAACATTGTAAAACATCACAAACTCCCAATTTAAATGATTAAATAACAAAAATAAAAAGTTTTTTATATTTGGAATCTAAAAATAATCAAGATATGTAAAATTAGACGGAGAGTAATCGGATTAGGCAGGAAGTAATCGGATTAGGCAAAATGTAATCAGGTAACTGATTTCTTTAGGAGATTAGTCATTAATCGAGGCAGATAGGGTGGGCCTAACGATTAAGCGGAGAGTAATCAGGATAGGCGGAGATTTTTAGAACAGAAAAATGTGTTCGATATTTAGATGAAGTCTGCTTTACTTAATAAACGAATCTCTCATTCGTTTTGTAAATTAATTTAAAATTAATCCCACAAGCAATTGAATGATCATATATTTTATACGTGCATATTTTACTAGCCAAAGGTTATCTAGTCCAAATGTATTTACATATATATATATACGATGAGGTATACAAAGACAAACTATGTGTCAATGAGAAATGAATTGATATTGACCAATATGTAAATTAAAACAAAACTGGAACAAATGTAAACTAAGTTTTGAAATCTGAGTGGGGTTAGGTAAATGGGGGACTGAATAATGGCTAAAGGCGATGAAACTATCATCATGATGTCTATGTTCTAATGCTGCTCATGCATGTTACTCATGGAAGAGAGAGAAAGTGGTAGATGCATGATATATTGATTTAGTCGTGTAATTATGTATTTTTACAACAAATATATGAAAATTTGGTTATTTTGTGGTTTAATTTGTCCATCTATTACATGAATGATAAAATTTTAATCATAATTATCAGATTATATTATGGTTTAATGTCCCAGTTTACTTTATCGTTTGGTTTACCATGTTAATCTTGGTTTAGGTATTTGTATAAGAAACATACATTGTTTATTTTCAATTTAATGAAGCATAATCTTTAAACAATGAAAAATTTGTTACATCTGAAATGGTATAAGAGCATTTCTTCTCCTTCATCATGCTTCATTCATCTTCCGTAAACTTAATTTTGTTGGTAAAAATAATTATGATGAGTTTAGAATTCGTAAGGTACTTATCGCGCCAATTGGAATATTGTCCTTCCACTTTGAATTAGACTGATAGTGTGTATATATACGACTTTATATAAGCAAAACCAAGTTTTTTTTTTTAATATAACCAACCAAGTTAATCGACTAATCGTGTGTACATATATACGAAATATATAGTTGTTTAACTATCATAAAACAAAACGGGTATAGTTGTTTAACTATCATAAAACGTTATATATATAAAAAAAAAGTCGTTCAAACCAATCAGGGTTTTATATAATTGATTTAGTTATAAAATTATAATTTACCTAAATGAGATGTGAAACTTCGTTGCATGCATTGATTAATCCCACATTCAACCGTATTCTGCTTAAATTACAAAATTCTACATAGAATCTAGCTATGTAATCTTTTTTTTTTCTTTTTTTTTAAATCTATGTAATCTTCATTGATGTGAAATGTTTTAACATTACAAATAAACAATGTAATAAATACAACGACGAGATGTACTAGTTTGGTAAGATGGGTTATCAAAGTCATGCGTGTTCTTTACAAAAAAAGTCATGCATGTTGACAAAAAAAAAAGAAAAGAGTTCAATGTTACACATAAGAGGATTTCAAATTTGCAGCTTTATCTCCGTATGTATTATTCTTCAAAGCAAAATTTGCTTTCTGATTTGGTGAACGACCTGTTCTTCTATTATTAGGTACTTTTTTCCTTAGATTTATATACTTTCATTTCTTCTCCATCGTGGGGTCATGTCATATCCTATCACGTTTAGCATTACTTACCTCTTTTTTTTTTTTTGTTATTTCTATTGATGAGAATATATATATATATATATATATATATAGCACAAAGCAAGCACACTAATTCTACTAAAAGCATGACAAGAAATCTAGTGATTATAAGATTATCGAAAGTTAATTGGGTCTGACTGGTGAGAGAGAACAGGAAAAGAAGTGAGAAGAATTTTTCTTTCTATTAATACGTAGAAGAAAAGTTTCTACTCATAAAATAAAAATTCATTTGATAACAAAAAAACTTTTCTTCCAATATGATAGGACCACGTGATATATTTTTCTTCTATGTAGCACACCAGTCACAGCCATATATGACTTACGTACTTTGCATTTGTTTACAACAAGAAGAGAAAATAACTTCGCATTTGCAATAATGGGACAAAATATGAAAATATTAAAAAAAAAAAAATTAAAATATATAGATTACTTGTCATCGAGTAAGTATGCTTTTTCTCGATTGCAATGCATATAGCCGGCATACGAATTTTCAGTGGGGTCGAATGTAGGCATGCCGGCGGGACCCAATTGGAAAATTAGAAAGATTGCAACCGTATCATTTGTGGGGGCTCTCTTCTTTAAATTCGAGTTTGAATGGTCCAACACACACAAATTACAATATATATATTGGTCAAATTTGATGATTGCAAATTTTGCATCCAGTTGGTTTTCTTGACGGTGATCCCTAGAATTGAGAAATAATTAGTTGATATTTTGGAAAAGAATTATAAACGTATATACGGAGTTGTGATTTACATATATTTTCCAAAAGTTTGGCAAGTTTAATAATGATCAAATAACAAATTTTGTATTTGATCATGGTAGTTAAGCTTTTTTGTTAATAGTTTCCAAATGTTTATTCAACAAGACTACCAATTGTAAGCTAACCACATTGGCCATCATCAAACTCGTTAAAACTTTACTTGTCTCAAAAGTTTATGAATCCATATAGATGTTAGTTGGTATTCAGAAATAGTTGATTTTGTAAAACCATATTTAAACTATTTCTTTCCATACGTAGCATTGAAAACGTTACCAATACAATATCCAATATTTAGTATATATAATTTCAAATTTTAAACGGTATGATGATTGATCCATGATATATAAGCCTCTTTTATTTTGTCATGGGTCCGAGTAGATTTTTGATATCTTATGTTGGCGAATCCTGAGATTATTTTAAACAAGAACCATTTACGACAAAAACAGGAACCATTTAATTAGTGGGGGTAGATTTTAGCCAAGTTTTTTTTAATATCATCAACCAAAAGAACCATGACGGATAAAAAAACCACTTAATTAATGGACTCTCCTTTTGTAAATTATATATTCATAAACAAATACAGATTAGGAAAATTTGGTTTTTTCCAAAGCTGTGCTATACTTGTCTTTGCATGTGTTGTTCATTGGACGGTTCACGATTGCCGATCAGTAATTATGGTGAATCAAACGGTGACGATTGAAGCTAATTAAGTTCTGGCCTCAGTCGGAGATTTTGTCTCTTGCTATTATTTGGACCCATTGCTTTATTAAATAAATACTCTAAAAAAAAAGTCAAGTCCACACTTTAACCAAAAACACAGATGCTTAGTTTTAAGAGGAACCCATAAGAGGGTCTGTTGTCACGGACCATTCTTCTGCATAGTTCGAGACTTGTCGCGTTGTTTTCCCAAGACTACTTTACGTAGATTGATAAGTTTATGGTTCAGTAAAGTGTATGTATTAAGTGATGAGAAACTAAAATTCTATGTTTTGATGTATGAGTCGAAGTAAAAAAAAAAAATGTATGAGTCGAAGTAATGTTACAATTTCTTCATCAAATTCAGCTGTATATAAACAGTATTAAGTATAAACACAAATTATACCAGTATCTTAAATATTATATTTCCAATGAAATATATGTGTAAATTATTTTCTTAAAGGTAATATAAATATATTATTTTTTGTCATGAACGACTCACAAAATTTTCATCTATCCGAATGCCTAGCAAACCGGATTCTGGTTTGGTTATATAATCCAATTTTAATTAGAGAAAACCGGATTATGGTTCTGTCTGGTTATGTAAACCAATAATTTTTCGATCCCGTCGAAATTGTTTGACCTGAAGGGATTTGGAAAAACCCTCTCTCACTCTCAGGCTCAAGCGCCGGCGTTCTCTAGCCAAATTCGATTTCGTTTCTAAGTTGCGATCGAGAAATGCAGAGATCATCTTTGCGGCTACTAGCTAAACCTCTCTTGGAGAGCAAGCGAGGGTTTTGCACGAGCTCCGATAAGATCGTAGCTTCGGTGCTTTTCGAGAGATTGCGCGTTGTCATACCCAAACCGGATCCTGCTGTTTACGCTTTCCAGGAGTTCAAGTAAGCTCTCTCACTGCTTGCGTGTGCTCTGTTTTTCTTTTGGTTGAGTAATGATGAGAAATCGAGAGAAAATGGGGAAAAAGTATAGTTGTGTGTGTGATCCAAAGAATGCTTTTTTATGTGGAGGGGCCAATAAGATTTGAGTCATTAAGCAGTGAACTTTTGATTTTACTATCTGGTTCATCTGATTTTGATCACAGAAACTTCTTGATTTGGTTGCTCTATTGTAGATTCAATTGGCAACAGCAGTTTCGTCGTAGATATCCAGATGAGTTCTTGGACATTGCTAAGAACAGGTAAAAGTTTCTGCTTTTTTTGATGTCATCATGTGTCCAAGCATATAAATCTACTCAACGGTTTCTTGTGCATTCAACTTTGTGTCATCCTTAACATGGCAATAGCAAAGAATGTTAGATTGGCGTTTTTCGTGTAGCTTGGTGAGTTACTGTTGCTTGGTTATTGAGTTCTGAGCAGAAGAATTACCATGCCTGAAGTGAACTATTAGAACTGTTATATACTCATAGATATATAGTGAAGGTTCTGTATAGCTCAGTTTCAATTTTCTACAAGTGTAGTGAAGCTTACATGAAAATTCTATTTCGTCTTTGGTTAATCTTTTGATGCGTGAATACAGAGCCAAGGGTGAATATCAAATGGACTATGTACCTGCTCCTAGAATTACAGAGGCTGACAAGAATAACGATAGGAAGTAAGTTGTTCACACCCCTTAAAGTTTCTTGCACTGTTGTGTTACTATTCGATTGACGATTGATACTTAGTTTTGGAAAAATGCTGCTATTACAAGGTCATTATATAGAGCTCTAGACAAAAAGTTGTATCTTCTCATCTTCGGCAAGCCATTTGGAGCTACTAGTGACAAACCTGTCTGGCATTTCCCAGAGAAAGTCTACGATTCTGAGCCAACTCTTCGCAAGGTGTTTGTTTGTTTTATTTGATGACTCTATTTCAATCCGTATGACCATGAAACTTCATTCATGTGCTTATTGTTGTTATGTGAATTCGGTATTTGCAGTGCGCGGAATCTGCTTTGAAGTCAGTCTTAGGAGACCTCACTCACACATACTTTGTTGGAAATGCTCCAATGGCTCACATGGCCATACAACCTACAGAAGAAATGCCTGATTTGCCATCTTACAAGGTAAGAACAAACCTTGACGGGGTTTTACTAGTATTAATAATTTCAGAAGCTCAAGATTTCTAAACTGAATTTTGTTGTTGTTGTGTAGAGGTTCTTCTTCAAATGCAGTGTAGTAGCAGCATCGAAATACAACATAAGCAACTGCGAGGATTTTGTGTGGGTAACCAAAGACGAGCTTTTGGAATTCTTCCCGGAGCAAGCAGAATTCTTCAACAAGATGATCATTGGCTGAGTCACTCGCACCACAAAAACTGCTATTTTGAATCCCTTCTCCATCACTGTGATCTTTCTGGTATTAAGTTAAATGTAAACATGGTGTGTGAAGGTCAGTGTAATAACCAGACAAAACCATGTCTCTGGTTTCTTAGTCACATGATTTTTTTTTTACTGTTTATCTGAAGTAGTTGAATGTTGTGATTTCTTCTCAACCTTTTTTAGACATCTCTCCAATACACATCGCGTATCTTGAAAGAAATCACACTCGTTGATTCATCACAGCTTCTCTTCAATGAAACCTAATCATACGGAAAACCTGAATGGGCCGGCGATGAAATTCTGCGGTTTGCTATTTGCACAAAGAGTGATGAAGCTATACTCCGATGCAGAAACTCAGGGATCAGTGAAGAAGACTCAAGAGGAGCTTGAAATATATATATTGAGCGTTGTAATTCCAAGCCCACTGGGCTGGAAACGAAATGCCCAACTTGTTGTAACCCAAATCTAAACTTTTTTCAGGTTTAATTTCTGTTTTTTGAAGTTAAAAATGTTTTTTTTTTTCTTTCTATAGTGTTAAAAAAAAGAATTTCAATTAGCCCTAGCAGGTTTTCTGTCTATGTCACTACTCTTCCTCAGAAGAGCCAAGCCGTTATTTGTATCTTGTTCTTCAGCTTCTCGTTCTCAGGCCACCTTCTTATCTCCGACGCTTACGAATCAGCTCCTGCGTTCGTTTCACGGTTCCAGAACAATGGTACGATTTTGTAATTACCGATTGTTTCTCCGTTGGATTTACCACCTGATTCCTCGAAATTCTTCTGAGAATTTGAATCTTTTTTTTCTTCTTGTAAATTTCGCAGTCTGAATCAGAGAAGAAGATCCTTACAGAGGAGGAACTTGAGCGGAAGAAGAAGAAGGAAGAGAAGGTTTGACTTCTCATTTGTCTTTCCCCATTTATCAGAAACATTTCGTGGGTCGATTTAACGTGATTATACTGTTCTCGATGAGCTTGATTTTAACAATTTTGATATCTAGAATCTGGTAGACGAGTGTGGTTGAGTTTGTTGTTCAATCATGGGAATAGCTTAGAGAGATTGGATAGTGATGCAATTGGCTTTGGTGGGCAATGTTCTCTTAGGGACAACTTATGGATTGCCCATCTGGAAAATGGAACTGATGAGATCGTAGATAGATAGAATTGCTTAGTTATTTTTAAGATAAAAAAGTTAGAGCTACCGTCTTCACTCTATCAGAATGAAAACGTGTTCTACATTAATAATTTGAGTACTTGCCCCAAATTCTTATAGTCCTAGTTTATGTTTTTTTTGGTAGTGTTGTGGAATTGTACACTTTTAAATGCAATGACTTACTTTTCATTTTTTTTTGGTGGTAAGTTGAGTAATATATTGATTCCGGTTTTTATGTTTTTTCAATGTCATCGATTTCATTATGTTATGTTGGACATCAGTTATTAGTTATTCCAGTACTATATCAACTTTAAAAATAATCTGTAAAGAATTTTTATATAGAATAAAGAAAAGGAGTTGAAGAAGCAAAAAGCTTTGGAGAAAGCGAGGCTGGCAGAACTGAAGGTAATCTCTAAGGAACTCCAGTTATGCATTTCGGGTTCCCGCTGCATACGTATGTATAACGTGTACACCACATCTTTAATTTTCTTTTTTTCTGGAACTTATCATGGTGTGATTCTCATGTAGGCAAAACAGGCCAAAGATGGAACTAATGTCCCCAAAAAGAGCGCAAAGAAGAGTTCCAAACGGGATGTGTCAGAAGAGAATCCTGAGGATTTTGTGGACCCTGAAACTCCTCTTGGTGAGAGGAAAAGGCTTTCTTCACAGATGGCCAAACAATACAGTCCTGCTGCGGTAGAGAAATCGTAAGTGTAGAGAGATTTTTCTTTGACATAAATTTGAGCGTGGTCATTCATGCACAAAACTTCCTCTAAATAATTGCTGTGTTATTCTGTAATTGGATCAGATGGTATGCTTGGTGGGAAAAATCCGACCTTTTTAAGGCGGATGCTAAGAGTTCCAAGAAACCTTTTGTTATTGTAAGGCCTTATCTGATTCTTAAATTCGTTCATTCTGATTCGATCTTCTTTACTATTGTCTTCTGGAATACTTAATTTGTGCAACCAAATTCAGTTGAGAAAATTCTTGTGCTTCTGAAATTATTAATACTAGTTTGAAGATTATAAAGTTTTTCTTTAATCCTTTGATTGATTCTGCAGGTTCTTCCTCCTCCAAATGTGACTGGAGCCTTGCATATTGGCCATGCGCTAACAGCTGCAATTGAGGTTTACATTGTTTGGTGCTATTGTTTTTTTCTACTGCTCCTCCCGATGATCAGCGACTGTATATTTGCTGATGCAGGATACAATTATTCGTTGGAAGAGAATGTCTGGGTATAATGCTTTGTGGGTACCCGGGGTTGACCATGCTGGTATAGCTACACAGGTTCGCCCCTATCTCATGTCCCATATTAGTAATTTCAGCCTATAGAGTGAATCCTCGTTGGGCTACATGCTTGTAGTTTTATCTATTACACATTGTATTATATTTTTTACTTTGGTGTACATTCTAGGTTGTGGTTGAGAAAAAGCTCATGCGTGAGAGAGGAATGACTAGGCATGATGTTGGCCGTGAAGAATTCGTAAAGGAAGTGAGTTGAAAATAAAAATATGTTGATGAATACTTTCCTTTTATCATTATACAAAAATTCATGTTTTGCTTGTGATCATGGAAAAGGTGTGGAAGTGGAAGAACCAGTACGGCGGAACAATTCTAACACAGCTACGGAGCCTAGGAGCTTCTCTTGATTGGTCTCGTGAGGTAAAATCCAGTAATTTGATCTTTCTTGGATTAATGTTAATGAATAATAGCTATGTTTCATTTATTTCGCCACTAGGTGAACATATATATAAATGAATTTTTATCTTCACTTGTGTCCCTGGGCTGTCCATCTTACAGATGTGTTTCTGCCTGTAAATTTTTAGTGTTTTACAATGGACGAGCAAAGATCAAAAGCTGTCACTGAGGCCTTTGTACGGTTATACAAAGAAGGGCTTATATATAGGTATGTTGAAGTCTGACTTTGTTCTTTGATGCAAGCTACAGGATTCCTGTAGTAAAAATCTATGGAAACAGTAATATACAACAAAAAAGGAATATACGACTCCTTAACTTTTTTCAGTTATTTGTTGAAAGAAAGCACATTTGACTGAAGGCATACCATGTGCAGGGATATTCGGCTTGTTAATTGGGATTGTGTTTTGAGAACAGCCATATCTGATGAAGAGGTAAGTCAGCAGCAACTGTTTGACTATGATTGTTGGACGGCATCCTCTTTATGTGGAGTGTCTAATATTTGTAGGTTGAGTATATCGACATAAAAGAAAGAACGCTACTAAAGGTTCCTGGCTATGAGAAGCCAGTAGAATTTGGTCTTCTTACCTCGTTTGCTTACCCTCTGGAGGGAGGCTTGGGAGAGGTTGTTGTTGCCACTACCAGGGTGGAAACGATGCTTGGGGATACTGCTATTGCTATTCATCCTGATGATGCAAGATACAAGCATCTCCATGGGAAGTTTGCTGTGCACCCATTTAATGGACGGAAGTTACCTATTATCTGTGATGGAATACTTGTTGATCCAAATTTTGGCACTGGTTGTGTTAAGGTACACCTCTATCTTATATATTTGACGCTAGGTTTCTACCCATATTAGTTGTTTTTCTTGTGTCAAAGTTACTTAATTCTTGTTTTGTAGATTACTCCTGCCCATGACCCCAATGATTGTGAGGTTGGAAAGCGCCACAAGCTGGAATTTATAAATATATTCACTGATGATGGGAAAATCAACACAAATGGCGGGTCTGACTTCGCAGGGATGCCACGCTTTGCAGCTCGAGAGGCAGTTGTTGAAGCTCTGCAGAAGCAGGTAATTTTCTCTAACTCTTCACATAACATATACTGTAGATAGAATTTTCTTTGATTGTTGGTTTGAGAAGATTTGTTAGACTGTGGGTAGTTGCTTGAAAGTGTCTTGTAGATTTTAACAGTTTTCTCAATAATTCAGGGGCTGTACAGAGGTGCCAAAAACAATGAAATGAGGCTTGGACTTTGCTCAAGAACTAGTGATGTTATTGAGCCTATGATAAAGCCCCAATGGTACGTTAACTGCAGCATGATTGGAAAGGAGGCTCTTGATGTTGCTATTACTGATGAAAACAAGAAGCTCGAGTTTGTACCAAAGCAGTACACAGCAGAATGGAGAAGGTTTCTTTCATTTATCTTTTACTCTTTGGTTTCTTAATTTACCCCATCTATAAAAGCTCTTACTGCACAGCTGTATGGATAAAGCTGCGATGGCGGTTTCTTAATTTACCCCATCTATTAACAAGCTTTACCTTACAGATGGCTAGAAAACATACGGGACTGGTGTATTTCAAGACAGCTTTGGTGGGGCCACAGAATACCAGCATGGTATGCCACGCTAGAGGAAGATCAGCTCAAGGAGGTTGGTGCGTACAGTGACCATTGGGTTGTTGCTAGAACCGAGGACGATGCTCAAAAAGAGGCTGCTCAGAAATTTGCGGGGAAGAAGTTTGAACTCACTCGAGATCCTGATGTGCTTGATACATGGTTTTCTGCTGGGCTCTTTCCATTATCTGTTCTGGGATGGCCAGATGTAACTGAGGACTTCAAAGCCTTCTATCCAACTTCTGTTCTTGAAACTGGACATGATATTCTCTTTTTTTGGGTTGCTCGTATGGTTATGATGGGAATGAAACTAGGTGGTGAGGTTCCATTCAGTAAGGTACGTGTACATTTTAAGTCAAACAAGGATCACTACCCCCTTCCTTTTAGATGCAATTAATTACTTTTTCAGCCGTACTTATATGCAAAAACATATTACTGTCTTTGCTATAGGTGTATTTCCATCCTATGATACGTGATGCACATGGGCGTAAGATGTCAAAATCTCTTGGAAATGTCATTGATCCGCTTGAAGTAATAAACGGAGTAACTCTTGAAGGTCTTCATAAGAGATTAGAAGAGGGTAACTTGGATCCAAAAGAGGTGGTTGTTGCCAAAGAAGGACAAGTGAAGGACTTTCCAAATGGTATCCCTGAATGTGGTGCTGATGCTCTTCGATTTGCGCTCGTCTCTTACACTGCTCAGGTACTATCCATTGCACCGTCCCTGACCCTAACAACCTCCTTCAGTGTATGTTCTATAAACTAAATATTGCTCTTTTTCTTGATTCTTTTCTAGTCTGATAAAATTAACTTGGACATTCTCCGAGTTGTTGGTTACCGTCAATGGTGTAATAAACTGTGGAACGCCGTCAGATTTGCAATGATGAAGCTTGGGGATGATTATACCCCTCCGCAGACACTAAGTCCTGAAACCATGCCTTTCAGCTGCCAATGGATTCTCTCTGTTCTAAATAAGGCAGTATCAAAGACAGTAGAGTCACTGGATGCATTTGAGTTCTCGGATGCAGCCACCACAGTATATGCATGGTGGCAATACCAATTCTGTGATGTGTACATTGAAGCAATTAAGCCTTATTTTGCTGGTGACAACCCAACGTTTGCTTCAGAGAGGGCTCATGCACAACATGCTCTCTGGATAAGTCTGGAGACAGGCTTGAGACTGCTTCACCCACTGATGCCTTTTGTTACTGAAGAGCTATGGCAACGGCTTCCCTCACCCAAAGACACTGAAAGAAAAGCTTCTATCATGATATGTGACTACCCATCTGCCATAGAGGTCAGTATGATTTTTTTAGTAACTTGTCATAATTGTTTGGGTTTGTAACTCTTTTCTTCTGATGTCATGAACCCAGAATTGGACAAATGAGAAAGTGGAGAGCGAAATGGAAACCATTCTCGCGACCGTGAAATGCATGAGGGCACTCAGGGCTGGGTTGCTGGAGAAACAGAAAAATGAAAGGTCTGACTGAGTATATGATTAAAGCCTCATTCGAGGAACACTTTGAGACATTTCATCAACCATCCTGCATTTTTAAAAATACAATGTCACTAAAAAGGTTACTTAATCGTTGTGATCATTTTTCTCAGGTTACCTGCTTTTGCTCTGTGTGAAAACAACGTAACAGCTGAAATTGTAAAGTCTCACGAGTTGGAGATCAGAACCCTTGCAAATCTATCATCCTTGGAGGTAAAATTCTATCTTCAATTTCTGTCTTACGGTTTCTCTATTTTGTTTTGTGTATCATTTCTGAGTTTCCATGGGGCTTTGGTATAGGTTTTGCTAAAGGGAGAACACGCAGCCCCACCTGGATCTTCAGTTGAGACGGTGAACGAGAACCTCAAGGTGTATCTAAAAGTGGACGGAGCCATTAACACCGAAGCTGAACAAGAAAAAATCAGAAACAAGATTGGTGAACTACAAAAGTAAGTTCCTAGATTTGTTATTGAATCAAAACAAAATGTTTGAATTACATGTTAGTTTCCTAATATTTCCTCGTATGACAGACATTTTATTTTGTTGTTCCATCAGACAAAAGGAGAAGTTGCAGAAGATGATGAGTGTGTCTACTTACGAAGAGAAGGTCCCTGCGAATATAAAAGAAGACAACGCAAACAAGCTTACTAAGATCCTCCAAGAATTCGATTTCTTTGAGAAGGAAAGTGCTCGTCTTGCTGCAGAAACAAGCAACTCAGGAAATCAATAAATGGAACAGAAGAACTGAGACACAAAGTCACAGTTTCTATCTGAGGAGGCCAACAAATGAAATATTTCAGGTTTAAGAAACTATGTTTGATGATGTTATGTTATTGTGAACTAGGTTTGAGTTTTAACAATATTTTTACTACATCTCTCTGAAAAGAAGAGATTATTCCCAAACCATTTTTTTTGGTCAATTGAATTGTTCTTTGTTAATTGCACTGAGCTTAGAGCTTCGCTTGTGTGTCATATGCGTATGATCAAGTGAAATTACAGCAAAAGGTAATAGAGTTATTAATATCAAAAACAAAATGTTTGTATCCGGAGAGTATCCATATATCTATCCGCTTATTCAATCTCGATGAGAAAAATATCTCCTTGGTTTATATTCTTCTTTTCCTCAAACATTTGATCTGATTTCAATAATTTGAATAAGTATAGTTGGACCCACGATTACTTTGCCGCAGCCTTTTCATTTCCTCAAAGTGTTATATCATCTACATATTTATTTGGTCTCGGTTTCATTCTTTGATGTAATGATGCTCAATTTGATAGTTCCTTACATAATTCTTAATGCCCATTATACCTCATTACAGCTTTTTCCTGGAACATTAGGTAAGTGTCTGATTTTCTCTCTTGTGATTTCGATCTGTTTGGTAAAAGGTTATTGTTAGGCTGGTCAGGACTCCAAATTGGTTGGGCTATGTATATCAACTTTGATTTGTACTCTCATACCCTTTATCTAGATTCTTCTAGATCTTAAAACAATAAATCTTATGATTTGTTTTGTCTCCAACTCCTGCTACGCAAATTCCCATGAACTTGTACTGTTAATGATGTGCATTCCGTAAAATATATAGAACCATAGTGCATACTCTCATGCCTAGGTCCAGAACACTAGCAAAAGAACTTAGAGAAGTTATGACTCGCACAATTTTTCTTTTAGTTTTGGTTTTGCATAAACAATGGACCGGCCGTGTAATACTGCATTTAGAAATTGTATAGAAGATTCTGCAAAAAAAAATGCAATTATGGATTGGTGGATAAGAAAACATTTACAAAGCCTGTAAAGGGAGAATTATTCTCTTTATGTCCCTCTCTTTCTTCTTCTTATCACCTGCCATTACAATCTACACAATCAAACTTGTGATATTCTTCAATTGTCTCTACTTGTTATGATTACAACCATGTGTGTGCTGCCTCTAAAAACCTAAAGTTTCTCTTGAATTTTCCAACATGTTATGATTTCCCTTTTTCGAGTTTTGATATATCTGGACAGGAAGCTCTTAACTTATGCTCCAGTGTGTCATGTCCTCAAATTCAAATGTATGATACAAATTCTCCATGCAATCTTTTCAAGTGTTGAATCATTGACTATTTAGTTCCACCGTTCACATAATCTCTCCGAGTTTACTGTTTAGTATTAAAACCGAAATTACTGTTTCCCCAATTTACTTCATCTTATCCTTGGGAAAAGTGGTAGAAGGTGGATTTTAAACCATTTCATGATGAGAAAAAAAGAAAAGAAATAAAAAATAATATAGCAAACATATATACTTCCAATGTTTCAAGGAATGAAAGTCAATGGTTGTTTGGTTCTTATTCCCAAAATCTTTTTCACATGACCACATCTCATTGAAATATAGTATTGACTACCTATTCTTTGGCATAGAGTTTTAAATTAAATCGTTTTGAGACGAACAGTTAGTATTAAATATGTTATTTTGGTGGCCCATATTCTCAAATCACACTTTTAAACAAACCCTCTCTAGGTGTTTTTCTCTCTTGGTTGATTACACCTTTTACTATATTTTATAATTTGTATAGTTTGTGCGTGTGCTATGATTGAAATCAATTAAAGTGTAAGGGTGAGAAAATAACGCTTAAATAAAATAATACATGTAATGGTTCGGTGAGAATTTTCTGAATCAAAATAGAATTTAGCCGTTATGATAATCCAAAATCTCTTTTTCAACAATCCTATATTGTCAAGCTGTGTGTATAATATATCTTACACACACAAATACTAAATATCAGTCGAAGAAACTCATTGAATGTTTGATTGTAGTAAAAGCCATGAATCATGGACCTGCAGTCAATTTCACAATAAATTTCTTTTGGATCTATTTGGCGATTCAATAAATGTTTGATTTTTCATAGAATTATTTCGGAAAACAAAACTAATGTCGCGGCATGTAGCCACCGTTTCCCCTTACCAACTTCGTATGTGATAAATTGTCAGTTCACTGATCAGTATAAACTTATAAAACAATCAGATTCATAATCAAATTTTAATTCTAAATAAAATGGGCTTCGTATTTTTTTTTTTTTTTTTTTAAAAGGCAGTTCCTACTATCACCTATCTTTTTCAATAGATAGTAGATAATTCGTGTTTCTTTGTAAAGCCGATAGTTAAACATGTTAAGATAACATCTGCAGATCAACATTTAGTTTCACACCATTTGCTTAGATTTTCTAAATCATTAAAGTGGTTTTTTGCATATAAGCAGAACATATTGCACATGTCACATGTTTATTGACGTATTGTGTCTATACATTTATGTTTATATGTGTATATATATATATACGACACTTTGGCTAGATTTTAGGATTTAGGTGCAAAAGTGAATAAAATCAAAACGTGTGTTATGTATTGTAGTCTTTATCTTGAAGGTCAAGAACATCACCTTGACATTTTCTAATAACATTAGGCTTCGTGATTCGTTCGTATGGGTTAAAAAGGTCCACTTTGTACGTATCACGTAACCTCCAGTTGATTTTAGTATTACGGCTTGGTTTGATTTTTAGAGTGTAATGTATGCAACTTTCTCATTCTGGTCGGTTTTGTTGGAATTCTTGCATATGTATTTTTGTTGAATAGGTAGCATCGAAATGGAACCCAGTGGGAAATAAGGTATAAATGGTACATTATTAATGGTGTGAAATAAATGAGACATACCAACTTAGTACGGACGGTTACCGCAATATACCAATTTTGTTTACTTGAAATATGATGGGTGTGACCGGTCAGCCTTAATAGAAGAAATGAAAAAGGGAAATTTTTTTATTTTTTTGACATGCACTAGTCAAAAAAAAATCAGAAGAAAATTATATCAGATGAAAATATCAAAAAGTAACTAAAGGAGAGAAATTCTTCCTTCCTCAAAACTAGTAGAATTCATTTTTCTTCTTGATGTGACATTTATTTTCTTCTATTTTTTCTTTTCATTTCTTCTAACTTTTTAACCAGTCACAGCCGATGTTTCACTCCAAAAAGTTGTAGTACTATTTTGTGAATTTTAATAATGTGATTTTGATATATACGGTATAAACATTTCCTAAGGGTAATTAATATGAATGAAATAGTTAGTGTGTTATTTCAACCGAAACGACAATAATTATAGATGGAAAAAAAAAAAAAAGAACGACAATAATCATTTTGGAAACCATATAATATTTGCTTGCATATACTATCAAAACATAGATGCATGAAATGAAACCAAGACAAACAAAAATCTGATATATTTTAATGTAAAATAAAAGAAAAAAAGAAATCAAGAGATCGAAATAAAACATGGGTTAACCAAGTGTTCTTGGTCTAGTGGTTGCCACTTGTGGAAGAGTTGTCCTGTTGGTGTAGGCCATGGATCGATTCTCCGCAAGCGCGCAATTTTTAGATCTCCACTTGGCCACATGGATATGGGTCTTTGCTTTCGGCCCATTTGCATACCCGGAGAGAGAGTCTATCTGTGGGCTGCACCTCCCTCAGGGGATTAGTCTGGACCCCTCCATAGGTCTGGGATTCCCCTGAATTATAAAAAATAAAATAAAACTAAAAATAAAATAAAATAAAACATAGGTTATGGTCAATAAGATGACTATGCGTACTACTTACATACACATTTGTCCATTTCGTCATCGACGACATTTACGTCCCACCCTCCTTCTTTAAGCAACTTCCTACGTTTTTTTCTTACTCTTTTTTTTTTTTTTTAAATCTTTCTCTTCATATTCTTTTATTTTGAATTTAGTATTATCTATAATAATGTGGGATCCGAATTATATTAGGAGCTATGAAACATTAGGGGTTAGTGATCTAGCTCGTCACATTTCACAAATGGCTAAGATCATACGCTGAATTGCTTATGGTCTTCGCATGGGGTCCAAAAAGTTTTTATAGCAATGTTGCGTTAAAAATATAATCGTTTCGTGGAAGCATTTTAACTCTAATGGTTAGCTTAGATCTAAGGTTTATACTAAAAATTTGAAGATTATTGCAATTTTGAGTTCAATATTTCTGAAAGGTTTTACATAGTATAATGTATTACGAATTGGATTATCCACATATGGATAAACTTCTTCTTTTGTGATATATACTCCCTCTGTTCCTTTTGATGTTTTAGTTTTTTTATCTTGTTCCACAAAGATCTATGTTTTGTAGAAACATCATTATTACTTTCATTTGAAACCAAGGAGGAGAAAAATAGAATTAACATTATTAAAATAATAAAAAATATAAATTTTACTTTTTCTTAAATTGTGTGAAAACTCAAAACATCATTATTTCATGAATAGAGGGAATAGTAACTAACATACAAAAATACCAAATATATATATATATATATATATATATAAAAACATATGGTTATTTCAAATTATAATTCGAATTTTGTAGAGATTTATTTTAAGAATAAATTACGGATTTTGTCCTTTTTCATAAGGGCATTTGTGGATTTTGTCCTTTTTTGAATAGTTTATGCATTTTGCCTTTTTTCATGCTCCAAAAATATGATTTAACATGCGTTTCACTCGTTATGTTTGGGTTTAGTCGGTTCCATTTGTTCTTAGGGTTTAGTATTTGGTATAAAGTACGTATTTTTGGAAAAAAAAATCCTAAATACGTAAATTTTTAAGTGTTAAAAAATGACAAAATCCGTAAACTATTAAAAAAGGGCATTTTCGTAAGTTTTTCCCAAAAAAGGGCATTTTAAACAATAATCCCTTATTTTAAAGAGATCAAGAATCCCGAACCAGTATTTTTAATGGGCTACCACATAGGGAAATGATTTTGATTTGTTTTCAATATGCAGGAAGAAATCAGAAAGAACGAAAAAGTAAGAGGACAAACTGGAAAGAAGCAGAAGCATAGGGGCATGTGTAAAGCATATCATTACATTTTTTATTTTTTCAGAAATTGCGTGTAAGTATTAGAGAAGAACAAAAATAAAAGGAATGAATTGGAAATGGACGAAAATGTAAAAAGGAAATTAGGGGAATGAAGTCAAAAGGTTGGTTCAGATACGTACGAAGGACCATTATTATGACTTTCTAATTATCAGAAAGTAAATAATTAAATAACACGAAACCCCAGAAACAAATTTTTTTCTTAAAAAAAGAGAAACTAAAAATAAAAAAGAATGGAATGATGATCCTAAGGTCAAAGCTTAGCAGTTGGGCTATTTTCATTTTCCTTATTTTTATTTATTTTAATTTGGTCTAAAATAACCTATGAGGAAAAAAGTGTGGCACCTAGAGGAAACTTCTTCATTTGGGTAAATCCCAAATCCCAATAAGGTAATTCTTGTAAGCAATTAGGATTGGACAAAACAAACCACAAGCAAATATGTGATTCTTCTACAAAATAACTAATAAGTACTCCCTCTGTCCTAATAGTTTTATGTTTTGGGATTTTTTTTGTTCCAAAAATTTGATGTTTTGTAATAATATTATTATTATTATTATTTTTAATATTATTATTAAAAATTAATATTATTATTATTTTTAATCTTAACCAATAGAAAGAAAAGAGAAGTGAAACTAAAATTATTAAACAAACAAACAAATAATTAAATAATATAAAAATTAGTTTTTCTTAATTTATGTGCAAAACCCAAAACATCAAACTTAAACTTAAGGGAACAGAGAGAGTACATCTTAATACAAATATATATGGTGCTAAATGATATTTTAGTGGCTGTTGAGATGAAAAAAATTATGATAGATAATCATAAAATTTCACATATTTGTATGTAAACTAATTTTTAAAGCATACAACTTTCATATGATTTTTTTATAAATAAATGGTAATAATGAAAAAATGCTCCAATAATTTAACCTCTTTACTATTTCGCTGGTTAATCCTAACATTTCTTCGACGGGAGTGGTCCATGGATTATGGATACCAACCAAAACTCAAAAAGATTCTTGTAAAGCTATTTTCTACGAATGCATGCAAAGTCAAATGGATGATAAATTTGTGTTGAATGTATTTTATTCTGTTAGGTCAAAAACACATGTCACCTCAAACTATATAAAAGTATAACAACATTCCAGCTGGTTACTAATTATAAAATAATTAAATATATCATATTCATTCTTCTTTCTCGTCCAAGAATTACTAATCATATCACACAATTTCTTGAGTTATGATTTTTCTTTAGCTTCTTATATATACACACACATATAAGTAGTTCTTCCAAAAAGAGACAAAGGGGAATAAATAGGAAGGAAAAAGAAACATTTATCTTCTATAAAAACAGAAACCTTTTGTCCTTTTTTAATCTTTAACATTCACTCACAAAATCACAATCCTCTCTTTGGGTTCTTCTTCTTCAACATCTCTCTACCTCTGGCTTCTTCTATACAGAAAGCAAAAAAAACGTCTTTTTTTTTCAAGACATCAAGATCAAAAGAATTAGGGTTTTCTAATGGGTAGGTGTGGAAGAAGCAGCGATGGACGGATTGGTGGGGTTAGACCGTACGTACGATCTCCAGTGCCTCGTCTTAGATGGACGCCGGAACTTCACCGGAGTTTTGTTCACGCCGTTGATTTGCTCGGCGGTCAATATAGTTAGTCTTTTTAACCACCTTTTTTTGGCTTTTGTTTTTCAGATATCTTAAAGTTTGGTTTTTGTTGCTTTTATTTCAACAGCTATGAATATTTTTAAAATTCTTCAATATATATCCATATTCATTATCGTCATAGTCAAGATCTTTAAATGTTGTATTTTTTGGTTTGAATGAAACAGAAGCAACTCCAAAACTTGTTCTGAAGATAATGGATGTCAAGGGACTAACCATATCACACGTCAAGAGCCATCTCCAGGTCAAAGAAAATACTAAAAATAAACTTTATTTTAATAGTATTAATTGTCTTGTACTGTTTATTCGTATATAACACCACACTGCTTTTTTCACCTTATCTTTTAGTGATTTGAATATTTTTAAAACAGTTTTCATTGTTTTGATTAAACGGCAGATGTATAGGGGATCCAGACTCACTCTTCTTGGAAAACCAGGTAATGAGTTCATATTTTGTTGTTTATATGATGAGGCATCAACAAATTACACCCTAAAACGTCATAGTTTCAAGATTAGGACAGTTCTTTTCATATCCCCACCATTCACATAAAATCTGTATTAATGCATAAATTTAAATCTCACTCCCACCACTGTCAGAAATATGCATATACTGGTGAAATATTTATGAAAAATAAGGATAAAGAGATTGGCTATAGCCTTAGGGCATATGCAAGGGTATAATAACATTGAAGCTTGTTCTTGGGGAAAAAAAAAATTAAAATATTGTAAGAGCATTAAATAAGAATTTTTGTAAAGTAAGTGATTATTGGCAGAACATGTTTAGAACATAGAAAATACTTTCTCTGTTCCTAAAACAATGATGTTTTAGTTTTATACACAAATTAAGAAAAAATAATTTTTATATTTTTTAATTATTATTTTATTAGTTTAATAATATTAGTTTTATTTCACTCCTTCTACTATTGGTAAAAAAATAATAATAATGTTTTTACAAAACATCAACCTTGGTGGAAATTTTGGTGGAACAAGTAAAAAACCTAAAACATCAAATAACTAGGAACAGAGGGAGTAATAATTTAATAATCAAAAATTTTAAATGTTTTTTAAAATTAAAAAAAAAAATTGAAATTGAAAATATTACAAAACTAAACACTTGTATTTTTTAGAGTTGTAATTTTTGTTTTGGTATATAATGTACATTTTAGACCGGTTTATTTGTGTGATTGGGTTGAAAAAAAAAGCCCAACACTTAAAAATGCTACCCACTCAGAGACGGACACGTCACTCGGAGAACACCCTTGAAACAGTTCTAGCCCAAGATCACTTCTTCAGTTCTTAACCCTCGAAATCCATTTTTAATTATTAAAAAACTGTAAGAACAGGCTAAATATGGCCTTATAAGTAAATAGGTGCTTCTTTTAATTTAATGGAAAAAAAAGAGAGAAGAGAATATTAGGCGAAAATAAGAAAGAGAGTGAAGAGAATATTCATCTTGGTCGTAAATTAATTAATGTTTTATTATATGTATATTTTTGGGGGACAGAAGAGAGTTCTTCACCATCTTCAAGAAGAAGAAGACAAGACAATGAAGAAGATCATCTTCATGACAACTTGTCTGTACACGCAAGGAATGATTGTTTTTTGGGTTTTCACTCTTTTAACTTTAGGTAATTTTTATTTTTTATTTTCTTGGGAAAAAATGGCAAGGGAATATTAATTTGTTTCTGACAAGTGTTTTAATTTTATTACAGAAAATAGGTATGTTATCATACAGTTTTGTTTGAATATGAATTGTCGAATTTAAAGATTTTTGTTTTCTCTTTATTATTTTTGGGGAGAAGAGAGCAGACTTCAGCGACTGATAATGATGACGATGACTTTCTTAACATCATGAACATGGAGAGAACGAAGACATTTGCAGGCAATGGCGAGTCCATCAAATTTCAGTCTCATCACTTTCTCGAGGTATTAAATATATTCAATTTTATCATATGGTTTCATAAATAGCCGTTGCGAAAAGTTGACATCAATAATAAAAATATTTAAGACTCAGGTAAACACTCACTAAACCACTGAACATTGTTATGGTATGGGTCAACTCAACACTAGGGTAGCATGGGGCTCGGTACTGAAAATTTTCAGATAGTGATTTTATTGTCAATAAATTCTTAAGTAGTAAGCACTACTAGTTTAATTATTCATTATTTAATAATTAGATAATTAACACTAACCCATTGTATGGGTAAAAGAGTTGATCTAGTAGAGAAAAATTGATCTGTTAGAGTAAAATCATGACTTATATTTGATGGAGCAAGTAATCGTGATCATTAGGCCGCTAGTTCATTGATTTTAGTCATAGCCAATAAGGATTGTTGAAATTAAACCGTTGATTTGTGTAGAAGAATTTGTAGATTTGTTACAAATTCAAATCTTATGTTCTCGTGCAATCCTATTATGAAAAAAGGTCATAAACCTTATAATCAAACCTAAGAATTAGAAGTAACTTTAAGAGTTTATTATGTCTTTGGAATTTAGGCTGAGAACACGAAGAACAATTGGAAAAGCACATGGCGAGAAAACGAAAACGAACACGAAGAAGAAAAATTATCGCTGTCTCTGTCGTTGAATCATCCTCATAATCATCAACAACGTTGGAGAAGTAATGCATCATCATCACTAAGTGAAACAAGCGAAGCAGTCTCATCTTCTTCTGCTCCATTCATCTTCAGAGATTGTTTTGCTTCTTCGAAGATTGATCTTAATCTTAATCTCTCGTTTTCTCTACTCCATAGCTGAAGCTTTTGTTCAGCTTTGTTCCTTTGTTTTAAATTTTAGTATAGTGACCTTTTAGATTGTTTTAAAACCACTTAAAAATTTCCTAATCTTTTAGTTAGGCCTCTTGATTTTTTTTTATTGTTTTTTGCGATTGTGATGATTTTTTTGGCGGTCGGTCTACAATGTCACAATCGCATCGTATTTTACTAACAAAACTTGAAAGTTTGAATTGATTAAGCCGAGGTAGTTCGACTTGTTATGAACTTATTCTGTTGGTCTTCTTATGAAATCAGATGTTATATATGATATGTTAGGAGATAAGATTAAATATTGTTTTTGTTTGGGTGACAAATTAATGTTTTATGCGGAGATTAGTGTTTGCTTTTTCATGGTTTAAAGAAATCTTTAAGCGATTCATATTTTAAAACAAAAAAATGCGTTTAATAGAGTTTAAGGAAAATGGTGCCTTAAAACGCAGCGTTTAAATCCTTCTTAAACGCAGCGTTTAAATCCTTCTTAAACGCAGCGTTTAGTAGTGGGTGTATATTTATGTACACATTAAATTTATAACCATATTTTTGCAGAAATTGATGATTAATAATAGAAATTAAAATATTCGGCAAAATAACATTGATAGTAGCAGTGACGATGGTCGGTGGGGATGAATCTATCGCACCGTGTCGGTTCGAGATTCCACACGGCGAGCCTCGAGGCTTCGTCCTCCGTTAATAATTTCTCCGGCGAAGAAATGTCTCCGGGATCATCAATCCCGGTGCGCCGAGCTGCTCTTTTTCTTGCCGCCATCTCCATCTCTTGCTTCCTTCTGTATAGAGCCGCTGATTCCTTGTCTTTCTCCCCTCCCATATTCGATTTCTCTTCTTATCTGGTTAGTCTTCTTTTCGACGTTCTTCGCGAATTTGATTTTCGTCGATATTAAAAGTACGATTTAGAGATGTTAGGTTCGATTGATCGCGAAAATCATTGAAATTGCAGTGAAATTATAAACAAGATAGCTAGTTCTGGTGTTTAGATTTTGCATGTGGATTGTTCGTATGAACTAGTTTTATCTTACTTAGTTTCTGTGTTATCTGCGATTTTCTCATTTTTCGATTCATTGTGGAGCTACAAGTTTTAGTAAACTATTTGATGGTTTCTGATATTAATGAATTTACTTGGTGAATGCATTCAAATTCTGGATTTGGTTTTTATGATAGGATAATGAGGAACCTAAGCTGGAAGTTGTTCTGCGTAAAGCTGCAACGATAGACAGGACAGTGGTTTTGACAACTTTGAATGCAGCATGGGCAGCTCCAGGATCTGTTATTGATCTCTTCTTTGAGAGTTTTAGAATTGGGGAAGAAACTAGCCAAATCTTGGATCATTTGGTGATTGTTGCATTGGATGCTAAGGCTTATTCGCGTTGTTTAGAATTGCATAAGCATTGTTTCAGTCTTGTGACTGAAGGAGTTGATTTTTCCCGCGAAGCTTACTTTATGACTCGGTCTTACTTGAAGATGATGTGGAGAAGGATTGATCTCCTGCGCTCTGTTCTTGAGATGGGATACAATTTTGTTTTCACGGTAATTTTCTAGCATCTTCTTCTTTAGTTAGGTACTAGCATTGACATTAGGCTAACTGATGAAAGACTTGTGTGAAACTCAATGTTCTGGTTCTATCACGTGACCTGTTCATTTGTTTTTCCTTTTCTCCAGGATGCTGATGTGATGTGGTTCAGGAACCCGTTTCCACGGTTTTACATGTATGCGGATTTCCAGATTGCTTGCGATCATTACCTTGGAAGATCAAACGACCTACATAATAGACCAAACGGAGGATTTAACTTTGTACGGTCCAACAATCGAACTATACTTTTCTACAAATACTGGTATGCTTCAAGACTCAGATTCCCGGGATATCATGATCAGGACGTTCTTAACTTTCTCAAGACAGAACCTTTTGTTTTCCGCATTGGGTTAAAGATGAGATTCTTGAACACTGCTTATTTCGGCGGATTATGTGAGCCTAGCAGAGATATGAACCTGGTTCGTACAATGCACGCCAATTGCTGCTATGGTATGGAAAGTAAGCTTCATGATCTCAGAATCATGCTTCAAGATTGGAAAGATTTCATGTCTTTACCACTTCATCTTAAACAATCCTCTGGTTTCTCCTGGAAAGTCCCTCAGAATTGCAGGTACTCTTCATTTCGTTTACTATGAATTTAGAGTCACTATCATCGATTCGAGACTGAATACATGAACGTTTTTGTTTTTTCAGTCTTGATTCTCTTCGACGCTATGATGAATCTATGGAGGATGATGAAGAGAGCGATCCACCAGGAGAATCTCAGGAATGAAAAATGTGAGACTTTTTTGTAAATGAGATTCTTGATAATTTTTCTAGGAAGAAGAAAAAAAATCGAATTTTTGAAGGAAAAAAACACGAACTCACGGCACAATGCCACAATCTGCACTCTTGGTGATAATTTTGAAACTCAAATCTCAATGGAAATTAATTTATATAACTAAATGACAGGCCCAAATAGCTCTGATAAACTTGTCCAGTTGTCCTCTTCATTGCATTACACTATAGTGGGCTAACGAAACCTCTATTGGGCTTGGCCTCTTGTAGGGGTTTAATTTCATTTTGCAATTCAATAGCAAATCCGGTAACAACAAAAATGGTCGAACTTTCTTTTTTCCGAAAAAAAAAGTATATATTTTTATATTTTTGGGTCAAATTGGGGTAAATAATTTATTTATTTTTCAATTGATGTGTTAGTGAACTTTTAAAAATTTTGGCTAATCATTTGTCGAATCCAGCCAAATTAATGAACAATTGTCATTTGTTTTCGAATATAACCAATATTTTACATCTGCCTTTTTTTTTTTCTCCCTAAGTAGAATCCATTCTTTCTATACACATCCATATTAGTGTGTATATAACCTCTATTTATAGTATGTATCTTGGATTTATATATTTCTCCACCTCCCTTATTATTCTCTGTCTCAGTTTGTTTTCCTATTAAGTCACATAAAATTCTCGACCATAAAAAAGGTCAGATAAACTTTTCTCTTTATATATATCATTTATGAATTTCGTTTCTTTCACGTATTATCCAAATCTATTACCAATTAACGAATTTTTTCACACTTTTGTTTTATTGCACAAAGTGATATAGCTTTATTTCCAAAGACGATATTTATATAATTATATGTGAAGTATGCAAGAAATGGTTTAAAAGACAGCAGAATCTACAGCTTCATAGAAGAGGACAATTAGGACATGACCTTCCATGGAAGCTGAAACAAAAAGTCTACTAGTAACCATTGTTTAAAAAATCGCTAGGCGCTAGTCGGGCGCTCGGGTTGGGCCTAGCGCCTAGCAAAAAGATCGGAGATTAATCGAGGATTAATCGGGGATTAGTTTAAACTTGTCCAGTTGTCCCCAAGGAACCTCGAAAACGTGACTTGTGTCGTCTGGATCCTCATATTTGACCTCATCGCGGCTGTTGTGAACGCAGACGCGAAGGCCTCCGGATTCTTGATGCTGCATGACCAGACTCCAGAGCCCTAGTTTGTATCATTAACAAGATCATGACACGTTTTCTCGTCCTCAATAAGTGTTGACAATTCAACAGTCACAACTCTCGATCTTCGTCTTCGCAGACATAATCAATTCCGGCGGCGAAGGTGGCTCGTTGCCTTCGCTCTTCAGCTTATCATTGCAGATACCAGTTTTTACCCTCACACTGAAGTTAATTGATTTATTAATTGTAGTTACTTCATTGATCAGAACTCTTGTTTATTTACGTAAAATACAAAATCCTTCACAATATTATAGTAATAAAGTTCAATAGTATAGTGTTCGTACGTAGCTTATACTATAGTTCCCAATTGTCAACAGGTTTTTTGCCAAATTTATTTCTGTTGATTCATTTTTTAAAAAATGGAAATAAAAATGCTATTTTAAGGAAAAAAAAAAGTCATCTAAAAGTTCTCAACTCATATTTGAAATATGTTTTTCTTTTTTTGTTAATTTTTTTTTCTGTTTAATAAGAAATATATATGCCAGGTAATTCTTGTATTACTAGCTAGGGAAAACGGTTGATTAAGGGAAATATCATTGATCTTTTTTGGATATCTAACTATTTTATTTAGAAAGCTGATAACTTTTTTGGCAGTCACATTTATCGCCATATCATTGCCTCCTAGGGCAGTGAATTAGTTTGAGAGAGTAATGAATGGCAGCTTTTTTAGTGTGTGTGCGTGTGTTTTTAATTTTATTTATTTACCTTTTTCCTCATTTGCTGAATTTATTTTCATTTGTCAAATTTACGGATGCTAGCTGGCTATGTCACGAGTGTTTGTCTTTGTTCTGTGATACCTCTCTGAAATAATCTATTCGCATTCTATATAATTAATAAATATAATTCCATATTGGTATATCTATCGATGTCTTTGTAATACTGTTCTAGCATATCCACGAGGGTTGTCTTCTCCCCATCAAATTTAAATTTAACGGTCTAGAATTATTAATCCTGTTTCAACAATCAACACTGATCTGTCCAAGTACCAAAACGTATATAATTGTGGCTTTCCTTTCATGGAATATTTTACTTTACATTAGGAAATTTGCTTGTATGCGTGGAATACTAAAAACCATTATAACAGAAAATAATGATAACAAAAGTATGTATGTAACTAATGCGGAATGATTATTGTTTTCTTGTCATAGATAAATATCGAGTATATACTAGATACATTTTCTTATCACTAGAAATTCCATATTGTTATAAGAATACTCGTCAACATTTCAGTCTAAAATCTCCTATCGTAAAAAACGTAGGTTATATATATTATCTAAATGATTTCATCCAACTGATTTAAGAAAATGAAGTATCATACCCATTTTCTTTTCTTTTTTTTGGGCAAAAAGTCATACCAAATTTAAATTTAAATATGACAGTATATGTTTTAGAAATTAGGTTAATATGCTTTTCCGATCAATCAATGTCTAAACAACTAGCAATTCCAGACCTAAATTAAAATAATTATAAACTGAAAGTGTAAGATTTTCGGTTTTTTCATAAATGAACTGAAAATTAAGCTAACGTAGACTTTAAAATTGAGTAATTGAGTGCTCTCGAGACAAGGATGGCTTGAGCATATCTAGCTAGATAAGATGAAATAAGAAAAAACCTCTAACAGATATTATATATGGAAAGAAACAGCGAGGGAGTACATGTTATTATCTATCTATAAAGGCGCCAATATATAAATAAAACTTAAGTAATCCATTGCACATAAAAGGCAGAAGAATGAAAAGCCAAAAATAGAAGAACTCGCATAATTAAATAGTAGTTGGTTTACTTTTTTCAATATATGGCTACGTACTGTTAATACAAAATTGAGTATTTTATTTGTTAAATGAAATAAAAATAGTAATTCAAACAAAAATGGAATTGCAAACCCGCATTAAAAATAGAATGCTTTTTTTTTTTCCTGTTTCTTTGAATTATATTATGATTTATAAAACATGGTCTATTTCTATTTCTGTTGGAGCATCATCTATTTCATGACCAGTAGAGTTTTCAATTTGGAAACCGAGATAAACCCTATACCGAAATCCAAATTTGGAAGTCGTTTTTTTTGGGTGTAAATATACACATAGTGACATAGATATATGTGTATGCAGAATATGAATAGGGCCCAATTGAAGATTGCCCATAAATGAAGTGGACCAACGAGAAAGGAGAAGAAGATATCCCAAAGCTTTCGCAGTATTCATCTAATCCTTCACGTCAACGACATGCACATGCTTTTTCTTCCTTTTTTTTTTTTCTCTCTCTTATTTGATTTTTTTTATGGTTTGAATGTATGTTTATAAGTTATGTTTTATGTTTGTGTGTCGAATATGTATAAATTATAATTTATTTGATTACTTATATGTTTGATGATTAATTGTAATATTGTGATGGTTTACATAAAACAGGGAACATGAAATATCTTTTTAGCGTCGTTAGGGTTATCCGGTTAAATATATACTTATATTATATATACATGGTGCGGAAATGTTGGATCGAAGACACATAGAAAATTTAGTAGGTGGAGTCAACGTCGGAAAAGTAACAATAAAGACCCAAAAATAAACAGAGTTAACTTATGTCTTCGGTGTTTGTATCACTAGTTCTATAATTAATGAAATAACTAATTAACTACCTTGACGACAAAAAATAAAAGGGATGTCTTCGGAATGTCAACATTTGCTTTTTAAGTTTAAGAATGTTTGACGATGGTTCGTAGTACGTAAAAAACTCATTTTTTTGAAATTCATATTATTTTCTCAAAATAATTAGCTACTATCAATACATAATATTTGCATACTCACTTATTTTGTATTAGGTGGCCGAACATCTTTTTAACGAATATGGTAATACGTACATATTAAATTGACAATAATTACAATACCTATTATATTGATATATACATTATTAATATGGGATTACGACACCAATTTGAATATTGTTGGATGCTTCTGTTTGTATTATGCTTTATTGGAATATTATCCGATCCGTTGACGTATTATTGTAGACAGATATCTCTTGAAATCTGCTCATACTTGCATGTGCAACGTGGGATATATAATTTATATATGAATCAAATTTTATCAAGAAATTTATTCATTTGTTATGCCAGAAATAATTAATATATCTGTGCATGCATGTTGGAGTTTTCTAATATTTTTCTTCAAATACTATATATGGCTAATTTTTTAAAAAAACCTTCACATAGTACATGCAAATGTATTTGGTAACGCTCAATATTCATTGAAAATCTGTTTTAAAAAATGAAATTAACATTTAACCTAAAATATGTATTAGACGGAGCTAAACAAATAAAATTTGATATCAGAGATTCATAATATATATCATATTGAGGAGATGATATTTCAATAGATAATAGAATTAGCTGGTAAAATAGATTGTTTTAATATTTAAGCTAAAATGTGTATTAGAAGAAGCCGACTCTAAGCCCAAACAAATAAAGTTTGATATTAGAGATTCGCAATAAATAACATATCAAAGAGTTAAAATGGATTGTCTTAATATTTAACCCAAAATATGTATTGGGCAAGGCCGACTCTGAGCCCAAACAAATAAAATTTGATATCAGAGATTCACAATAAATATCATATCGAAGAGTTAATACTTCAGACAAATACGAAAGAAAAGTAAAGTGGATTGTTTTAACATTTAACCCAATACATGTATTGGGCAAGGCCGGGGATTGTTTTAACATTTAACCCAATACATGTATTGGGCAAGGCCGGCTCTCGGTCCAAACAAATCAAATTTGTTATCAAAAATCCACAATATATATCGTCTGGAGAAACTACTATTTCACACAGATAAGATAGAATAGCTGGTAAAATAGATCGTTTTTTCTGATACAGCTCGGTGGTTCGATTCTCATAACATCCATAATTAACTCTAAAACTAGGTATTAAATTATATAATACTTATACATGGTATTAAACTTAATTATAGTAGTGAACAAATTACTTTCAATGAAATATATAATTAGAGATTTATATTATTAAGGAAAAACTCCAGTTCGAGCCTTCCACCATGACATTATAAAAAAAAAAAAAAAAGCTTAAGAAACCTATAATGAGAGATCCCAAAGCTAAATCCTTACCCTTAATGATCGAAAACAGCAAACGAAAGAAAGCTTAAAATTTAAAATAAAAATCTCCAAGGAACTTAATAGCATATCTAGACGATGATGATTTGGAGATAGATAGACGATCATCTCAAGCTTTGCCAAATGGATGAGTTGGGTGTGAAAACTTCATCTCAGCGTCCAGAGGAGGTCCACCACTACGACCACCACGACCATTGACGGTGCTCACAATTCCTCCATTAACACCAAGAAAGTCCAAAGTCAACCTATCCGCACCTCCCATGCTAAGATTGTTTCCGAAATGAAGGTCGAGAAGGCTAGTGGGCCGGCCTTGTTGATCTGTTGTCGCAGCTAGAGAGTTCATCAGACCTTGAAGGTTTCCATTATCACTATCTCCAAAGTCATTAACGACCACAGTTGGAGAAGATGAAGAAGTTAACCCTCTAAGGAAAGCAGATGGGTCGTTGTTATCAGCACCATTGGTGAAAAGAGAAGGAACACCTATCTGATCAGAGTTCTTGGTGTCTTGAAAGTATCCGATGTTGAACAAGTTGTGGTTGGTGTTATCACCGAGGCTGATCAGACCGTGCTGGTTCATGAGACTCTGATTGTTCTGGGCTAACAGTCCTTGGTTCGGAGAGCATTGCATGAGGAAGTTGGTCGGACCGGGATTAGGGTTTGTGGACTGAGGAACGAAGTCTTCGAACTTGTCGGAAGATGAACGGTTCAGATTGTAACCTGCAGCTAGAGGGGTAAAACCGGAGTTTGAATTGTTGCCGAAATGGTTGTGAGAGAGAGCAGCAGAAGCTCCGCCGTAAAAGCCATTTCTGGTGCCGCCACCAGCAGCAGGTGCCATTGCCGTGAAGCTCACGGTAGGGTTTCTTGCTGACTCCTGTATTAGTGCATCACAGAATGCCCGGTGCGTAATGTAACTGTCTCTCCTGCAATCACACAAATAGTTTTAAAATGTAATTCACGATAAGGTCAATGTATGTACAACCACGAAAATGAAGAAAGATATTTTACCAGAAAAGACATTAAAAAACCCTAGAAATGTAAAGTGTTCATCAACTACTCCTACTATATCACGCTGACCACAATATTCGTTAATTAAACAATGAAACCAACCACTCTTATACACAAAACACAAATATGAAAATCTAATCAATATGTATATTATATGGAGAGAGAAATGGGATGGGCCCACAAGAAGAGGAGTTACATGGAAAGAGGAACCTGCAAAGGTAAGAAGAATACAAAAGTGGGAATGAATGGAAACAAATCCAACTCACATGTGACCAAATTTGGCATCTTTTATTTTCCTTTCTCCTTCACTGTCTTTCTCTCTTTCACTACTCATCAGCAACCAAACAAATAGATTGATAGATCCTATGTGTATATATGCATATATGTTCATGTCCCTATGTAGGAAATATGATGTTCCGTGGCCAATATAGAAGATATCTATATCTATATGCATAGATTTCAGTCACAAGTCAATATATATATATAAAGAGGGTACCACACTCCAGTACTACTATAGCTTGCGCATAGTTAAAAGTTTACTATTCACTGACCGACATGTTTTTCTTTATTTACTTGAATCTCAAGCAGAAGGCTAGAGTACTAACCTTAAAAATCTAGAGCCGACATGTAAAACCCTCAGTAAAAAAAAAAAAACACACAAGTTCGGAATGGAATCAAGAAAAATAGTTTACCTAGAGAAGATGGTACCACAGTCACATCGATACTCTTTGGTACCACAGGTCTTAGAGTGAGCTTTCCAATCAGATTGAACAGCGTAACGCTTAGAGCATTTGTCGCACTTCCACTTCTTCTCACCGTGCTTCCGATAGTAATGCTTCTTGATTCCGGTGAGGTCTCCGAGAGCACGTGCCGGGTCATGGTGGACGCACGAGGCCTCCGGGCAAAGGTACACCTTCCTCCTCACTTCTTTGTTGGACTTTTGTTTCAGCTTCCATGGAAGGTTGTGTCCCCTCCTGTGAAGCTGCAGATTCTGTTCCCTTTGGAACCCTTTGTTGCACACTTCACATAGGAATCTGTTCGTCGCCATTATCGTCTTTGGAGATAACGCTATCACTTCAGCATCTGGATCTGTTCAATTTTTTAAAAAAATTAATCACAAGCACATCAAATACACTAATCTTCTTAATTGAATTAATCGAATATATGGAATGTAATCTAATCAAAATTCTTCCATATCGGAAATGATTAGGGTTCTTATATTTTTTCCGGCTAATAAGGAAAATTCTTCACTCAGATAGACTTATCGATTTTTTTTTTTTGGAATTTGGAACACATACGTATTCATAAAAAAAACATATGTAAGAGGTACTTGCTTGGGTTTCCGGGTTGGTTCCTACGCTTCTTGGGTGGTGGAGTAACGGAGGAGTTGGGTTGTTGAATCATGGTCCTCGCAGCCTCTTCACGGTTAAAGTTGTTTGGTCTGGCTCCGGAAGCGGCACCTGAGAGGAGGAAGGTCTGAGCGGAGGATGAAGCAATTGTGTTGTACGATGAAGACATCTTCTCAGCTGGTCGGATTTTGCTAAAGCTACAAAGATCCATAAAGAAAAATAATTAAAAAAATGAGAGAGAAGATAAAGATCAAATATGATTCAGAAGAAAACGAAAGCGGGGAATTAGAAGAACAGGAAGAATCCATAGAGATTGACGACATGAAAAAAAAAAAATTCACTAGAAGACATTTCCGAGAACAAAGAGAACAAATATAAATCCAAAGAGTTGGATTTAATTTGTAAGTTTTAGAAAGAAGACATAGTATAAGTTGTTTTTTATTGTACCCTTTTAGTCTTGAGATTCAGAGAAAGAAACCAAGAAGAAAAAGGTCAATAAAAAAGCTAAAACTCAGAGACAGAGAAAGAAACCAAGTAGATGATGATGATAATATTAGAGGATGAAGAACAAGAAGCCACACTTATATATTTATATAAATATACAAATACACACACCTCAAAAAACCCTATCTCTCTCTTTCTCTCTCTCTTGCTTTGTTGTTCTTCTCTTTTAATAATTGGGATTGAGTCTTTTGTGAGGTCAAATATTTATAGCTACAGTCCCTTTCTTTCTTTTCTCTAATAAAGGAAAAAAATCTAACTTTTAAAAAAGAAAAGTTTGTACTTAATTACCAATTCATGGTAGTGTAATGGTTGAAAGATTCTACTTGAACACATGCATTTTAAATCTTTTTACTACAAATTTAGTTTCCGTTGACCACTAAAATATTTTAAATCATATAAATTTCAAATATTAATTTCTATTTCAATTTTTATTTTTTTTTCAAAAAATAAAATAATTGTTTCTATATAATTCTACTTTTTATTAATTAGTAGTATTATTTTTTATGCGTATTGAAACTAAATTGTAAATAGTAACATGGTTGAGTTTTGAGTTTTTGAATGAAATTTTTTATTTTTGCCGTTTGCGCGCGGTATAAAATCAATTTTTTTTTTTTTAATAGTGTAGATTTTGATATTATTAAAAAAATGAGGTTTGGGTTTACGGTTTGGGTGTCATTGTAAAACGGTGAAATGTGGGCACATGCGGGTGTGGTCAGGGGGCCACCTCAGAGTCTTTCTCGTGTCTCTCTGATGGCTTCAAGACAAAAACCTCTCTCTTTCTCTCCATTTAACTCATGATTTTTGTCTTTAAACTACCAAAGCCTTTTTGCCCAAAAAAAAAAAAAAAAAAAAAAAAAAAAAAAAAACTACCAAAGCCTTCAGTGTTTTTCTCTAGCTTTTTTTATACCTCGAATACAAGCTTACGTACTAACCATGAGAGCACACTAGAAAATATTACTAAATTTAATTTAATCATATCATTGTATTTCGTCTATTGCATAATAACTTAATTAAGTATCGTTTTAACACTTGCAAAAATACATTTTTTAATGCAAATTTTAAACAAATATTTCATCATCAGATACAAAATTAGGTATTGTATCAACAAAAGGTATAATATTTTCTTTTCTAATTTTCTTATTATGTTTTAATTTTTCTTAAAATGACTTATACAAAAACGGTAAAAATCTTTTTTGGTCCCTACACATTAATTAAGATGTCACTCCATAATTGGTAGCCCAATCTAGAGAATTTTTTTTTACAAATGAAATATCAAAAAATAAATTTCTAGAGTAACGGTAAAAATTTTTAATTATTATATTTTGGCGTTACCATTTAGAAATGATATATAATAAAATAATAATTAAATAAAATATTTTCAAATATGAAATACAAACATTTCAACTTAGTTTTACATGTGTCCTCCAGTTATGATGTATTTTAAAGAGTATTAGCTGGAATACTAACAGCTCTGACTTTTTTCATTATTTAGTGAAAAACTGCTAATATCCTATTAAATATAATTGTCTATTTATGTATATAACTATTAAAGTAGTTTTATTTAGAAAAATTAAAAGATAATATTTCAAATGTATATATAAATCCAAATAATAAGATTTTACATTAATAATCAAAGTCTTAATGCGTACACGTGTTCACAAATGTATGACACAAATTATTATATGTTGACTGATTTTACCAAAAAAAGGAAGGAAAAAAAGTTGTTGACTGAAAGAAAATGTGTTTATCTCTCTACTAAAACAGGTAAATTACAGATAATATCTTAATAAATACAATTAATGTTTCAGATTTTTTACCAAATGATTCTCTGTACATTGTGCATGTATTTGTATCTTTCTAAAAATTGGTTTCATAAGTTAATTTCTTACAAATATAGATGCCACCACTTGTCTCCAAGAGACATTTGGATTTGGGTCTCCGTGGGTTGCAAAACGTGAAACGGACATTTTTGGGTTTTCGTGGATATTTATCCACACGCGCGCCTTACCTCCGCCGTGTGAATCGTGTAGTTCACGCGCTAATAGTGCGCGTAGCGCTCTACCGGAATCTGCTAACAAACTCAGTTCTTGTTGTTTGTGGTCTAAAATAAGCATAGTGACAGTTTAGTCTTAAATCATTAATGTGATTAAATTAATAGAGATTTAAAAGATAACTAAATCTAATATAAGCACATAGTGATTAGTGACAGTTTAGTCTTAAAACCAAGAATCCAATTAATTTATAGAGATTTGAAAGATTATTATATCTAGTAGAAGCTCAAAGTCATTAGTTACCGTTTTGTATAAAAACAATTAATTAATCCAACTAAATCAATAGAGATTAAAAGCTTATCGTGTTTAATATGCACATGTAATAAAATACAGACGATTTTTCCATTCCATTGCAAAGTGAATAACATAATGTGTTCTTTTTGAAAAAAGCGAAGAGTTTTAAAAACAACTAATCTGATAAACCTTAAGAAACAAACAGCATAATAGATAGTTATATAGATAATGATATTTCATTCCCATGTAGCAGAGATCATGGAATTGGCAACACCAGACTGCTCCAAAGTTAAGTTAGATTCATAATCCAATGTCTTTGATTCACCTGGAATCGCTTGTGTTAGCTTCAATGGCTTCTTCCTCTCTGATTCCTCAAGCTGAGAATAGCAGAATGACCAGAGAAGCTACAGTGGAGACAGCAACAACATCTCAGAAAATCTCAGACAAATACTTTAAAAAAAAAAGAAGACAAGAATCAATGTTGTTTGTATCATAGGATTTGCAGACCTGAATTGTGTCTGTTTTGAGGAAATTTCTCTGGAGTCTTTGTCCGTTGGGTAAACGGATCCCAACTCTGCATTGTAGGCTGCGATCACCTCCCTTTGGTTCTTCTGGCAGTGGTGGGAATGTTGGCAGCACCGCGGATGTAACTGCTTCAACCGCTACTTCTTCAGGCGTCATTGTTGATTGATCATCTGAAGACTCTTTCATGCTGTTATCTTCCAAGGAAGCAGCTAATGCTCGTTGCAGTTCTTCTTCTTCTTCATCTTTTGCAACATCCTCTAAAGGAACAAGTCAGATCAATCTTTTTTTCCCAACAGACTAGACATTGATGTTGCGGAAAAGTTTTCAAACTAACCTTTGGGTTTGGAATGAGGAGCCAATGAGAAGCTGCCTCTTGGCCGCTTCTTTGAGAGAGAAGCAAAGTGTTCACGAGGACCACCATCCATGAACGGCACTAAATCCTCCAGCAGATTCTCGGGTTCAACCATTCCGCTCCAGATTCTCATCCTTTGACCAGTGGTTGGATCAATTACAAGCACCACGGGAATAGATTCGAGCTTGTAGTATGTGCAAACCTTTCTTCCTTCCGTGGTATCATCATAGACCTAGCACCAGAAAAGGCAGGATTTTAACCAACTCTGTAAAGAGAATTTCAGATTAAGCAAGCAGAAGTTAAAAGGGGAAGTTCTATTTTAAACCTGCCAGAAGATGAAGTTGGCTTTGATAGTCTGGGAAACAGCATCATTCGCCCAAGTATCTCGATTTAGCTATGAGAAAGAAACACAAAAAGTTGGGATGTGAGTGAGTGGGTGTACAATTCCATTTTACTCATCAGAACTGAAACAAAACACCAAATGGAAGAGAAGATAAACAGATCCAGTTTTCATTCCGAACTAACCAAAACCGAAACAAACAAGGAGGCGATAAGACCGCTGTTTCTAAGAAAAGTCCTTCAAATAGAAGGTATATTTTCTAAGAAAACCAAATGTCAACCGAAACAGAAATTAAAACGAAAAAATTTGAACTAAAACCTAACCAAAAACAGATTAAGCACCCCTAGATGTGTGACTATCATCAAAGGTAGAGTTTTAAAGAAATCCATAAAAAAGGAAATCATAGAGAGTAACCATATGAGAGCTGAATTCCGTGGTAGATTGGAGGTTGACGAGAAGCCATTTATCCTGGGAAGACGAAGTAGCTTTTGCCTGAACAAAAAACCATACAGAGACGTTTAGAGTAAGAAAGCAAACAAGCAATTAGCCAAACAAGAAACTGTGTAGATAACCTGTTCAAAGGAGCCATGGAACATCAGATGAAAAGGAGGACGGTACAACGAGGCCAGGCTGTCCCGAGGAGCGGATGCTGACTCTGATGCGGAGGCAGAGGCAGAGGCTGAGGCTGAGGCTGAGGCAGAGGAATCACCCTCATCTGGTTCCCAAATTCCAGGGCTTTTTGGCTCTTCACTGAAGTTACGGAAAGCAATCAAAGAATTTGGTTCAGGCTGAGAGTTTCCCACCCTCATAGTCCTAATCACAAATGCAAGTGAATTATGAGTTACATCCCGCATGTATTGTTAGAAGAGTGTATCATCAGCATAAAACAATAACTGATATCTATACAGAATGGCGCATGATTAAACATGTCGGAGATGCTGACTCTAATGGCTTATGACAGATGAAGACAAAACTTTTAGTGGCACGTGGTTACACTTTTACCTGTTACATAGTTTATGTACTTATGAATAGCTTCCCTGGATAAGTTTTCTTAGCAAATGCTAATCTCAGGCCCCTGAAACTTAGAACTTTCGTGCATTTCTGACTTCTCTATTGAATTAGTAGAGGCAAGGGAAGGAACTGGACCAACATGAGGTTGAGAAAGTCTTACACATGACATAGTCAACTAGAGCAACCTTAACTATAAGATCACAAGTGCCTTGACGATGAAAGACTAAACTCTATGCTGGGCTTTCAGCTGGCTGTTTGGGAGAAGCAATTGTAACATGCTCTCCCCAACAGCTGAAATTCCAACAGAGCCAGAACCTGATGCTGCTAACAACTTACTAGAGCCAACTGGATATTCAACCAGGTCTGATTTGAGTTAACAGCAGCATCAATTAAACCTACATAAGAATCCTACCTAGTTCTAACTGAAACAATAGTTAATTCGAAAACTACACTTGGATGAAGACCAGCAGAGTCAAGAAACTAAAGAGGGCAGCTCCTACATTTCGAGGAACCTACATTGTTAGTTGTTACTACCTCCGCTAAATCCTAAGTAATGACATCCAGTGAAGGAAAATCTTTAACCTACAATCTGCTGACCTCAGAGGCAGCTCTGAGGATAAATCTTCAACCTAGAGATACATTCCGGAATTAAGAAAAAATAAAAAGAAGGAGCGAAAAAGTGACTAACCCATAATACACTGATTCACCATAAAGAGTCTCCCTCACAACAGGCAAAGGAGCACGGACTTCATCTACATCGTTCTGCAGTATCCTTTCGTTTCCTGTGCCTGTAGCCGCCCTATGAAATATAACAGAAAACCATCAAGTTAAACAAACCAAAAATGAATAATACTTTACAGTGTTATAACAATATCATACCCCCAAGATTGTGCAGCCACGTGATCGTTAGACGCTGGCTGAGTATGTGTACCAGATGGAAGCATACCACCTTCGTTTCCAATGTAAAAAAGCTGAATAGCTTCCTCAAGTTTCCAGCTTGTCGCCTGTTGATAGAAAAATACCACTATGTTAGTAATTTTACACAAGTACGGAGATAATAACTAAATATCAACAGAAGAGTGGTGAATCCCAAACAACAACATTATACGCTAAACAGAACTTATAAAAACAGCTAAATTCCGGAATGTGTCTCTAGGTTTGTGATCATACAAACAATTTAAAAAAGGGCAAGTTAACAAACAATTTAAAAAAGGGCAAGTTAATCTCATCACATAAACCCTCAATCACAATGAAGACCAAACCAGGCTACTCTCAAATCACAGAGATCTCGTTACACGAAAAGCCAGATCAACCGAGAATCACAAATAAATAAAAAAACTCTCGGCGTCTAATCTCAATCTAGGGTTTGAACTCGAATACCCAAAATGTCAGAAATTTTTCCCAAAAGCTGAAAGATTTAGAAACCCAATCTAGGGTTTCAAGTCGACATCCCAAAATATCTTCAACAATATGTCCCTAAGCTGAAATAAACATACACTTTAGACCCAAAATCAGAAACTGAATCAAGGTTAAGCTCACTCAGACCAATCCATCAGTTGACTAAAAAATCAGAGCTTAGAACAAAACAAATCAAGCAGTTTCGAGCAACAAACCTGTAAGAACTGTCGAGCAGTTTCAGCGGTCTGTCCGACGGCGATTTCAAGGAAAGAAGAGACTAATCTCTGCTGGTCACCCGAAGACAACATTCCCTCCATTGTTAAGACCACAAACCCTAAAAAAACCTCGAATTTCTGAGAAGAAAAAAAACGAAATTTGTCTGAGTGATCTAAGAAAAATAAAAAAAAAAAGGCAAAAAGCCCAGAAATTATAGCAACGAATAGGAGAACTTGCCCAGAAGATGAGGAGGATTAAATAAGGAACTGAAGAGTCGAATCCTGCGGGAGGAGATGAAGGAACGACGACGACATACCAATGCAAAAAATTTGATCTTACTGCCAAAAATATCTCTCTCGCTCGGATTTGCTCACCGGACCAAAAAGACGATTATAACCCTAGGTCGTGCTAGGAAGCGGGGTTGTTTATGACATTTCAATAACATACGCATGTGAAATTGGTCCATCATTGAGTTATTAATCCCAGATTATTTATTAATCAGAGTCCCTTATCATTAAAGATGTTATATACTTACCACATCTAGTACTACTATTTAAGTTGGAGTTATTATAAGAAACGTTTTCTTAATTGTCAATTGACATGTTTCAAATTCTTGTTGCAGAACCAAGACAGATGAATCAACTTTTTCTTTATTTTGGGTTTGATCACAGATTTATAAATTAATTTCTCAAAAGATTTTTATCACTATCAAGGATTTTTAGAGGCAAATTGGCCTGGAAAGTTTAAAAGAAGTATGAAAAAAATCTGTCTAACAATCTTGTTTTCTTCTGTGAGCTCTTTAAGAGAGTGAATGAACAAAGATCCTCATGCTGGCTTTGATATCTCTCGCGGTGGAATTCGCATCCATGACTTCATCGACTCATAGACTGTGAATCCAATCGCAACCGATGGAACAATCTAGCAAACAAAGACAAATCAATGAGTCATAAATATGGGGAAAAAAAAAGGGTGAGATCTTGGATTCATTGTCTCTTTATCTGATTTACCTTGATGTAGTTGATGCTTAAACCAGCAAACAACTGTCTCCAACCCTGAGTTCGAACAATCGTGTTAAGCCCATCAAATGTGTTCTTGTAGCGCTTGTTGTTGCCTTCACTCGTCATAGGCTGCAGATTCTCTACCTGTAGTCACACGAAACACCAAACAGGTTCTGAGTTCTGAAGTGTTTCAAATTTCTAAATCTTGTTTCTGGTTTGTTTGTTTTTACCTGCATTTGTCTCCTAACAACATCCAATGGGTAAGTGATGGTCTGGCCAAATAAACCAGCTAAAGCTCCACAAGGTAGATGCATTCGAACAGAGTTTTGATGCTCTTCAGGAACATGTCTTTTCAATTCCTCATATATGTAGAACTTAAGGCCCGCGTAGGGAAGGATGCCGATCAGCGTTGGCCCTGCAGAGACACAGGAAAGCTCCAACCTTTGTTAATCATCTCCAAATTCAAATTAGGAAAAGTGCACACACAAAGAAAGAGTTTAAGAGTTATATTGTTACTAAACTAAATCAACCAAGATTAGCCTAAGAAATTCTTTATATAATTGGTATTACTTTGATGCCAACCGTTTATAGCTAAAGATGAATAGGCTTCCTCCATTAATTTGATATAAACTTTAAACATTAATGCAAGCAAGGTTTATGAGCTTTACCTATGCCACGGTATAGCCCGCGTGGTCCCCCTTCTTTATATGCCATTGTAAGGACCTCTTTTATGCCTGAATAAGTAGGTTGACGGTAAAATCCATTCGCACCACCTCGGAGACTCTGTCTTGTGTCAGAAACCTAAAATGCAAATCACAACGCATAAGAGGAGAAACAAAAAAGATATTCATCATTTTCAGTTAAGCAACAATAAAATCAGAGCAAGGTATTCAAAATTACCAACCTGGTAAGCTAGCTTAGTACGTGCTAAATCAAGGGGATATGTGCACAAAACTGCTGTTCCGCCTGCAGCTGAACCAGCCACAAGATCAACAATTGGACCAGAACCTAAGGGAAGATTTTTTTCCAAAATCCAGTCACGATAAACTTCATACGTCATGTAATGAAGGGCAGCATATGGAATAATCCGAATAACACTCGCACCATTTCCTCTGCAAGAGTTATGCAAATCACAAGAATTTAGTAAAAGTGATTAATCTAAGCTGCAAAATAAGAGTCAAACCGCTAGGTACTTACTTATAGAATCCAAGAGGACCATCAAATTGTAAAACCTTCTTTAGTGACTGGGACACACCAAGGGTCCTAAAGTCGTTTGTTCTAGTCTGGTGTTGAAAGCACAGGTATACAATCAATAGATGGTAAAAAAAATTGTACTACAGATCGAAGAACAGCAAAGCAAATATCTTAGAATATGATCAAAACACTAACAAACATCAAACCAATACCATTTAGATATAATCAGAGCCATTGAAACATAATAAGATCAAGACCAAAGAGAATCACCTGCAACAGAATTTTGATCCTTTCCAAGGGTGCAACAGCAGTCTTAGCAATTGCACCAGCAGCTCCTCCAGCGATAAGGGTTTTTGCAAGCACAGGCAATGTATCCACAAGGCTCATCACATCAGCCGAGAGTGTAGAGCCTTGTGACGAACCCATCTCAATTCAACTAAGTCAAATTCGGAAAGTTCTCTCCTTTTATCTGAAAGAACACCTTATCCCATCTAAATCTAGGGTTTACGGTGGTGGACGCAGATTTCTTATTGAGATCCAAACTTGAGAACCTGAGAAATCCCAGAAAAGAGTATGACGAGAAGCTTAAAAGCAGATTCTCCTCCTCTTTTACAGCAATATTCATTAACAGCCTCAATGAAACACTCTTCGATGATCAACCACACTCGAAGATCAAATCATTTCCGTTAGCTCAATCGCAAAAAACTAGTCTTTAATCTGACAGATCCAGATTCTATTCCACAGCCGAAAACACGATCGATTGAGCAAACAAACAAATACCCTTTTGAGATCAATCAAAATCGATATCTCTCCAGATCCAAACGAACCAATCAATGGGAAAACTCGTCGAGAAGAGACAAATGAAACCCTACTGCTAATTCACGAACAGGAACCAAAATTTCTGTGGCGAGAGATATGACACGAAGTTATCGGAGAAGATTCAGGAAATTTATTCGGGTGATGAAGAGCGAAAAGAGGCTCGCCGTGAAATTCCGAGAGAAGGAATAAAGAAGACGAGAAGGATTTCGATTCAAAATTCGGTCATCTGCTCTGTTTACTCATTGGTCGCGCATTTTCACAGGCTTGAAGAAACAGAGATACCTTTTTAGGTAAGGATTCTATGTGCCATGGTGCACTCAAAATACAGTGGACCTCTTAAAAAAATACAGATTCAGTGGTTGGTTAGCCCAAACCACATTGAACCAGCAATTGTAACTTGGATCGAATATTTATCAAAGGAAATAATTATATAATCATAAAAAACAATACACAATTTGGTAGTAGAAATTATAAAACATTACAACAAATTGAATCAACAAATACATGTAACAAACAATAAAATGCAACGCATGCATGTGTTAATTAACAAAGCTGCATATCTTTCTGATTTCTCCGGTAGAGCCGGTAAGAGGTTCAATATCACCCATCTTGATCATGGCTGTTGCGAAATCTGCAGCGAATTTTGACCGGTTCCTGCTATATTCCGACACAATGCCGTCAGTTGATGCACCGGATCCGAACAAAACTTGATCGGTTACTAAAAGTCCTTTCTTTTGCATTAGGTTCTTGTAGTAATTGTTGTCGAAAGAATTAGGTGTCACGAGATCCAATGCTGCCAGATTCCCATCACTTCCCACGGTTGGGCATCGACGTTTGCGTGTGCTGGCAAATCCTGCGTCGATGTCGCTTGAGTTCTCGTAAAGCCTGTCCCGGAATAAGAAGCATTGAGATTGTCCTATGGTGTGAGCTCCTGAATAGTTTTCGTGCAAATATTATAAGAAGATCGTTTAGAAATATGCGTAGACACTATATAAAACTAGTGAAAAGCAATTAGCTAGCAATTCACACATTTTATGAAAATTTAGATCTCAAATTTAAACTTTATATGTAAAAATAATGATTTTTGGACCGACCTGATAGAGCGACAAGGTCTCTAGTGTTAAGGCCTTTCTTGCTGAAGAGACCAGAGAGTTGGTCAAGGTTATCTTTAAAGCCAGGAAGTTCACCACTATTTGCTAAAGCCTTAAATGCGGTCGTCGAATCTCTCCTTCCGACTTTCACTGCCCATTTTGGACCTCCCACCTAAATATTGGAGTTGGACCAATTGTTATACATGCATGGTTTATAGTACAAAGGATATTAGGTGTATTCATCTATAATCCCAAACATACGTATTCAGAAGCATCTCTTGCCGCAACCGCTATGATATCAGCGCAAGAAACAATGCCCGGACAAACTTTCTCGACTTCAGATTTGGCTTTATCTATGACTTCAAAACCTCTTACTGATTTGAAGTTTGGCAATGCATCTCGCTCACTCTCTATCTTTGATGTTCCCTCGAGCAATATCGAAGCGTCACAACCCTAAACATACACAAAACTATTATAAAATGATTTTGTAAGGTTTTTTAAAAATTTGAAAGAGTAAAAACTTACATGAACAAAACAGTCGTGGAAGTGCATGCGGATTAGGGACGCGGCCATTCGTCTCTCACGAGTGATTGCGGTTCTAATGGAGGATCTGATCTTGGAAAGAGCGCTCGGACACGATTGATCGTAAAATGTTGGAGAAAGTTGGGCTTGACAAATCGAGAACGTAAGGATGATGCTTACCATCATTAGCACAAACCTTAGTGAAAATCTCTCCATAGTTTTAAATCTCCCTTGGTATAAATTTCTTACGTAAAACAAAATAGTCTTCTTTTTTTTTAATTGTAAAGATTAACCCTTTTTTTTGTGTGTGTGTGCAAAGATTAATCTTTTTATTGTTGATGAATCATCGATATATCAAGAATGATATTTGAGGAGATTGATGTTGAATGTTACAAACCCTAAGGGGTTTATATAATTATATACGTGCATGAGAGTTTTCACGCGGTGTCGCTGTCCAAGGTTGGAGACTGTAATTTAATATACGTATGTTAAATCTATTATCTATATGTTAATTAGCCAGAGAATATCTTGGACTAAAATAAATTAGTTGTTGGGCTCTGACTTTGTATCTTGGTCAATTGTCAAATTGTTAACTTATAAAAAGACGTAACCTAAAGGATTGAGAAGACAAACAAGAACATCATTAGTAAGCGCTTAATTAGTTTATTCTTATAATAATACAGGTTGAAGTTCGGATCTGAAGACTATAACGAACAATTATTTTGTTTAATTAGTTTGAAAGGAATAGTTGACGAACATAAAATTGGAAAGTCAAAATTTAACATACAATAACAAAAACAAATGCTCGGAAGTTTTTGATAAATATATATATATATATATATATATATATATATATATATATATATATATATATATTAAATTTCATTTCGTAGCTAAACCATATATATTGGTCTCAAAACGAGTGAAAGATCCGTTTGAAACACGTTATGAATTTGGTTGGTGGCCAAAATTTTAATCTATGTGATTTTTTAGCAAATAAAATTGGAATTGAGCTATATACTTGTGAAAATGAAAAAGAGTGATTAATTAGACGACTTGCAATGTCCCTTAGCTTTTACGATGACAATTCTTAGAGCTATGAAAGAAAACTATGCATGGTCAATGGCAATAGAAATGATATGTTCTTTTCTTTCCTTTTTTTTTTATATAAAAAAATCGCATAATCCAGTCTTTGCGGGCTAACACCGATAACATTAAAATTCATTTCTTAATCCACTCCTCAAAATTTGATTCACCGCTATAGTTTAATTTATAATGTTATATTTGTTAGGAATTTCGATGTATCGCTATGGACGGTCATTACTGTGCGTAGTCGCGTTTAACCTTTTTTGCAGTATTTTGCATCTCATATGTGGTAGTTGTTTTTCCCTAATTAGAATTGAATCATTCATCCTTTAAATGATTTACACATAAAAAAAAACCTGTAATTTCATTTGTTTTCTTAGTTCAATTTATTACATGGTGACTCATTATGTTCGAACCATTGAAAAAACCATTAGCATATATACAGTTCAATTAAAGAACAAAATTTTAAATCTTTAACAAAATCTTCTAACATCTCAAACATATTTTCTTTTAAAAGTTTGCGTATGATTACAAATAGTTTGAATTGAAACAGTTATGTCATTGAGTTACTGAAATGTTTATGGGTAGACACCGATTAACTATTAGAAAAATATCAAAGTAGCATATCAACAAATTAAAAAAAAAAAAAACATCACAGTATAAATGTATGCATACGCGCGTATTGGCTAATATTAGTATCTATATGGTAGCTAGATGATTATGCATGTGTGTTTCTTTCGTTTCATTTTCTTTTGAAGAAAAGGTCAATTCAACTATATATGTTCGAATGTTACTAGACGAGTGCATGCATGGATCCAAACTGTCTTACATTATCTAATTAGACTAAAAGCTGTCCTCCAATGAAATTCAGACCAAATGACGTGTGATTAATATTAGGTCAACTTAAAATCTTAAAATATTTGTTATACGTACATGTTGTTTAAAAAATGAAGAAAACTATCATCAACAGTTGAGGCTACTTAGTTTTTTTTTATCCTCTTTCTTTTTATTAGAGGTTAATAAGTTGGCTAGAATTATTTGTACCGCTATATATATCAACACTTTACAGACTTAATTAACTCTTAAGTTGGGCTGAATTGAAAGTAACTTCATGATAAATTTTAGTACGTAAGATATACATATTTTCGCAGAGAATAAAATTTATCTACCGAACAAACTTACCCAAAGAGGAATGCAAAGCCGAACAAGTTTTTAAGAAGCACTTGTGGTTACGGTATGGAATGCGACATCGCACTATCCTTATCAAAGATTCAAAGATTCTTCTTTCTCTCCTTTATCAAAGTCAAAAGTCAATTTTCAAAATTTCGCGTAAGCGTAACGTTTTTAATTAGTAAGTTATGGTTTGGTCAACGTAGGCCAGCTTCAATAAGTTCTAAGTACTTTAAAAAAAAAAAAATTCTAAATACTTTAATTTCAGTTTTTTTGCGTTAATGCAAATGTTAAGTAATTGCAAGAGTTGAAAATAGAAGGCGAAATAATCAAATACCCAGAATAACACTCTTTTGTTGAAAACGAATATCTCTAAAATCAAAATTAAGATTGTTCAATCCAATTATATAAGATTGTTCAATCCAATATACGTTGTTCAATTCAATATAAGATTAGGTCTTTATCAAAGTAAAATTTTATTAGAGTTTAATATTCACCACATAAAGTAATTGAAATTTCAGATTGCTACATCCAATATGAGAATGTAATCATTTGTATTAAAATATTTCACTCTTAATTCTAATAATAATAATTATGTAGACAAAAATATGGGATGTTATAGTAAAGGAGAAAAGGCAACTATTGGAAAAGGTCGTCGGGTGGTGTCCACGCGCTCCCGCAGCAAAAAGTGACCACGATTGATTATTTCGCTCCTATATATAAAGACTTCTTTCGTCACATTTCTAAAACTCACACCAAGCTTCTTCTATTCGTCAATCATCACTTCTCAATTAGCTCTTTACAAAACTGTTTTATTACTTCAAAAAAAATACAAAAAAAAAAGTTTCTTGTTATAACACTAAATGGCGATCTTCAAGATTCTTGTATTGTTGTTGAGTTTGTCTTGTTTCTGTCAAGCACAACTTTCTCCTTCTTTCTACGACCAAACTTGTCCAAATGCTCTCTCGACCATCCGGTCTTCAATCCGAACCGCAATCAGCCGTGAACGTAGAATGGCTGCTTCTCTCATCCGTCTCCATTTCCACGACTGCTTCGTTAATGTATGTAATTAACATTTGATCCAATATGCATGAGTGTTTATATTATACATATTGTTTCATGGACCGCTCTAAAATTATGTTTGGTTTTGATTTTTTTGTAGGGTTGTGATGCATCGGTCATGCTCGTGGCAACTCCCACCATGGAGAGTGAGAGAGACTCATTGGCAAATTTTCAATCGGCAAGAGGATTCGAAGTTATCGATCAAGCCAAATCCGCTGTGGAGAGTGTGTGTCCAGGCGTAGTTTCTTGCGCTGATATTATTGCCGTTGCTGCCAGAGACGCTTCTGAATATGTTAGTCTCTATCCATCTTTATATTCATACATCTCATTTGTTTCAACCATATTTACATATTAAACTACTATTTTAAATATCTTCAAGAAATATAGTATCTTCGTTTTTAACGTAAAACATCATGCATGTGTTACAAGTTTGCGATTGTATATTCGTTTTAACATAGTTCTAATTAATTCTTGAACATGTAAATTTTGGTATCATCAATAGGTCGGAGGTCCAAGATATAATGTGAAGGTTGGTCGAAGAGATTCCACTAACGCGTTTAGGGCAATTGCAGACAGCGGCGATCTCCCCAATTTTAGGGCAAGCCTCAACGATCTCTCTGAACTCTTCCTTAAAAAAGGACTCAACACTAGAGACCTCGTCGCTCTCTCAGGTCGCTCACCATAAAAAAACACAGTTTTAGTCACTAATTTCTTAACATAATTAAGACATTCTTGTGACATAAGTTAACACTATTTACAGGAGCTCACACCTTAGGGCAATCTCAATGCCTCACATTCAAGGGTAGACTTTACGACAACTCGAGTGACATTGACGCAGGATTCTCCAGCACACGTAAGCGTCGCTGCCCGGTCAACGGTGGAGATACGACTCTAGCACCTCTAGATCAAGTGACACCAAATTCGTTTGACAATAACTATTACAGAAACTTGATGCAGAAGAAAGGACTTTTGGAGACTGATCAAGTTTTGTTCGGAACCGGAGCTTCTACGGACAGTATTGTGACAGAGTACAGCAGAAATCCATCACGATTCGCGTCTGATTTCGGAGCTGCAATGATCAAAATGGGAGATATTCAGACACTCATTGGTTCAGATGGACAAATCCGGAGGATATGCAGTGCCGTTAACTAAGAGTTATTACGTCGGTCTTCTCCGAGAAAGTTTCAAGACTTGAAAATTCAATGTTATTATGTTTACATGTATATCCATTTGATTCATTGCTGTAATTGTGTGTAACTAAATTCCTACGATAATTCGTTTGTTATTTGAATATATTGGAATAAGGTTAACGTCATTAGTTACAATCTCTAAAGTTCATTTAAATTCTAGCTAGCATTAATTTATCCACGTATACATACACGTGGAACTATGATAACAACGTCGCGTGTCGGTCACCAGAACTTCTCCTCACGGAGAGAACCACCGGCTATATCCGGTTACTTTATCAATCTCCTCTTCAATTTCTTCCACGTCATTCTAAGTATTCCCTGTCATGGCCGTTCTCAAATCTAATTTCGGGTAATACTATAAATACCTTAAAACAAAAAAAATGGAAGAAAAAGAAAGAGAGAAAAAACTAAAACAGAAGAAGGAGAAGGAGAGAGGAGAAGTGATTCGATCGATTCTCTTTTTCGTGGTCGAAAGCTAAATCTATTAGGAATCTGAATCTTGTATGAGTTTTTTTTCCCGGAAATGAGAAGCGGCGGCTTGGAAATGATGTCATCTTCGGCGGCAGCAATCGTAGCGTTTAATTTGAAGGAGGCTACGAATTGGTGGTCGGATGTGAATGAATCTCCGGTGTGGCAGGATCGTATCTTCCATGTTCTTGCTGTTCTATATGGAATCGTTTCCGTCATTGCTGTGGTGCCGTTACTTGTCCTTCTGGTTTTGAATTTTGGGATTGGAATTAGGAAATGGGTTGATTTGGAATTGGAAGATTAGGGATTTTAGGATATTGAATTGAGGAAATAGATGCTGGATTGTGGCTGGGAGGGAAAAAAACCCTAAATTGATTAAAGTTTTGTTTTTTTCTTGTTGTTGTAGATTCAATTGGTAAGAATACAATTGAGAGTTCCAGAATATGGCTGGACGACGCAGAAGGTCTTTCATTTTCTCAATTTCTTGGTGAATGGAGGTTGGTTTGTTGTCTCTTGTTAGTTTTTGATTGTCAGTCTCAGTCTGTGTATGTTTTGTTGATTGTCTCGTCGTCTTCTGTGTAGTTCGAGCTCTGGTTTTTGTTTTCCGTCGAGATGTACAGAATATGCAGCCAGAGGTTTGGTGTTTTCCATTCACATTGTGATTTCGCCTCATTGATGGTCTATGTGAATTTTCTAAACTTGCAAGTGTCGTTTGGTTTCTTGTAGATTCTGCAACATATCTTACTTGACATTCCAAGTCTTGCTTTCTTCACTACATATGCGCTTCTTGTTCTCTTTTGGGCAGAGATTTACTACCAGGTAAAACTTGATTCTGTATATATTTTTAAATTTAGTCTTTGGTGCATTGTTGTTGATATTTTACTCCATCCTGACAGGCACGTGCTGTTTCCACTGATGGACTGAGGCCAAGTTTCTTCACAATTAATGCAGTTGTATACGTAATTCAGGTGAAAATAACTATCTATTTGGCCGGCCCTTGTAATATCTTGGAAATTTGCAAAGTTTAGAGTTTACCTTGAACTTGGTTGACCTGTGGGCCTGAGCTTCTTATAAATTTCCGTACTATCCATTTGTATCTGATTGATGTGGGTTCCTTAGCTTTAACCTTTCATGTGAATGTATTAATTTCAGATTGCTCTTTGGTTGGTTTTGTGGTGGAAGCCTGTTCACCTTATGGTAATCATTTCTAGGATGTTCTTTGCAGGTAGAGCTTGAAATATAGATCATTTTACACAGAGATTTTTTTTTCTTTTTTTTTTATGTACTCTATGTCTCATCTCTTGTGAATGTATATTGCAGGTGTCTCATTGTTCGCGGCCCTTGGCTTTTTATTATATGGAGGAAGGTAAGTGTGTTGCCACTTGCATATGCTACACGATGATGGTAGCATAGTTTATATGCTTTTTACATGCTGCCACATGTTTTCCTGCCCCAAACGAGTTGTTGATATCATTTTGAAAACTAGGATTCCTTCCCTCCTCTGATGGCTGGCTAGACAAGATCCTTTTTGTGCCATATCAGACTTTTATCTATATATCATTACTTCTATGAAGGAACTTTCTCATGAAGTCACCTTGATTTATTGTCTTTGATGATTATTTCCTTGCAGGCTTTTCCTGATGCTGCAACGATTTCCAGTAGAATCTAAAGGGCGGCGCAAGAAGCTGCAAGAGGTGAACCTTGAATTTTAAACCAAAAGTTACCCCGATCTTAAATTTCCGTTTCTTGGGTCTTAATCCCCATTATTTGTTGTACGAATTGCAGGTTGGCTACGTGACAACCATATGCTTTACATGTTTCCTCATCAGATGCATCATGGTATTGATATACACATCATACTATTGCTATCATTACACCATATCTTGTTGGTTGAATTCTCTGTGTTAGTGGTCAATCCTTGAAACCACAGCTAACCAGATCTTTCATTTCATCATCTATTTTGGTCTAGATGTGCTTTGATGCGTTTGACGATGCAGCAGATCTTGATGTCTTAGATCATCCAATCCTAAACTTCATATATTACCTGGTACGCTTCCCATTCACCTCTTCAGATGCTATAGATGTGCATTATACGCTATGTGGATCTTAAGCTAAATATGAAACTTCTTTTGAAAACCTCTAAACAAAAATTGTGTGTCCTGTTTACTTACAGCTGGTGGAGATATTGCCTTCGTCTCTGGTCCTCTTTATCCTAAGAAAGCTTCCACCAAAACGCGGAATCACACAGTACCATCAAATCCAATGAACATGTTCAGAGAATCGAAACACTGAGGTAACTATGGTTCCTCTACTGAGATGATACAATACCAGAGAAAAACATAAGAAACAGCTGAAAAAGGGGTCAAAAGATGAACTGTCTCTCTTTTTTTTTTTTGGTTAAAACCGGAAGTTAATATCTTGTAGGTACCGGTAAACCGAAGGGTTCTTGTTCCTTTCATAGACAAAATGTACATTGTAAGGGATTGCAGAACAATGGGTTGTAATTTCTTTCTAACTAATTGAATGTGGTTGATTAGTATAGTCTCTATTGTTTATACTAATTGAAAGTAGTTTGGTGTGAGAATGATAGAATCATACCTTTGAATGGGTTACTGAGATTTCCAGCTTCTGGTTCTGATACGGAGGAACGATTGGTAGTTTGATGATATATTATGGACCTTATAGCTTGTCATTTCATATTCATACGAAGTAGTTTCTTAAGAAGAATAGATGCAAATAGTCATTTTTGACTGGTTGGTCTATTATCTACTGGTCGTTTCCATTTTTTTTAATTGAAAGTTAGGTGAGATTTTCACGTACTAATAGCATTTCGCTAATTATTAATTACAATCGATATTTTAAATTATAAATGAATTCTGCTTTATCCATCAAAGAGAGAAAACTCTTTTATACATGTCTATTAGAGAGAGAGAGACGCAATCAGAGCAAAAAACGTGAATGTCGACTTAAAATTGTGGGATTGTTTGTTTGGTCACGGAATCGTAAGATGAGCAAAAAGAAAGTACAAATGTAGAAGAACAACAGAGACGTTTTTCTCTTTTAGTATTTGTCGTCTATAACAACAACCAGACACCATCGGATCATAAAAAACAAAAGCTACCGATTCAACGGCGAAGATAAAAGAAGGACAAAATTTTTAATTTATGAAGCTACGTCACGTGGAAGTTCCACGGTGGAACCCACTATAAAAGTGACGTGATTTCTTCTTCTTCTTCTCCTCTTCTTTTTTTTGTCAAAGTCTTCTTCTCCTCTTCTGTGTGATCTTTTTGCGCCTGATGTTGTGTAACATATTATTAACTTTCTTTTATACATGTAAAATTTTTTAAAAATTTAATCGTGGCGACTTTTTAAGTTTTAACTTTAGAGTTTAGATCATCAAAAAAAAAAAAAAAAAGAGTTTAGACCATCAAACAATTAATTTTAATAAACCCGTTTTTTCAACGTCTTCTATATCATCATTAACTGATCTGAGATTACAGAATCACAGATTTAAATTGCTTTTACTATATTAAGTAAGTTTTATAGATTTTGGATCAGTTCATTTGATTTATTTACTCATAAAAGTGGTTTTTGAGGACTAACAGATGTGAAATAGAAAAACAAATTCAAGATTGTTACTAAATTAGTGGATTAAAAAGCCTGACACGTACGCAAAGATATCATTTTAAAAAAAAAAAATAATGACGCGCCAAGTCGTTATCTAACGCATCATCTAAACTGTTACAGCTGTTTCTTTGCCTTTCTGTATTCTCTGCATGAACCCTAATCCAATCAAAAAAGGCGAGATTTTTGCATATTTTGCCATTGAAGGACACTTTGAGAGTCCTTCTTCTGAAAATAATGGCCAAGGACTCACTTCTTCCTTTATTCCCACTTCAGGGCTCGCTTTTCACCTATATAAACCATCATTTTCCTTTCTCCCATTTGCCGTCACCACCCAACAACAAACCCTAGTTTTCTTTGTTTGGATCTGAAGTATCTCCATGACGATTCTCATCGATCGCCACTCTGATCAGAACGGTTCGTGATCCTTTGTACTCGCTTTACTTTGGATCTTTCTTTCTCTGTGCTCTGTTTTGAAATGATCTGGTTCTAGATATTACAGATTTTGGATCATCTCCTCATGAATCTCATTTTTGAGGGTTTTTCGGATTTAGATTGAATTTGGTAACTTTGATCGATTTTGACGATTGAATTTGAGTTACTTTAGATGCAGGAGATGAGATTGTAGAGAAGAATCAGGGGAATGTTAAAGAGGAAGAAACAGAGTTGGTGTTAGATGCAGCTTTTGAGGCTCCTCACACCAACTCCTTTGGTCACACCTTCAGGTAAATATCTTTCGAATCAATTAACACCAGAGATTGCAAGATCGAAACTTTTATAGATATCTGCTTGTGTTGTTGTCATGAAAGGGATTATGATGCTGAGAGTGAGAGGAGGAGAGGTGTGGAGGAATTTTACAGGGTTAATCACATTGGCCAAACCGTTGATTTCGTGAGGAAGATGAGGGAAGAATACAGGAAGCTAAACCGTACTGAGATGAGCATTTGGGAATGCTGTGAGCTTCTGAATGAGTTTATCGACGAGAGTGATCCCGATTTGGACGAACCTCAGATCGAGCATTTGCTTCAGACAGCTGAAGCCATCAGGAAAGATTACCCTGATGAAGACTGGCTCCATCTGACCGGTCTTATCCACGGTAAATTATACTCAATGATTCCCTTTGATCGCGTTTAAACATTGTTTGCCGGTTTAATGATTTCGTGTTTGGTGTGTATGTGGATTAGATCTTGGAAAAGTTCTTCTTCACCCTTCGTTTGGTGAGCTCCCTCAATGGGCTGTTGTTGGCGATACATTTCCAGTGGGATGTGCATTTGATGAATCTATTGTTCACCACAAGGTATATAAGATCCTTAAACACAATTTGAAAACTTTGTTTGAGTTTCAAAACATCTGTTGATTCCATTGCTGGTTTCTTGATGTAGTACTTCAAGGAGAATCCAGACTATGATAACCTTAGTTACAACACCAAGTACGGGATATACACCGAAGACTGTGGGCTCGATAATGTTTTGATGTCTTGGGGACATGATGATTACATGTACCTTGTAAGTTCATTACAATCTCAACATGTGTTTACGATTTACCGACATGTAAGACTCTATCTGATTACATAGCTGAATTTCACAGGTTGCGAAGGAGAATCAAACTACATTACCATCAGCCGGTCTTTTCATCATCAGATACCATTCGTTCTACGGTAATTTGAAACACAAAGACTGATTTGCTCGAATTTATCGATAAATAAATGAGTCTATATTATAAAACAACGGGTTCTTGTTATTTTATTTGGTTGGCAGCTCTTCACAAATCAGAAGCATATAAGCATTTGATGAACAATGAAGACAGAGAGAACATGAATTGGCTGAAAGTGTTCAACAAGTATGATCTCTACAGCAAAAGCAAAGTCCGTATAAACGTGGAGGACGTGAAACCATATTACCTCTCCCTTATCAACAAGGTATGTATACTTCAAATTTCATATTTACAAGCAAACTTCGGTCCATGCCCTTACGGGCGGGTTTTATTGGTGTTTAATGTTTGCAGTATTTTCCGGCCAAGCTAAAATGGTGAAAAATTACAAGCAGAAAGCTTTCTACTAAAATGGATGAGAGGAATGCGACCAAAATTAAACCTTTTAACTAAAAAAAAATGTGTAAATGTAAAGGCAATAACGGATATGCCTTGATGAATAAAACAGAGAGTTGTTTCGTTTCTGCCTACTGCTTAGTTTCATTTCCAAGGTTTATTTAAGAGATGTTACATTCCCGTTGAACTAAACACATGATTGTTTCACACAGGAACTAACCATATATATAAACCTATAAAGCACATAATATATAAAGTCAGTGACTAACATATGAACTAAAAAGCAGAGGTTACCAGACGTCAATCCAAAGGCAAAATTTAAACTGAAAGCACTAACATAAGCTTAGTCGTCATCTTGCAGAAGGCTCAAGGCGAGTAAAACCATACCCATAGCTGCAAAATATATGGAGAAATTCCCATAATTCCTGCAAAATGAAACAGCAACAAGTTCTCTTAGAAAAATAAATATGACTCTCACTTCCCAAGTAAAAAAAAGGAACATCAGATGTTTCTTACACTGATTTCGATTCCATATTAGAAATCAGTTTCTTAAGTTCTATACGTTTATTGAAGACTTGATAGACATGTCGGATCGTAATATTCCCATCTTTGTCTCTGCCAGCCTAGAGTACAGTACAGAGATGTAAATTTATCACTTTCAACCACTAATTGAAATCATAAAGATTTAAAACAAACATAAGGTCTGACTTACCCCACCAACAATAGTCAAAGGCGTACCAATCTCAAGAACATCCTCCCAAGACTCACAACTGTCAGGATCACAAATCTAATAAAAGAAAGAAAGAAACACTAGCACAGTTATTGAAACCCGAATGAAAAAACAGAGAAATGAAAGAAGAAGAGACAAGGTAAGGAATAAAGACAAATACCGTGATTTCTTCCACAGAAAGCAATCTTTTGAAGTGCTTACTCACAGGAACAGTAGAGGAATACGTACGTAAAATATCATCAAATCCTTTGGCATGTTGGTAATTCGTTACATTAACCCGAGCAGTACCATCCTCCTAATGTGAAAATAGAAGCAACCAAATTAAATTAAGGAGCCACCACTGGCTTTGTGGATGAGAAAATAAGTCCTACCAAATACCAAGAAACCTCCTTACGGTTCACCAAAGTACTCTCATGTTCCCGTATTAAACCAACACAATTCCTCCTATCATAAGTAACTGTGGCCTGAAGGAAAAACCAACACATTATTTTTGACAAAAATAATCTGTCATTTAGATTTAAGGAGACACAATCTTACCGTTTCCTCGACAAAAACACCCAAAGCGCTTTTACACATGGTCTCTACGGTTGAGGTTGATCCAACAGTTCCAAACACCACAACAGTGTTGTTTAATGGCTTAGTTTCAAGAAATTCCCCTGAAAATTTGTAAAGTTTTGGATCATCGATCGATAAGAAAACCCAAAAAAATAATCAACTTTTTAGAAACCCTACCCAACCCTTTAAGCTCGTCCACCATAGTAGCTTTATCTAGAAACTCAGCGTTCCTGAACGGAAGAAGAAATCAAAATCAAGATCAAAAGTGTGTTTTCAAGCAGATTAGATATAGATTTAGGAACTGACTAACGTTTTATTGCTGCGGCCGCAAAAGTTGAACAGGAAGCCAACGCCTACAAATATAGCAGCAACTTCAATCATCTCTTCTCCGCTACAAAAAAAAAAAAAAAAAAACGGCGAGGATTTGTTTTTAACAGAGGACGAGAGATACGGACTTAAACGGAAAAATCGAGCATGAATTGATAATAATCAACTCGAATACGAACATAATCGAAGATTACCTCACGCCTGAAATTGAATGCTAAGTTTTTCATGAATTTTAGGGTTTCGCTAGAGCTTAGAAAGTAGAAGCAGTGAAGCGAAGGGCTGGGCATTCGGGTATGCGGGTCGGGTTCGGGTAAAACCCGATCGGGTACGGATCTTTCGGGTAGAGGAGTTTAGGACCCAATAGGGTAAATCTAAAATATCGGTTCGGTTTCGGTTCGGATCTAATCGGGTTCGGATCGGTTCGGGTTTAGATTTTTAGAACCGCTAAATATCCAAAAAAATCGGGTACCTATCGGGTTCGGGTATTTTATACCCAAATACCCAAAATTTTACCAAATACCCGAATTTTATCCGAAATTTTATCCTAATATCCGAATTTTATCCGCAATTTTACTCTAATATTCGAGTTTCACCCGAAAATTTATCCGAATAACCGGAATTTTGTCCAAATATTTAAAAAATTTACAAGCATCTCGCGTATAAATATATTTTGTCTTAAATATTTAAATATAAGTGCATTTAATTTTTGGTAACTATTCTTGGATATTTAGATATAAATGTATTTAATTCAAATATTACATATATAAAAAGTTTTATATGTATAAGTATATGTAATTTCGGGTAATCGGGTACCCGTTCGGATATCGGGTTCGGATCGGGTTTTACCCTATACCCACGGGTACGGCAATACAAGACCCAATAGGATAAATAGCTAATACCCGTAGCCGCCCCAAACTGGTTTTTTCGGGTCGGTTTCGGTTCGGGTACTCGGGTACGGTTTTTTTGCCAAGGCCTAAACGAGACAGTGTTAATTTTGCAAAAAGACAAAAAATAAAAATCATTTTGTTAATTATTGGCAAAGGTGGGCTTATCGGGCCCGTCTAAGGATCTCGTAGCCCTGATATTTTTATAATGTTTTTGCTTTTAAATTCGGTCTTTCTTTTTCTTGAAAAGAATTTTGTTGAACCTTTTTGGCTTTCGTAATTTAACATGACATCTTGAAAATTACGATCAAGACACTGAAAGAATTACCTGTGTTTTCTTAATATTATTTGTAGTAATATATCAAAGATATTAATAGTCAATATTTCTATAGCCAAACCAAAAATTTCCAGCTTCAAACTGTCCTAATGTGTAGGCTTCATATAACATAACAAAAGGCAACATAAAAAGTTTGGAAACATGTGAGAAAATGTCTATATAAGACAATGCTCCTTCCGCTCAAGCTGTGTTTGTTTTTCTTTCTTCCCCTGTCACTTCTTTTCTTCTTCTTGTTTCCATGGCTGTACAAAATGATAGAAATCTGGAAAACCAATACTTAATAGTTAATAATGTAAAGATTGATGATCTCTTTTTTTGTTTTTGTTTATGAACTTAGCAATAGATAGATGTTTATCATACCTTCATGTAAAGGAAAAATTAGCCCCAAGTTGTGAATTATTGATGACACGTACATCCACCCTTGCAGAAAGTCCAAGGGGGAGCTTTTTGGTCAGGGACCGCGAATAGGTGATTGTGGTCACGTCATGGGTGTCAAACACCACTTGTATTCCTCTATGCAATCCTTTTTCATCATCATCCCACCTCTTTCCAACACCAACTGAACATACATTTTTCTTAGCATCTTTGACGTTGATTTGACATTTGGAGGTGATAGAAAACTTCTCGACTTCTTGTTCAAAAGAACACTTGAGATCTTCTCCATCCCTGCAACGAATTGCATGAAAAGAGTTTAGAAAACAACAAAGATCAAAACAAAACAAATGATTGAAATACATGTTTACCAATCTGCAGAAGCAGAAAGACCATGAATCTTTGCTTTGCATGAAGCGGTGCTTTTCGTTATCTTGAAGGCAAAGGAAAAGATGGATGCGTCACTTGTTAGGCCTATTGACCAGTTGGCTATTCTACAAGCTCGGATCCTTCTATCAAGATTTCCTTCAAGTTTGATCTCGCAAGGCAGAGAGAAAGCCTCATAATTTGGAGTCACACTAAAGACAATGGTAGGTCTCTCAGTCAGAGATAATGGGAGTTTTAGTTTGAATAACCAATGCTCTAACCCCTCATATTGGAGTTCCAGCTGGGAACCAAAACATTCAAAGGAATCAGACACATGGAGAATACACAAACGGTGTTTAGGATGCATATAACAGAGATTACAACCTGATCGCGTTTCCCTTTAGGATGCATAAAACGGTAGGAGGCATGAAGTCCAGGGACTTTGATGGGGATCGATACAGAAAAGGTTCCCTGCCACACAGAGGAAAAACAATTTTAAGGTACTAGAATCTACATTTCATCAAGGATACATAGTAGAACCCGTGAACGTGGTTAAATTTAACCGTTGGAACGAAGAATTGGGTAGGCTTTTGCTTCTCAAACATGAAATCAACAGAGCCTTTGTAGTTGGGCATATAAGATAGATTCATCTCAGAACTTGTTGGCTTCATTCCAAACAAGATGTTGCAAGACTTTTCCCACTCCGTTAGTTGTTTAGCATCTAGAAATGTAAACATGAGAAAACAGAATCGCAGAGTTTCTAGATTCCACATAACATAATCAATAGAGAAGCAACAGCTCTAAAAAATCTCACCTTTTAGTTTCCATGTTTCTTTCCAAAAACGTTCGGTGGATTTACGTCTATCGTCTTCCCATGGAATTTTGCCCCATAACCAAGTCAATGTGTTTGCTACCCAAGAGCTATCGCATATAGGATCGAAGATATAGGTTGCCATCGGATTCCTGAAGATAAAGTTTCAAACTTTAAGGTCTAAAACCCCAGCCCATAAACCCCAAGTCTAAAATCCGGTTAAAAAACGAAATCGAAATGCTGTTATGCTATCAAAGTTTTGAAATCATATACAGAAAGAAAAAGAGATAATACCTGTGAGAAAGAAATGAGAACTGAGAAATGAGGAATTTGGATTCTCTCGATAGTAAGACGATGCACAGACAACGTTCGGAAAATGAATGTCAGCACTGTGAAATAAAGAAAAGGAGAAGAAATGTCTTAAAATGAAACGACATCGTTTTACGCTATTTATTTATGAGGAGACAGAGACCAAAAACAAACCAAAAGACAAAAAGACAAAAAGACAAAAAGACAAAAAGGGGCGTTTCTGATTAGGAGGACTACACTCGTCCTTGTTTATTCAATGGAAGTATAACGAATAAAGGAAGCTGGTTTTTGTCTGGGATTTGATTATGAGCTTTGGTCCGCAGCGGTGGAGCGCCATGGTGGACGTACTGGACTGATACAATTGGTCCTGCCACGGGCGTTTTCAAGTATATCAGTTACCCAGTTCAGGTAACTTAGGCATTGTACCGTTTTGTAACTTAGGCAGTGTAGAGATACTTCAGGTTTGAGGAGGGAAAGAGCATCACCCTTTGAGACAATCCAAACGTAATTTTCTCAAGACACTGGCCTTCCTTTGTATATAGTTTCATTGTGTTTGGTAAGTAAACAGAGAAATCTGGATCTGAGTGTATATGGCAGGTTCTTGAGAGCTTTATGAGCTGGGTTACAATGTTAGCCTTCACGTTCTAGGATCAAAAAGGACTCTTTTGCAAGGAGGTGGTTATGGAAAATTAGCACTGGGACATGGATATGAGGACTCAATCCCGAGCTTTTTCAGCAGCCTGCAAAAGCAATCATTCTTTAAGACTCAATGTTTGATCAAACCTTAGGTACAAATTGTATGATGAACACAAATGATGAGGAGGTGAAGAGCTTATGCTTTTAGAGTTGACTTCGGATGCCGTCTGCTAGAGATGTGAAACAATGGCGTAACATGAATAGAAGAGCTGAACTTATCTTCTCTCGAGATGGTCATATTTCTCATCAGGATTTTTCCGAACATCGCAAGTTGAGAGCAACCTTGGTTATGTTCTGTCTGAGTACCAGGCGATAATGGTTTGTGTTCTGTTACCAGTCTGATCCAGCATGATGGTAGATCCTGAACTATACTCAGAGCTGGCTGGGGAGCCATGGAGGTCAGGTTGTCTATATGACATCAATGAAAAGGTTAGACAAGATGAACACAAAACTTATGTGCAGATGAAAAGCTAATTTCACCTTCAAGATTGCTATTAGTCTTCATAACTACCCCTCAGATCGTCTACAAGGTGCAAGCTTTGTTATCAGGAAGCTTCCCTCTATTGATATTTTGATTTGAAATTGAGTGTCTTCGGGTTCCTGGATTGGCTGGCAAATGGTGGGGTTTCTGTAGACGACAACTTATGGTCACACCGTTGCTGGTCTTCTAACAAACAAGAGTGTGAAATCTGAGCGTCAAGGTACTCTTTTTCTGTACTTTTTGTTGGAGTGTTGTCTTTAACTTCCTACCATGTATGTATATAGGCGAAGTGTGTAAGAATGTTGTTTCTCTTTGTATTGCTTGGCCGAGGCTATTTTTTTATTTAAATGCATTGATTGATTGCCCGTGATCATGCTTAGTGGTCTATACGTTTTGTTGCAGATGTTAATCCATGATAAGTTACAAACTTGTTTCAGCCGTTCTGTGCTGTGCCATTCTTAACTGGTTTTTGCACCAGCAACAATGAAGAGAGTTTCACGAGTATGACTTACGGTTCTCATGCAATGGCCTCTATCTTATTGATAATGAAATAAGTTGTTAAAGGTCTGTAGGTTGCTGCATGTCAGTTTTGAGAGAAATTGGATTTGGAATTGAGAGGGCCCCAAATATAAATACACTTACATACTTTGTTACATAGACTGGTTGTGTAACGACTAGTGAGTCTGTAAGCTTTAAACCCCAATTCTTGAAAGTAAGTGACATTTGACAAGGGATGATGGGTAATTTTACTAATCTTTATTTGAAACTAGGCTCATTCTAGTAGCTGATGAGGGTTTGTGTGCAGCATATCAGTTTAATAAGGCGAGTATGCTTAACACATTTACTGGAAACGTCTATTGACTTGCTCTAGCATCAGGTTTCTGGTGTAGAACCATATGGTTAGGCAGTGGATATTGGATGTATTCAAGTCATGTTTCTTGTTTGTGGTTTATTGGGCATGTGTGTTATTTTTTAACCATATGTTCATTCAATATGCAATGCAATGGAGCCACACTTGACAATTCAAGACCAGGTTTGAATTAGCTATTCTTTTTGTTATTGTTTTGTATGTAAACTATTTGTGTCAACATCCCTCTTCCTTCTGCAGA